TCCTGAATATTTATCTGTAACAAAATATTCCTCATCATCTCAAGAACGGCCTTTTAATGAAATTGAAGAATGGCAAAAACAAAATAATTTAAATTTAAAATATATTAATTTAACTAAATTTGAAGTTTGGAGGAAACAAAAAACAACTAAATTTATTTTGTTAGAAACAACTCCAGATCATTGGGGAGGAACTTGTGGAGGGTTTGCTAATCAAGTAAATAAATATTATAGAGATATGCAGTGATAGGAACTTTGGGATTCGAAAAATAATTTGAAAACTATCTAAATTTTAGTCAAAAACCACTGGGAAGCTTCAGAAATCTCAAATAATCCTAACTAACCCTGAATCTTTTGGACCGTCTATCTACATGTAGTATATTATCTATAAATACCATAAATGCTCTAAGCCCATATCCAAAGAGTACTTCGAGCTGAGTCGAACGGCACTAGAATCGTCGAAATCTGAATTAAATCAACATAGTTATGAGCAATTGTTTTGATCCCTTTCAACATCACAAAAAACATGTCCACAAAGGATTTAGCTTCATAATTTTGTTCAAAATTGCCAAATCTAACCGATCATAGTACCAATCAACTCAGCTCGGATAGCTCTTTCGAATGATATATAAATTATTATATGTCAAAGCAAAAAAGCTCAAAATGGCCCAAGGAAGCATAAAAAGGGGGGGGGCGACAACCGAAGAATTACCTAACTTTATTACATTCAATATTTAATAGATATGGGCTTTTGCTATAATGTATGTTTGGGGACAACAAACAGAACGTTATCCTGGATATTTTGACAAGCCAACATTTTCGTGTGATTCTTTCAAAAATTCTCCAAGTGAAATGGAACAAACATTTCCTGTTGCCCACAGAATTTTTGCTTCTTTTAAGGTGGGAATAAAAAAATATAAATAATTAAAAATATATTTAATTAAAGCCTGAGGAGGTTGAAGGGGATACAAAATTTCTGGTTAATTACAGCATTAATGAAGTAACTAAAACAAAAGAAAAATATTTAAGAATTCATTATCCTCCACAAATACACGATTTATTTAAAAATGTTAAAAATCAAATTAAAGAATTATATACATTTTCATATAAAATTAGAACAATTGGTGATGAATATATTGAGGAAATATTCAAGTAATTTATTGCAAAACTTTTATTAACTGCCCTAAATTATTGTTTCGGGCACACGGACATATCGGGACGGACATATCGGGATATTTTAATATAAGAACAGTTACCCTACTGATTTCAGGACCTCGGCCACTGGGTTTTGGATAATATATTGTCCTATTGAAGAATAGAATTTTTATGTTTTAGAACAAATGTAAACACGCAAGAAATCATTTTTGTCACACCAGTCACGATATGTCCAGCCCGATATGTTCGCACACCGTTGTTTCGACCTTCTGTTGGAGGGAGTAATTAATCGAGGGAGGGCAGTTATAAGAGGTTTGAAATTTGAACGTGTTTTAGGGCATTTGATGGGGGTGATTATTGTTTCAATCTATCGCTGGGGAGTGTAATTAATAGAAATGGGGTAATTATTTGAGGGAGGGCAATTAATACAGGTTTTACCGTATTTTAATTTGAATATTTAAAGAGATGATGATTCTCATAAATTATGTGTATATACAAGACGGGGCGATTTTGGACCGCCTTTTAATCCTAGACATCATCCATCAAGAAAGGATTTTACAGAAGAATCTACAAAATTTGTTTTTAATGAAATAAAGGTGTATTTAATTGTTTTAATTAAATTAAAAATTAATTTTTAGCAAATAAATAAAAATAAAGAAATTTCTTTAATTTTACTTGGAGCAGACAAAAAATTTCTGTCAGATTTGAATTTTGATGGAATTAATGTAAATTTATTTATTTAATTTAAAAATTAAATTTAAATAGCCAAAAAGAGTGTTTATACCCAAAAATATGCCTCGAGGACAAGATATTTATTTTTCTACAAAAATCTGTAATACTTTAATAATTACTGCATCAGTCTCCACTTTTGGATGGTGGATTGGTTATTTATTAAATGATATTAAATCTCAAATTTATTTTTATGATGATTTTGATGATAATACAATTTTTCAAAGAAAAGATTTTCCTTCTGAATGGATTCCTCTTAAATTTAATTTAAAAACTAAACAAATTATTAAAGGACATTAAAATTGGACAATCTATACTATGTATTTAATTCAAATAAATATATTCAATCTTGGAGGGTGGGGGTGTTTTTCTGTTTATATTTTTTTTATAAATATCCTATCAGAGCTCTTCATTTAACAAGTTTTCGGAATTAGAATTCAGTCCTGCTTCATAACCGGATTAAATTTTTAAATGAAAAACAAGGTTTTAAAAAGCGCAGTTTTTAAGAGCAGCTATAATAAAAAAATTTTAAAGCACCCCCACTTACATATAATCTGTAAAGGAAAACATGTTTATATTCAAGATATACAAATAGCTTTATCAAATGTTTATACACTGCGACACAAAATTATACGCCCACCCATTTTTTTGGAATTTTTTGTTTGTATTGCTCCGAATTTTCTGAAAATTTAAATACAGACCTTTTAGTGAATAGATAAAAAGATTTGTGTGGATTTTTGGGGTGGACGTATAATTTTGCGTCGCTGTGTACGTTAAATTTCCAAATATAAATTGTTTTTACTATTATGTATCTAGCAGGGATATTTATTTTCTTTTTTCCTTAAGAATTTAAAGTTTTTCTATAACGACTTAATTATGTATATACGAAGTTTGGTTTTTCCCGAAAAGAGAATAAGTAAAATTCTGCTTATTTCTGATTCATATCTAGCAATAATAATTAATTAATTTCTTTTTTTTGTTTGTTATTATAATTAGGGTTGCCAAAATGGACCGACTCGGACCGAAAGGTCGAGTCGGGCCTAGAGACTCGTACCGGCCCCCGAGAGACTCGTACCGGCCCCGAACCCTAATTATAATTTTTAATCTTTTATTATTGTTACTAGCGAAGGTGCTCGCCTTCGTGCGAGCACCTTCGCTAGCCATATCATAAGTCATAACAAAATTCAAGTCAAATCAACTTATTACCGGTCATTCTTTGAAAATTTTTGTTATTCCATAATAAATGGATGGATATATTTACGAGATACTTAAAAAAATAATAAAAAAAACTTATACATAATTGATTTACATCTTTGCTTTCCATTTAATTAACAAACAAAATCAGGAAAATTAAAGAAGAGGAGTATCCAATTGATCATTTAAAAATTAATTTTAAATAAACAATCAAATAATATATTTTAATTTTAATAATTTATATTTAATTTGTATTTGTTTTTAAATCTAAATTTAAGTAAAAAGGGTACTGTGTGATTTTCGGACGGAGGTATTTTTCTTCTAAAGGCCCATAGATTTCATCCAAAAATTATTGCATCAATTCTTATTGAATAAATAAAACAAGCAGGTCAACCCAACTCTGTCTTTTCTACATATTATTAAATTCCCCCAAAAATAGTCATTCTAAAAATTAAAGCTCAAAAAATAATTCTAATAATTTAAAATTAATGCCTAAAATTTTTTTACTTTAATTCAATCATTTATTAAATCTTTTAGACTCTTAAACTAACTAAATATTAGCCCCTAACTTAATTAACGTCTCTAAAAAATTAAATGAAAAATTGAAAAAAACAACAATAGAATGGAACAAAAACTGATAAAAAATAAAAGGAAAACATTACCAATTGAACTACTTTTTGATATATTCAATGGATCTAATAGTTTATTTTCTAAAGAATTAAAATTGTAAACCATTTATTTATATCCTCCCTCCATTTTATTTTCTTTTAAGTTTAAGTAAATTTTTTAAATTAAATATGGCTAGATATACACACAGTAAATACAAAAAATATTTATACAATTATGGTAAAAATTTATTAACTTCTTCTTCTATTGTCTACATGTTTTTGGGAGAAAGTTTTAAAAAAAATCTGGTAGGGTAATTTTTTAAATTAAATAAATAAAAATAATTTTTATTTAATATGCTATTTTGTGCCAAAGTCATGTCTACCAAAAACATTTTTAAAAGAGTATTTATTTAACAAGTAAAATTATTTTCACATCTAATAGTGAACTAGATTGCCTTTACGACACTAAATTATTATAGACCCATGTCTTTGATATAAATTAGAATATTCTTGATAGATTTATTTTCCGATTTTTAATTTAAATTTGTTTTACTAATGTGCGATTAAATTTAATTTTTTGGTCGAACAACGAGAAGAAGAATGCATAGAAGCTAAACTTTTGGTGAACAACAATTTTCTAAATTTTTTTTATTATTTTTCTTATTTTAGCTTAAGAATAGAAATGATGAAATTGAGAGAACCGAATCGCTAAAAAAGGCTATTGAAATTAGAGAGAAAACAGAGAGAATATTTAAAGAATTAATTAATATTTATGGTAAACATTTGAGTGATGAAGCTAAGGAAGAATTTTCTGGTAATTTGTCAAAAGCAATTAAGTTCGTCGATGATTTGCCGGTCAATGAAGCTTGGATTTCTGGTATATGAATAAATAACCTAATTATTCCTTAATTAAACTTTTACATAAAAATTAAAATAATAAATTTTATAAAATTAAATTTTAGGTAAAAAGTCTAATAAAAAGTGTCTATTTTGTGGAACTGTAGTTGGAACAAATGTAATGATGATAGTACACTTCCAATTTTGTCTTAAAAAGCATAAACTTGAAGAGTCTTTAGATGAAGAGACTGAAATACTGATAATAAGAATGCTTTTTGATTGACAATCGAAAATCTGGAATTAATTGTTTCTTTTGCTAATATATGGTGTGTTAAGAAATTATAACCCCCTCAAATTTTCTGATTTCTTTGTGTTGTCAGATTGTTCTGAAATACTTGTAGTAGTGTTGTAATGTATATTAAATAATATTAATTAATAGTAAATGTTTAATAAATTAAATTATATATTTATATCCGAATTTTAATGTCCTTCTTTAATAATTTGTTTAGTTTTTAAATTAAATTTAAGAGGAATCCATTCAGAAGGAAAATCTTTTCTTTGAAAAATTGTATTATCATCAAAATCATCATAAAAATAAATTTGAGATTTAATATCATTTAATAAATAACCAATCCACCATCCAAAAGTGGAGACTGATGCAGTAATTATTAAAGAATTACAGATTTTTGTAGAAAAATAAATATCTTGTCCTCGAGGCATATTTTTGGGTATAAACACTCTTTTTGGCTGTTTAAATTTTTAATTTAATAAAAATAAATATATTTACATTAATTCCATCAAAATTTAAATCTGACAGAAATTTCTTGTCTGCTCCAAGTAAAATTAAAGAAATTTCTTTATTTTTATTTATTTGCTAAAAATTAATTTTTCTTTTAAATTAAAACAATTAAATACACCTTTATTTCATTAAAAACAAATTTTGTAGATTCTTCTGTAAAATCCTTTCTTGATGGATGATGTTTAGGCCATTTAATTGTGCCAAAGTCACCCAATCTTGTGTGGACACATAATTTATGGGAAGAATCATTTCTAAAATTAAATATTTATTTTTTGTTTTTAGAGCAAACAATAAAATATTTAATTAAATTTAAATGACAATATTTAAATATTTTTTAAAAATATTATTTTAAATTAAAATACCTAAATATTTCGTTAATATATTTGTCAACAATTGTTCTAACTTTATTTGAAAATGTAAATAATTCTCTAACTTGATTTCTATAATTTTTAAATAATTCATGTATTTGTGGAGGTGGGGGAGTTCTTAAACATTTTTCTTTTGATTTAATCATTTCATTTAAATCATAATTTATCTGATATTTTGTATTATTTTCTGTTTGATTTGGCTTAAAAATAAATTTATTTTAAAAAAATATTTTTTAAAAAACTTTAAAATAAATAAATATTTTGTGAACAACAGGAAATGTTTCTTCAATTTCATTTGGCAAATTTAAAGAATCACAAGTCCACGCACTATTATTAAAAATTCCAGGATAACGACCTAATTGTAAACCCCAAACATAAATTACTGCAAATCTCCACATCTTTTAAAATATTTTATTTTTGACTAAACTTTAAATTACTTGATTAGCAAACCCTCCACATTCTCCATTCCAATCTTTAGGTATTTCAATTAACAAAAATTTTGTTAAATTATTTTCTCTCCAAATATCCATTTTAGTTAAATTAATATATTTTAAATTTAAATTATTTTCTTTTTCCCATAATTCAGCTTTACTTAAATTTAATCCCTTTCGAATAAATGAATATTTTGTTATAATTAAATCATCAGGAAAGCCAAGAAATTCTTTAACTTTAATTTTAAGAATAAATTTTTTTTTGAAGACTATCATTAAATTAAAGATTAATTTAAAATAATTAAATAACTTACCTAAATAGAAAGAAATTCCAAAGAGTAAAAGCACTATAATTATATAAAATTTATTTTTTTCAGTCATTTTATGATTTTTATTTTAATAATTATTATTTTCAAGGGAGTAAACGTTTAAATATTTAAAACAATAAAATCTTTTGAATTTAAACCAGACTATTTACTGAATTTTAAAAGAACAACTAAGTACATAGACAACAAAAATAAAATGTTTTTGAATATTAAAAAATATCTATTAATTTTATGTAAAATCTACTAAAACTAATAAACAAAAACTTAAATAAAATATAAGTAAAAGGTTGTTTTTATTCTTTACATAATTCAATGATGACCGATTTTCATTCCTTCCTTCATTTTCATTATTTGAGATTTTAACTTTTTAAGGATAAGGACATCAACATGATGTTGGTTATCCTTATCCATTAGCATGTTGGATAAGGACAATCAACACATTTTTAATCATTCTCTGATTTTAATTTTCATTTTTTTAAATTTTAGTTTGATAATATTGAAATGACAAGAAAGAGTATGGAGACAAGTAAGAGTATCACTTGTACGGGTGTGACGGAATAAGGACAAGCAACATGATTATTTCTTAATTAAACTCTCAAATAAAAACCATAATTATAGATTTAATAAACGTAGCATCTTTTAGATGATGATCTAAAGCGTGTTTTTGTAGAGACAAAATTAAATCAAATGTTCTATTGACAATACATCTGCAACGATGTCATAAATATCCGAAGCGTAAACAGGGACCAATCGAAAAAAGTGAAGGAAAGAAAAATACTGATGAATGAGATTTTTTGGTTGATGGAAAAGGTACATATAAACATTAAAAAATAAAATCATTACCTCGATTCTCATAAAAATAGTTATTATTTTTCATTTTTAATCAGAGTAAGAAATTAAATTTCGTTTTGAAATCCGGGTTCAAATCTGGAAATAGTTGTTTTTAAATGATTAATTATTAGGAAAGCAATGTAAATTAAGATAAAATAATCCACTTGGGAATTTACTGTTTAGATTTCACTTCCTATTGCGGAACACTAACAAATTATGACTAATTTAAAAATTAATATTTATATTGAATTTTTACTAAAATAATAATTGACAAAATCAAAAATGAAAAAATATTTTTAATAACACTACAACAAAAAATCTAATATATTTAATTTTCTAAATAATTTCTATGAAGATTGAATTAACTGATCCTCATATTGTTTCATAAAGCACTCCCCAACAGGGAAGAACTCCCAATCTCGATTATCATATTTTTCACGTACATAAGTTTCTTGTCCTTTAAAAAATTAAAATTTCAATTAAAATATATCTCAATTCCAAACACACCCGTATATTCAGTTTCGTCTTTATTAACCAAATGTTGAAGGAAAAACCTTTTTAAAAAATCTAATTTAACAAAATATTCCAATTAAAAATTACAAGTAATTAGCAAAATTGTGCTCCTTTTTGGTATGATTATCGAAACCGCGAGGCAATCGATCAAATGTTTCCTTTCCAATATCACAAACAAAACAAGAGGATTCTAATTTTTCTGTAGCAGATTCTTGCTGGTCTCGAAGTTCGCCGAAAGCGTCAATTATGAGACCTTTACAAAAAAATATTTTTTAATTTTTCAAAAAAATTCCTTTGTTTCCACCTTGCATAATAGCCAAAAGAATAATAATAACAAAAAAGAAAAAAGAAATATCATAAAGCATTCTAGCATATTCTAACTCATCTCCATAGGGAGATTCTAATTCATCACCAATTCCACCCCCAGCACGAACACCAGCATAAAAATGGTAAATAAAACAAGTAAGCATAAAATGACATTTTCTATCAGGTTCACCTCCATCTTCTTCCTTTAAAGAAAATTTTTTCCTTTTTAAATTCAACAAATACCTGAACATAAAATTTCCTAAAGAAATTAAAAGCAACAACAGTATATAAATAAACAACAACTAAAGTCATCATAATTGTCAAAATTAATTGTTGTAAATTGTGGGTAACAGATTGAAGAATTGCTTTGAGCATAGGAAATGAAAGAACAACATCAATTAATAAAAAGGCGTAGAAAAATGGAGAAATAAAAACACCGAGAACAGAACAAAGTAAATAACAAACTCGATAAAGAAATTGCCTGTTTGTTAAAATTACACCCGTCCAAAGCCAACAAGAATAACTTTAAAAAGAATTTTAAATTTTTTTTCCTAAAAATTTAACTACCGATAATCAAAAGATGTATCGCCAGGACTTCTTTCAGTCCCCAACAATAAATCTAAAGTTTCTTCATCTACTTGTTCTCTATATTTTTGTTTTGTTTTTCTTCTAACAAATTTATCCCAATATTTCATTGGAAATGATTTTGAACTTATTACAATTCTGTCCAAATACCTAAAGAATTTATTATTTTTTTTCTTTAAAAATAAAATTTTATGTACCAAAAAAGTGTATCAATAATTCCCCTTTCATCATTTCCAGATTCATCTTCAGTAATCCAATAACCATCAAACATTAATTTCCTAGCTACTTCCTTTTCTCGTTTAAAAGTAATTAAAGGAATTTTGAGTTGGTAGAAGGAAACGAGAAGGGCTACAGAAGCAATTGCATGCAAAACACTTAACCAATAAAGAAACTAAAAAAAATAATTTTTGATTAAAATATTTTTGAAGTTGATTAAAAATAAAAATTACAATTAACTACCTGTGATAGAATCCAACCAGTAATCTCGTAGCTAATATAAGGAACAGTCATTCCAGTCTAAAAATTAAATTATGTATAAATAAATGTTTTTTTTCAAATAATGAAGAAGAGAGTAACTCATTCAGAGGAATAATCACTAAAATAAACTAACAATATAAATAGTTTCCAAAACATTTCCTTCTTCATCTTCATCATTATCATCATCTTCTCCCTTTCCTTTATGTAATGCTTCAATTTGTGCAATATTATCCTTCTTTTCATTATTATTAACAATATCAACTCGATGGAAAAGTAAAATAACATTAATAAAGAATGCCAAACAAAGAGTAATCTTCTCAACAGTTTTATAATTTCTTGCCAAAATATTTAAAAGAGAAGAACGTGAACGTCGAGAATTAAATTGTTCGGCTATTTTAGGCTCGTAAAATGCCAATTGTTGTTGGTGTTGTTGTTGTGCCAATAATTGTTGTTGTTGCTGTTGAAGTTCAGTAAAATACGCAGAACCCCCACCACCAAATAATGATTGAAAATCATAAATACTAAAAAAAATTAAAGTCATATCCAGAAAAAAGTAAAATTTTAATGAGAATTTTAAAGATATAATCCACACCTAGGTCTATGCATTTGAGGTATAGTGCTATCCAATGATGGCCGATTTCCATTTCTTCCTTCATTTTCATTACTTGAAGGAGAAATTCGAACTTTTTGGCTTCCAGTACTTGTTTTTCTTTTATCAGCAGGTTCTTCAGAATACTGTTTTTTACTCTCTTCATCTGCTGGCTTTTGATGCCTTCCAATTGTTGAAGGTCCATTAGGTGGAGGTTGTTTTTGTGGAGAACCTTGACGGCTTTGAGCTATAAAAAAGTTTGTAAAAAAAGTAATGTTATCTTTTGTTAGACCTGCCGTAGCAGGACTGTGACCCCGACTGTCTGTATGATGTATATGAATGCCAAAAGCATCAACATCATGCAAGGTTGAAGTTTTGGTATAGTCCCTTAACAAGGTTGGAGTTGATGGAGCAGTTGTCGGATGAAGATGAGCCCCAAATTTGCCGGCATGTGTTGATGCCTCCAATTTTTCAGCATCTTCATGGCCGGGGGGTATATCTTCATGATCGCTCATTAGGTTAACAACAAATCGAAAAACAGTCATGAGCAAAAAGATAATGAACATAACTAAGGAACGTGTAAGGGAGAAGCCGAGACGAATCAAAGATTTGAAGACCTGTCCCCACGTCATTGACCTAAAAAGGAACGAAATTTAAGTCCATAATATGGGAAGTATAATAACAAATTACCTAAATTTCTTTGCTGCCTTTTTCAATTCCTTTTGAATATTTCTAAAATAAAATTGAATAAGAAAATTAAAATTAAATACAAACTCAGGTTTTAAAAATGTAAAAGCCGATAATCCACATTTATATCCAGCTCTTAATGTATTGGATATATGTTCACCAGCAGTTGTTTGTTGCAGAAAATAGTCACGTTGCCGCATAGCCCGTTCTAATTTTGAGTCAGTTCCTTCAGAAGAACTAATCTCAGCGGCATGTTGCATCTATTGAATAATAAAATTAAAATTATTTGAAATCACTCAAATTATGATATGGAATATAAGTGTGGATATTAAGGGGATATTGCTGGAGTGTTTTGGTGGGGTTATGAAAAACATAATTCGTAAATTCATGATAATCACCTCAAAAATGGTATCTTCGCAGAAATTAATAAACGCTTCTAATTTCCCCTGATCACCACCATCATCCTGAAGAACATTAAAGAGAAAAGCATTTTTAGAGTCACGAATTTGTTGTTTTCCCCATTGTTCAAGCCAACTTTCTTGTATTTCAAAATAAATTTTTTCCACTCGTTTTGCAGATCCCATAATTTCTATACGGCCAAGGAATGGATCAAAATATTCGAGGAGAGAGGCTGCCTTTTCGACAATTTTTTCAAGTCGAGGATCATTTGTTATATGTTCTTTTAAATTGGTAAGGAGAACAGCAAGATTGAAACCAATATCTCTGGCAGGATTGTGAAATCGTTCAGTAAACTCCATATAATCAACTTTTCCATCATTATTTACTTAAAAAGGGAAAAGATGTAAAAAGATTATTTTTTAACAGAAATTTTAATTTTTGGCGCTATTTTTGAAGATTTTGTAAAAAAGAGAAATTTTTACCATCAGTGCACATCATTAAATAAGTAATTTCTTCAATCGAATACATTTTCTGAGCCTCCATTGCTCTCTGAAATTCTTTTGGTGAAATCCATCCATCATGATTAGTATCAAAATCTTGAAAAGCTTGTGATGTTGTTAAGTCTTTTAATTTGAGAAACATATCAGAAAATTTGATCTGAAAGTAGTTAAAGATATAATATTTAAACATTTAATTTAGAAGAGATCGAACAGAGTTTGAACCTGGATTTGGGGAACCAGAAAATATTTTTAAAACAAAATTTAGATGGCCCAAAAATAAATAGTAAGTCAACTCACAATCATTTCAATGCATTGTTGACTTTCAACTAAAGCATCAACCATTTGCTTTCCAATTGGGCCATTAAGTACATTCCCTTTTTAAAAAGAATTAAAAAATAATATTCTTAATTTTCAAATACCCTCAAGCATTGAAAGCATTAAAACAATCATATCTTTTTGTAAATTCAAAAATTCTCTCAACAATTCTAATTGTGTACTATTTTTGTATAATTTTTCCATCATATGAGCAAAAAGAAAGAAGAATCCGTTTATAGCATCCCAAAGTCGAGAATTAGCTAAAGTCATTTGGTTACCAACACAGGGACCCTTTCAAAAATTAATTTTATTTCCTTAAAATTTCATATATTTCTTTACTTGAATACTTTCGGTGAGTGTATTAAATACCTAAAATTAAATAATTATTTTAATAAAAAATAAAAATAAATACCTGACTGCATACTTGAATGGCTCTAAGAAAATATTCTTTCCCTCCTTCATCAATTACTTCTTTAGAACTATAGTGCCAATAAAAGTCTAAAAAAATTTTCTTTCTATTTTTTAGTTCAAGTTTTATCATTATTTACCCATAACAGATTCTTGAAGTCTAAGTAAATAATCAACTGTAGAATTAATTAAATTAACACTTGTAGTATGTCCAGATTGGGTTCTCTTTAAAAAAATATTTTTTAGAGAATTATTTAGAAAAATAATTACCAAATAATTTTGAAAATCTAAATTATGGCCTTCACAAGTTAATTGTAAAAATCGAAATAAAGAACAAGTAAAGTCAGCATCATTTAAATTTTGATGTTCACCAGCAGCTAATTCTGCCCCCATCCCCAACCCTTCAGCTTTTATTTGGCGTTCAAACATTTCCAAATTTAAAACACTACATTTACACATTAATCCTGATAGAGAAATGAAGAAACGAACATCCTTTACTGTTTGTAAATAATTTAGCATCATCTGAAAAATTATGTATTTTTAATATAATCTTTACAAACAAGTTCTAAACAAAAGAACTCGTTTGATAATTCGAAAAAGGGGTGAAGAGAATTATGTATCTTCCTTGAATGAAGCCCGGACCTTTTGAATATCCTTGTTTCCTCCACTTAACAAATGAATGCCCAATTGCAGCGTTTCAGCCACCATTTCATTCGGTTCTCCATTTGCGGCACTTAGATACATCAAGCACCTAAAAAATTTTTTATGATTTTATATTCAACTTATTACTTTTTAAAATCATCACATGTGTGCATTTATTTTACATATGTACCGTGTGATTTACTCAAAAAACTTTTTACACATAAGTTAAGGCCTTAAGATTAAATGCTCACATAATTGCTGCACCCCTATTTGCAAGAACCGCTTGTTCGACACGAAGTGCTTGAACCATTTCTTCTTTTTCAGCCTGATCGACTTCTTTATCGTTTTCACCTCCACCTCCATCCTCATCTTCTTTGTCAATATGGACAGAACGGCACATAACTTTAGCATAGCGAATAAATAATCTATTTATTAAAATGTTGATTGTAGTTTTAAATGAATTTATTTACTTGTCATCCGCAGTGCTAAAAGATTGATTCCCACTCTCCTCACTAGTGGCTGCTCTTTGAAAACATTGAATAAGCTGACTCAGAGCATCAGGATTTGTGTTACTTTGTCTTTAAAATTTAGACATAAATTTTATAAAAAAAATTTTTACTTTTCGTTTGGTCCTTCTTCAATTTTGAGAAGCCCAGTCTCATCTTCTACAAGATGTGCAACAACTGGTGAAGCCGATTCAATAGATCGTATAGTAGTAGATGCTACTCCAGGTGTATTACTAGCCTTTAATTAGAAGCATATTATGACTTTAAAAAATTATTTTTAACTTACACAAACATCGGCAACTAATCTATCTTGGTCAACGTCTTCATCCGCTAACCATTTTTGACTGAATACAGGCAGGAATAAATTGATACCACGATGCCTGTAAGGAAAAAAACTTTAGGTTATTAAGAAAAAGATGCTTTGATCTCAAAAATTAATCCTGGCATTAGTTTCTTATAAATTTCGGCAACAAAATTGTTATTAACGTTTGATTAAAACAAAGCCAAGTATGAAAAAAGATAAAGCAATAACAGCAAAAAAGCAAACTTTTCAAGTTTGTAAAGATGTATAGTCGTTATCAAGGCACAGACCAGACGTTTGCGTTGTGCTGTTAAAACTCGTTTCCATTTATGTTCCCCATCAGATCGAATTGTTACCTAATAATAAAATGGAACAATGTAAATATTTTTGACATTCTAATATTTTAATTGGGGCTTAATAACAAGTTATTCAACCAAAAAATCATTATTAGATTAATTAGCTAGTATTATTAGCTTTTAATATTAGCAATTTTAATTAATAATTGTTAACAAAACAGACCCAAACAAAACAAACAAACATTAAAAAATAAACACAAACATTTCACACCAAACAAAAATACCTCGGAATACTGTAGACGGGAATCATCCGAAAACAAGCAACTACTGCACGTTTTCTTTGATTGCTGACCATTTTCTTCCATTCAGAGGGTTTAAAAGATTGAGGATGTTCGGTCTGAAACAATTGAATGTGCAAGAATATACAACAAATTTAATTTTCCTGATTAACCTTATTTTCTAAAAATTTTATTTGTGCTATATATCGGTCAATTACTTAAAAGTTATCGGAAAATTTCGATCTAAAAAAGATTTGAAGAAGACAAAAAACAAATTACAAAACATAAATACTATAATGTGCGAAACAAAAAAATTAAATATTTAATTTTCCTATAGAAAAAAGTATCTACCGTGTGTAGAATCGCAACTACTTGCCCCATTTTTACAATTTTGTCAACAACCGCCTCATGACTCATTTCTTCTTTACCACGCATTTGTGATTTTCCAATTTTTCGATATAAATTTAATTGCCAGGCATTTTTGTCTGTTGGATCAGTACGCTAATAAATTAAAGAAAATATTTAATTTTTACAATGTATTTACCACAGGAAGTAAAAGACGTCCTTTAATAAATTCTCTAACTTTATCCTCATTTTCTTTTGCCAGAAAACGTTCCTTGCTTTGTTGAACAATATCCAATTCCCTTCCACCAAAAACATTTAATCCAACAGGAAGAAGCCGTTTAAGACAAGCAATTACTATGCTATTTGCATGCTTATTACGACGAACCTTTTTTAAACAAAATTATTTTTTATTATGCAATTAAAAAAATAATTCATTACTTGCCCTTCGCGGCGTCTTTTCTTTCGTTCAGCAATTGCTGCTTTACCAGTCTTCATTTCACCTCCAGCACCTCCTCCATCTTCTGTATCATTATCCTCAAATTGAGCCATATAGTTAAGCTCCTCTCTTTTGAAATGTTGACTTAAAGACCTTAAGAAAATGTTTTGTGTATAAAGATGTATATTTTTTTATCAAAGACCATATCCTAAAGATAACGGCAACATTTTCATAAATTCCATCACTTTCCCACGAAGGAGTCTTTAACCATTTAGCACGATGTAAATCAGTATATTTCATTAATATTGGGAAAAAGGCATAGACATCTCTGACAAGACGAGCATTATCCTCAAATTAAAAGTTTATTATTATTCCTTCCTTTATTGCAAGGATAGGCCGAATTTAAACAGATTATTTAGTTTGAGGACCACCTCAGCCACAGCTGCATCATCAGCTTCATCAGGATGTGTTCTCATTCTTTCCTCTTCAGTATATGCCTTCTCTGCCATATTTCTCAAATGTTCAGCAACAGGCAACAAATAATCTTTAACTGGATCACAACTAACAAATTGAATTAAAGGAACAGCTGAGGAATGTGCACGGCAAAGCCACGGAGCAACTTCTCTTCCAATATGATCACGCATCAATCGAAGAAGCGAACAAAAGAAACGGTTTATGTGTTCACTGCTGACTTGAGTTATTGGAAGTGAGGGCCGATTAGGACCCTCTGGACCAAACTGCCACCAATATGCTAGATATGAACAAATTAGAGGCAAATCAACATCAAATGTATTTGGAGAATCAATGTACAGAAAACTGGAAAAGAGTAAAAAATTAACTAGCTATTTTCTTAAAAAAATAAATTTTGAAAATAATTTCCAAAAAAACCCCCCAAATAGATTAATTAAAATTATCAGTGGATTAAAACTTTGAATTAAATCTGTTTTTATGATTTACCCCTTCTCAGCAGTTTGTTCAATGTCAAGAAGGATTTTATCTAATTGTGGAATATGTTGTGAAAGATTTTGAAGCATCTCTTGAACTTGAACAGATTGCTCTCTACTTTTAGCCAACACCGACAATTTATTTGAGGAATTAAATTCATTTTCCAAAAATGCTACGGGAAAAGTAGCAGCAAATGCACCCAGGCATTGTCCCAAAGCTGCGCGATGTCTTTCAACTTCAATTTGAATTGAACGCCGTTGCGAATAAGCTATCGAAAGCCCATTAACTAAGTAAAGGCTGTCAAGAATTTTGTAACAGGATGCTTGAATGTCGTCCACTGAAACAAAAGTAAAACTTTAAAAAATTTTAATCCGTTACAAAGTAATTCGCTTCCGAAATGATTTTTGGCAAGGTGCACGAACATTGAAGTCAAAACAGGGACTATCATTTGAAAGGCAAATTCAAGTGAAATCCACGACATAAAAATGAGTAAATATTTTTAAAATAATTAATTTTAAAAACTTTAAATTTTCTCCACGAAGCAAGGAATATTGGCCGCTTTCGCGAAGTTCATTGACAGCGGAAAAAAGGTCCTCTGCACAATTGTTGAAGAAAATGAAAAGCCCTTAATGAATTTAAAAAATTTTTTTAAAGCAATTTCTGAATAAAATTGAATGGTAAATGCATAAAAAAATATTTACGAATAAACGACTTTGAATAGATAACTTTGAATCTCAATTAAACGTTCACAAAACCTCCGATAAAAACAATGTACATATAAAAGCCAATTCAGAAATCTAATCCCAATTAAGCTTTACTATCAATTGTTACTTCGTTTATTCTCGACTACTGTTACAAAGTTCGTTTTAACCTTTACGTTTTCATATATTTGTTGATCTTTATTTTAGTGTTCAGCTTGCAAATGTTCACCTCTTCGACGCTACAGGCATTCTTGATCTTGCTCTTCTTCACTTTAGCTACTGCCCTTGTGCTCCAGATATGCTGTGCCAAGAAACAAAAGAAACAGCCAAAGAGGTGTATTTTAACTAAATATTTAATAATTGTAAAAAATTGTAGGGGAACTGAAAGGGAGTTGATGCTTGCCACTGAAAAGGATATCCAGACGCAGACGAAAATGAAACAAACAACATTGAAACTACCACCACCATCACAAAAGGAGAAAAAAGGAAAGAAGGCAGAAGGCAAGAAGAAGGACAAAGGCAAGAAAGGTGATGAGAAAAACGAAGTCGAACAAAAAAGACCTTTAGCTGGATCTGCCCTTGGCGTTGTAAGTTTCTGATGTTAATTTCCTATTTTTATAACTCAATTTCAGGAAGTGCCCCCGACAATGGAAGCGGAGGAGAGTCGTGTCGAGAAAGCCAGCACTCCAGCAGCACAGAAGGAACCTCAAGCACCAAAAAGTGCCCAAACGCCCGAAGTGCAAAACAATGTTAAAACTGCAATCAAATTGGATGATAAAACAGTCGACCGATCTGCGATGGCAACTTCAAAGACGGAAAAACAAACAACGCTACCAGCAACTACAGAAAAGAATGTAGAAAAAGCGCCGAAAAAGGTAGACGAGGACAAAAAAGAAAAACCAAAAGAAGCCATCGACAAGAAGGAGCCGAAGGTTTTATCAGATGCAAAAGAGAAAAGTGAGTTGAAATTTTGATTGGTAAAAATAAACTTCAAAATAATTTTTAAATTATTCAGAACCAGCAGCAAAGGATACCAAAAAACAACCTCCACCGCCGCCTCCTGCCAAGGAAAAAACTCTAAAGGAGAAGGCAAAGGCTTCAACACCTAAGAAAGCGGAAAAACAAGAAGAGCCTCCAACAACAGATCCAAAGAGAAGGACTAGCTCCAAAGAGAAGGATGAAGGAGGAAAGGTGAAGGAATCCCCTGTCAGTAAAAAAGGCGAAGCAGTGGATGAAGAAGGGAAAAAGGAAGAAGTCAGCGAAGTTGATGTAACGAAAGGAGAGGATGAAGTTGGCACAAAGAAGGAAGAGGAAGGTGGTGGAGGTGAAAAGAAGGCCGATGAAAGTGATGCGGGGAAGGACGCTGTCGAAGACGCTGAGACCACTGCTCCAACAAAGGAAGAATGAAATTGAGGATATCGAGATTGATAAAAGAATATAAAGTATAAATAAATATATAAATAAAACTAATTATTGTTGTTTTTCATTATATGTACATTGTTTTTGTTGTAATAATAATTTTGTTTCCTTAATAAAATTATAAATTCATACTATTTCAGTTTTAAGTTTTAATCCTTAGTAGTATCTGATAGAATTTTGTATTAAAAACACCTGTTCGAATTATGTCAGAATTAATCCTCACTAGCGTTCGTACATCCAAAGCTTGTGTTAACCCTTGAAGACATTTAACTGTGATACGTGCAACACTGCCAAAAGCATGATTTTTAATTCTCAAAAGAGCAGCAAGACGGCAAAAAAGGCTAAAAAATAAAAAATATTATTTTAGTTAAAAGAAGACTGCGAGCCTTTTCAGAAAAGCTTAATATTTTTTATGAGGGAAAGGGAATATCACTACAATTCACAAATATAATTCCTCACAAATTCCAAAAAAATTTACTACCTTGCTACCATTTCCTTTTCTTTATTTGAAGCAGTCCCAGTTTGTACCATTGAACTACTTGCCAAAAAATAATTTCTATGGGCACTAAAGTAGGCGAACATTAATGGAAGAACAACTTTCTCAAAAAATTTAACATCTTGTCCTTCTCTCCGAAAAGAATTTCTTTTTGTTAATTCATGTGAAGGTTTTAACGATTTCATTCGAACATTGGCTTGTTCAAGATATGCAAGTAACTTTTCAAGTAAATTAAAAGCAAAACGCTTTTCAACAGAAGAACGATCAGCACCTAAAGTAGTGCAACTAGCTGTTGCTCCTCCATCAATTTTGAAACGGTCAACAATCGACATCTGATCCACTGAGTCGGAAGAACTTTAAAATATAATTAATTTTTGTTAGGATATTTACTAAAATTTTAATTACCTAGAAATTCGATATCCATGAAATTGAAAGAATTTGAGGACTTCTTGGGCCCTGAAGCGGTCTTTGCGTCTTTCAAAATCTGTCAATAATTCCCATGGAACAAGAGCAAGAGGCATTGAAGGGTATTGGGCACTATTGTCTGCTAAATCATCAAAAACTTTTCTAGCCCAAAGATTATGGGAATTCTCTGCCAATTGTTCAGCGACTTGAAGAATTTCTTTATCCAAATTCATATTAGAGAGATCAACAGGACGAGGATTGAAATCCTTAATAAAATTAATAAGGAATTAAAGAATATCTTCAAAAAATAATATATTACACGCTCATTTCTCCCAGAAAGTACTCTACTCTGATTGGCACGTTCATTAGCATCATGATCAACTAATTCAAATTGATATCCCCAAACAACAAGTGCTCTAATACATTCTGCACAACGTTCTTTATAGAATTCTTTTTCCTGAAAATTTAAAATTTGAGAGCAAATAAAATTTCAAAATTTTTTTACATAATCCTGTAAACGATGAAATGGAACAAGTCGAGGGTGATTAGTTGTTCGCCTTGAATATAATAATCCATGTGTCCATCCTTTGTCTAATTTACGTGCAGCCCAGGAATCGTGAAAATGCTCAGCAAATTTTTGTACCATTGCATTTAATTCATTATTTAATGTAACTTTTGAGTAATCTAATTGTTGTGGAACCCAAACACCTTCGTAGTCTTGGGACTAAAAATAAAGGAAAATAGGAATGTTTATATGTAATAGGAATTATTTTTCACTCTAAAATTAAAAAAAAACAAACAGTAGTAAGTTCAGCTCGTTCAGAAGTAAGGGCATAATCAGGTGAAATTGAAGAACCGATAGCTGTCAAACAAGGCAATGCTTTTCCAAATAATTCAGGATCATAAGGTTTAGAGGAGAGAGAATCAAATATAGCATAAAATAGAAGCATTGATAATCGTTTCTCTGTTTCAGATGCAGCACCCAAAGAATTTCCACTCCCATAATATTTATTACAACGTTCATAATGTAAAGTAATTATCTATTAAAATATAAGTATTAAAGCAATATTCGGCATTGAAAATACCCTCAACGGGACAAGTACATTATCCGACATTTGTTGAATATCGGCAATAACTTTTCTCAACAATTTAACCATCATCGTGGGAGGTAATTCTCGACTTAACGCCACTAAGAAATCACTAACAGCATCTCTCTGATTTTTAGTTAAAGATCGAAGGCGATTCATTCTATAGACAGTATGAAGTGTTGCATCCAATAAAGGTGCATGATGTTCAGCGTCTGCGAAGAAATGTGAATGGTTTGATAAGAGAGGCAGAACAGCATTGCAAAGATAACGATTCAAAGCTAGTGCTGTATCAGATTCTAAGGCTCGAGGTGAATCCATCATTGTGGCTGCACGTAAATCCTGAAGTAAAAAGGAACTAACTTTCAGTGATAAAAATAGGAAAAATATTTAGTATGAAATCCCCCATTAACATTTGGTGTAAATGAAGTAAGGGAATCGGAGAAATATTAGAAAAATAAATTTAGTCAAAAAAGTTGTCATAAATTGAAATTACCGGCAAGAAGCTTTGTTCCAAAAAATTGAAGAACATTTCCTGGAAATATTTTATACTTAATTTTTATTAATCATGGTCACATGCCTGAGAATCTATGCCATAAACACGGTCGAGAAAGAGAAGAACAGATTGTTTATGATTGGGTAAAAGTCCTGGTTGTGGACCAGTATCTAAGAAAATTAAAATTAAAGTTCAGATAAACATAGTATGTATTTGAAAGTAAAAATTTAAGAATTATTTAAAGCTCTATTTGATTTGGTAAAAACGTAAATTGAAAAAAAAGTTATAAAAAACACACTGCAAGCACTCCGTTTAGGCAAAGAAACCCCCCTGCGTCGGCAAAACAATCCTTCGTTGTATAAGGGCGGCGGAATTGGTGTTGTAGAGGTTTCATTGTTATCTCCAGATATGCTGCTGCCTTCTGAAACCTCTTTTAATGGTGAGTTTGATCTAGTACTAGCAATACTATTATTTGCTGTTTGATAATTCGACTGGGGTTGTTTATTATTGTTAGGAATGTTATTTTGTGTTGTTAACTGATGAAATAACGCAGCCTTTGAAGCCGGTGTGTTAAGTGCTTTAAGCAGGGTTGAAGCTCTAAAGGTTTTAAGGTTACAAAAAAAAGGAGTTGTTAGTAAAAGAGATCACCCCTATCATTAATCACCTGTAATTAACAGAAATAGACTGTTGACGGACACGAGCACTCAGCGTTGCAGCAATGTTAGCAAACGTATTTGTAGTATCTACAAGTCCATGCATTTTAGATTCCATTGAATTGGAAGAGGAAAATTTAGAAAATGGGGGCTTCGAAGTTTTTGAATATTCTTGGTTATTTTTATCTCCGTAGTTGGAATAATTATTTTTTAATTGATTCTGATTGTTGTTCTTGAGTATACCACTTACTGAAGAAAATGGATTTGGAAAATTTGTTAGAAGGAATGTTAAAAAGGGAGGATGCACTTCAACGAAAAATTATTTGTGTTAATAAAAAATTTTAAGCTTGACAAAAGTACTCGATTAAAGTAAAATAAATGGCTTTGAAATTAATACAAATTGAACTAAATTAAGGTTCAGTTTCCCGAGTCAGAGTGTGATAAGAGATTAACAATGTAAAGGATAAAATAGAGATTTTCTTTACTATTCTACTAACCATCATGAGCAGCAACAGTGCCACCATTTCCAAGACCTCCTCCGCTAGCCACAAGATTGGGTATAGTAAATCGTAATGCAAGAATGTGTCGCAAATCATCCAGTGATATCAATGAACGAAGTATTGCTCTAGCTCGAACACTGTCACCTTTCCCTGCTTGAATTGTCAAAGGGTCCGGGGCACATTTTGCCAACAAATCAACAAGAGAGGAATAAAAGTCGAGAATGGATGCACCAAGATCCATATAGTCTTCGCCTTCAATTTCTTTAGATGGATATTTTCCATGATCTCGAAGAATTTGAGAATTAAGAAGGAGAGGGTCTTCCCCTTCTTCTAAGTGACGTACGTCTTCTGATAAAGAAATTGCTTCCTGAGAGTGGGAATAAATTACTATAAATTAATTTATAACACCTTAAATGCAGCAAACAATCCTTGCCCCTCTCCTTTCAATGCTACACCTAAACATTCTGGTCTACGAATGAGAAGTCTAATAACAAGATTAGCATTCTCTTCAACATTTTCTCCATTAATCCAAACACAGAAACGAAGAAAGTCTAAGTATCGTTCACCTTCTACTGGATCCCATCCAATGTCTGGATAATCCCGAGCTAAAAGCTCAGAGTTTGGTTGAAGTCCACAACGCATTAAGTAAACAGCAACCTTTTGTATGATTATTTCTATAGTTATAAGAAAAGAACACCTTATCCAATTCTTCTTCTTTTAAAGCAAGTGCCAATTCATTATTATCCATGAAAGAAGAATAGGCAACATCCAAAGGAACAGAACCACGTAAACTGGGACGTGCCAAAAGCATTGTAGCATTGTCTAATAAGAATGAAAGATGTTCAAACATTGCTTTCTGGTTTAGGCGAGAAGTACGGCAAAAGTAGCAAAGAAAACGGGAACAAGCTACAACCATTTCAGATGCATTCTAAAAAAGGAGTTAATTAAACTTTCGTTAGTAGAGACCTTCTAATAATGATAATAAATAAAACAATTTAAAACTCCCACAGTCTGTCCGGGCAAATCACCACCGCCACTTTCAGCAGCTTCAACGGCTGACTGTTGTCTAGTTAATACATTCATCATTATAGTCATAACATCCTCGTGTACCCTAAGAAGACGCATTAAATCAGGATGTTGAAAGAAAATTCTATTGTTCATTAATTGCCATAAACCTCTCTTAAGTATTCCTTCTTCAGTACTTTCTAATTGGACATTAAGTAATTCTCTTATTTGCATTAAATATTCAATAAATATCTAAAATTATTCATTTAATATTTAAATGATGTATTAATTACTCTACCTTTACATCATCAAGATTTCTTTCATGTAAAACATAAGTTTGTCCAATAGAATCCATCATTTCGACAACTCCAGAATATTGCCTTAATAAAAGAGCAAATATTGCTCTAATAAGTTCATTAGATTCAATTTCTGATTCATTTGCCCAACGTCTCAACGTCAAAACAATTAATTGTCTACAATAAGATTAAAATATTAAATTGTCAAAAGATATCTTAAAAACACCTAAATTTCTCAGTCCCTTGATGTTCATCTTTATTAGAATTTTGTCTATCGATGGGAGGTACTGAAATAAGTAATTGAGCTAATTTATCAACCCAAGAAAGCTCTTCTTCCTCCACTTCAATTTGTCCTTCTTCCTTAGCTTTACTTCCTTCTATTTCAGAAATTGAAACTCTTTTATGGCTAACTTTAAAAACTAATGATTGACAAAATTCTCTTAATTGATCTTGTAAATTCTCCGATGTTGGGCATTGATCTTCATCAGCTTCATCATCAATATATCGCATAGCCCCATCTTCCTTTACTTTACAATTTAGTAGTCGATACATCTGAAAATACAACTGATTTAATAAAAAGTATGTAAATACGTAGATATTAAAAAATAAATTAAATTAATCTAAACTACATATATCCTAAATTTATTTTATTATCCACCTGTTCCTTTGGTGGACATCTAAATTCTTTTGTTCGTTTTGCCGCTTCAGCTGGCGGCATTTCTGTCTGTTTAATCTCCAAATACCGGCGGCATTGGTCTTGTTGTAGCTCCGCAACGAAACCATCACTAAATGCTGCAAGAGATTCTATTCTATGACGTACCTATAGTTGAAAATTTAGGCAATTCTAAAAATTTGAATGAATTACTTGTATATCACATAAATGTTCAAGAATGCTAACAAGTTGAAGTTTAACACCTTCAGCCAATTCAATATCTGCCAATCCTTTAGCAACAGGAGTAAATGTATCATTATGAATTTTGTTGCTGCCAAATGATGCTGGATGAATTAATTGAAGTATTTCAACAAGTTCTTCGTCTGTTATTAAACCAATTATTAGAAGAGAATCAAGCAATTTAAGAATTGGCCTGACAAAATTGTAAAAGTTTTATTATTAGTTAAATTATTTAAAAATACTCAAAATGTTCCAAATTTCCTCCACCCATAAAATCTCGACAACTAAGAACAGCATTTCGAGTGGCCATTCGAAAAGCATTCATTACATGCTCTTTAAGGCGAAGAAAATTCAATTGTGGAGGTAAAAGACGATTACTGCTACTACTATCTGCGGCAGTAGAACAAGAATCGCGTACTGTTGGCACAGGGGACAAACTAAAGAATATTAGATTAAATTTTAAAAATTTATTTTCTTACACTAAAGGAGCAGATACAGGCATTTTTGGTTGCAAAACAGGATCGGCCTTCATTGTTGGCAAAATTCCGACAACAGATCCTAGTATTTGTGGATAACGTCCCTCAGATTTTGCATCAAAAACGTGTTTGTCATTTAATCCATCCTCAACAAGAGGAATTATAAATCTTAAATCAGAAAACACATTTTTATTTTTAAAATATTTTCTACTCTTTAGCCATAGAAAGTCGTGCATCTGCATGAGTTTTCAGATGTACGGCAATAAGAAAGTTAATTAATCCCTGCCGCATTGGTCCAGACAAATTTGGATTGCGTACAGCAAATATTAATTGTTTTTCGTCTACATGAGAACAAAGTTGATGAGCAACCCTTTGATTTCCATGTGCCGCTAATTTACAATAAAGACATAATGTACGTTCATGAAAAGCAAGTAAATCGGGTTTCTCAATTAATTCGAGAATATCAATGCTTTCGTCACGTTCAGGAATGTAAACCATGAGCGCGCGAACTGGCTCGTCACAAAGCACCGACCAACCTGAAAATTGAGAAAAATAGGGATCTTCTATGCCGACTGATAATCTAACCAATTGAATCTGAAAGTTTTATTGCACTAGCTCTAAGTGTTTTGCTGGGAACTCTTGCCCAATGAACTGAACGAAGATTTTCCACACAGAGGCGAGGAGGGCAATAAGGAATAAGTGCTTTAGCTGAAGATTTAAAAACTGCAGATGAAAGAGGATAAGTGAATTTAATTCGTCCCAGTTCAAATTGAAGAATTTCTTGGCTTGTTGGTTGAACAAAGACAGAAGGAAAAAGTAAAGCTTCTGGTTCAAGTTTAAAACGCATTCCAGTGTCTTGACCTTGAGCATAAAAAGCTAATTCTCCAATTGCTGTATCAATCAAACAGCCAATTAGTAATCCTGATACTTTTGTGTTGCTTGGGTCAGCAACTGTGGAAAGTAATTCTGCCTAAAGAACTTTTTAAATCGTTAAAGAAAATTGCTCCTACCGCATTCAACATATAGCAATTGCGATATTCAATACTTCCTGCCGTATCACCTTGATGGTCAAGTTCAGTATAACGACTTCTACGAACAGAATTTTCGGCATTAAATTGCTTATCATAAGCATGGAATTGTGGACGAACCCATCCAACCCAGACGTTAGAAAGATCCTGACCGGGAAATATGCGTACGCCAAAGTAATATTCATCAATCTGATAAAAATAATAAAAATTAAATAAGTTCATTAAATACTCTCATTTAGCCTAAATAAATTCAAAAGCTAGAATCCACCTGATCGCCCATTTCTTGCATAGAAAGTACATCATCTAATACTGGCCCAACTTCCTCTGCCGGAGCAACAAGTGAAAATCGTTGTGTCCCATCAACTAAAGAAGGTTCTCTCATTTCAATGAGTGGTATAACAGTCGAGGACATAGCTGGCATAGGTTGATGCCTTTTGCCAACTCCAAAGCGCTTCTTTAAAGGAGAAGTCCTTCTGGCAACAATCGTAGGTTGACGCCCAGGCCCAGAAGAGGGCATTTCGCCTGTAACTAAAAGTTAGAACATTAAAATCTAATTTTTTTCTTTTTTTCCCTACTTTCAGCAGCATCAGCCCGACTTATCCCACTGGCAGAAATTGTATCAAGTCCTTTGAGACCATAAGTGTCATCTGTTGTTCTTTGATGCCTTTTAACTTCATCTCTACAAATTAAAAAAATTTTTGATTTATTCAAATATAATCCCACTTTTGCTGCTGTTTTTGACGGATTCTTCCCAAAATTCCCCCAGAACTCTTTTTTGTTGCTTTTCTTTCTTCAGGACTTAATTCCATTAAACTTGATTTACTTAAAATTAATTATTTGACCACAAATTTTTTAAAAAGACAAACACAAGCATAGCAGCAGCCCCATCCATTATTGGATGTTCTGGAGAAGAGTCAAAAGAGGATGTTTTGTAAGTACGTTGTGAACGTCGATCAGGGTCTAATGGTTCCTGACTGCCTTGACGGAAAACAGAAAGGAGGCCTTTCTTTCCACGAGCCTTTAAAATCATTATAAATTTATGTAATAAAATAATTTTTTCGGAAAAATGTTTATCAATAAATGCCTTATTAGCCTCGCTTTGTATTGTCAATTGTTCTCCATTGATAGCAGCTGTCTGACCTAATTTGATTAAAGAACTAAGTGAAGTATTCCTTTTCTGTTGATAATCTTCCATTTTGGCATGTAATTCTTCTTTGCTTCGGCTAAATAAATAAATTTTGCGAAATAAAAATAAATTAAAAACCTATTTTTATTAAATGTACGGTTACATTTAACAGGCAACGATAAACGTAAAAATTCCATTCTTGAAGTAGAACGTTCATTAGGCAGGCCTATACCTACACCAGTCTCTTGTCCACCTACTCCAGCTGCAGTACTTCCTGTAACTACAGCAGTGTCTCCACTCCCCCCTCCACTAACTGCTGCTTTTTGTGATATTTTCAAACAAGGAGGCGATGTTGTAGTTGCTGGTACTCGTTGAACATCCAAACGAGTATGGCTATCTAATTCTGTGAAACGAGGCAATCTCTTTGCATACCAAAAAGGCATGGGGCGGAACATATTTCTAAATTAATGAAAATAATTCTTCCTTATTTCATAATAACATACACACAAAAAGGCTCATATCCTTCTTGGAGCCCACAAGTAGTGAAGAATTTAAGAGAATTGGAATCCTGGCCAAAGTTAAATTTTCCTTTCTGACCTGCTGCTAAAGTCATTGCAGGAACAAAACTGAATATTTTTAAATAATTTTATAGAAATTTTGTAAAGACCCATCAGTGGGTTGGACATTATCAAACGCCATTTCACTCCCTGAGGGGTCTAAAAGAAGCTCGCCATTCAGAGAGAAGGAGATAGTCCGATCATTCAGGTCTAGAAAACAGCCAACAACATCACCAATCTAAATTGATCAAATTAATTGTTTTAATGAAATTTTTATCTGGCACGGATCAAAAATGATACAAACTTTCCAGGCCCGTCCATAATGTTCAGCACCTTGATGCCATTTTTTCACTAAATGTCCGTCGAAACCATAACTTAAAGCATCAACACCAAGTTTGCTCTCAGGTTGGGATGAGACGTCCATCCAACCAACTTTCATAAATCCTTCTGTTAGGACCTGGATAATTATAATATTTATTTGTAGTGCTCAAAAATTAAAATTTGCCCAAAAATCCTTTGAGAAAAATGACTCAAGACTTTCTTCATTAAAAATAGTTAAGAATTAATTCACCTCAAATTCATAATACCACTTTCCATTAATCACTTTATAAGTAGCCTCGGCTCTAAAAGTTCTAGTCAAAGCATCAAGTGCCTGTAATTCCTTTTCTGCCTCCAAATCTCTTTCGGTTATTGGTGTTTCTAAATAAATTCCATAAAGTTGAAGAGTTCGAATATTTTCAGCAGCAGCTTCCCTATTTGCTTCTTTTATGCGTTCATCAACTTGTTCATAGGGTACCAAGTGTGGAGTTCGTTTTTGAACTGCATCCACATACTAAATAATTTTATAAATATAGCTAAACATTTTAAAAATTTTTAGAAATTTTTTTGAAATTTGCTTAAAAATTTTAGTCATCATCTTTATTTAATACTCACATCACTAATTCCAAAAGTCCATCCTCTCTTAATTTTCTCCTTTGCCCATACATTGTGTGTATTTCTAGCTAAAGCTTCAATTAAAGGTTGCATTCCTTCAGGTAATTCAATTTCATGAGTATCCAGAGGTTGAGGCTTGTATCCATTTGATTGAACATAACTTTGGGGAAGTCGAAGTGGACGAAGACGTGTTGGGGGCTTATCAAGCATCTGAAAATTAAGATTAAAAAACGAAAATTAAAAATAAGTACCATATGCCAACCAAGAGCCTCGATAGTTTTTAATGTTTCAAGGGCCAAATTAATATTATAAGCACGTTCGGCATCAGGTAAATGATCGAAGGATGTAAGACAATGATGTAGTCGGTTCTGTTCGCTACGAACCTATTTTAAATAATTAAAAACTAGTTATAAAATTCTGATTTTTATTTACTTCTCCATAACTCCATCCTAAATCAATTTTCCTCATTGCCCAAAGTTCATGTAAATTCTCTGCAAAATTCATATGTGCTTCCAATGCAAATCCAGGTAATGAAATATTAGTTGTTTCTATAGGTGTTGGCACGAAAGGCTCAATTGAATGAAGAATTGTTGATGGACCAGAGAAGATTTGTTTGGGGATGTCTCCGAAGGAAAGACACTCTTGTACCGTTAATTGGCTATTTAATGCTTCAAAGACTGGAGAGAAACTTGAAGGAGGTCCAAATTTGAGGCGACCATGATTTCGTCCAAAAATAAAACGGCAACTAGAAAATATTGTTTAAAAGTATTATAAAGATACGAAGGGGATTTTAAGAATCCTAATTAATCAGGTAAATTATAAGAGAAAGGATAAGATCCCAAAGGTCGTTTGTCCAACCGATTACTATAAAAGGTAAATGAAGGTGAGTAGATTGTTATAAATTGTTCTACTCGTCGATTGCCTTGCAACTCTACTCACACACGCTGTCAAAACAATGGGCTATGAAGGCGCAAATTCTTCCACGTTCCACGGCCAGCTGCAAGTCACTATAGACCATCTCGATGCACTCGCTAGAGACCATGTAAGTTCAACTTTCGATAATCTTTCCAAATCTAAATTTTCTCCTCTTTCATTTAAGAAGCACTTCACGGCTAGATGGTTGACCTTGATCAAAACAAAGTTGGGCCTCGACATCAACGAAGCGATAATAGCAAAGGTGATTGTGGCTGCATTCTGCATTTGGTTGGCATTTGCAGAAGAGGGATGTTTTGCTGTAAATGTGGTGCTGACTATTACTCCTCTACTGCTAAGTCTCTTCTATCCGGATGAGAGAGCTGCTTCGGAGGATATGCTTGCCTATTGGTAATAGACTTTATAACATAACCAAAATAATGCCCATTAATGTTTTAAGGTCCTGCTATGCGTTACTCACTCTCTTCGACTTTGCACTTGCCGTAATCCCAGTTTGGTCGATTCTAAAGTTGGCAGTGTTCTCGCTCTTCTTCCTTCGTCCTTGGCGCCTTGCCACTCGGATCCGTGTGTTAATGCTGCTGCGAGAAGTGCGTAGGGCTCGAACTCTGGAAAAGGGACACTCGGTTAGTTGATTACTTTGAATAAAAATATTGACAAAATCTTCTCTATTTTTAGCGACATGCATCACCTTCTTCAGAGCCCAAGAAGATGGATGAAAGCCACTACGTAAACCTGCGACCACATTCCAAAACGGAACTGACCAATCCTAGCCAAAGTGTCTACGCTAATACGGGCAGGCAAAACGGCAGTACGGCCAGGCGAAGCGGCAGCGTGAAGAGCAAGGCATAAGCCAAAGATGGTGATGGAGTGATAAGTATATAGGATGACCAAATATATGTATCGATATAAAATATTCTTTGTAAAACTCGTGTGTATTTCTTCCGAAATCCCTCATTGGTGTAAAATATTGTTTATATCCTCCCTATTAGATTTTTCCCTCTTATTGTTCATTTGGCTGCTTGTATGTATTGTGTAATAATAAAATATAAAGAATTCACGTTTACTTTTAAATGCCTATTTTATGAGAGGAATAGGTTCCCGTTAGTTATGATTTTCTACCTGACTTTTGCAGATAATGACATAATCGGAAAGAAAAATCCATCAACGTTGAAATTTTTAAAAAGGGAATAAATTGCTTGACCATTTAAAGTAAAACGTATTTCTGAAGCAATTAAATCAAGTAGGCAACCAATAACATCCCCCTTCCGTAATAACCTGTGGCCAACCTGCCGAGGCTTTCCACCTTTAAAATTTATACATATTTAAAATTAGCAGGAAATGTTTACCATAATACATATTCATTCCATCAAAACCATAAGAACAAAAATCATCACCAACTCCAGCACATCCCCAACCATCGCCTGGTCCAGGGAAAGGCTAAGATAGTAATAATTATTGAATTCCTTGCATTAAATTTACCTTAAATCCAACACTATTTGCCCATCCAACACGCAAATAAGGTGGTTCATCGGCACCTTCACAAGCCTCAACATGTTCAACTTCAGCCTCATAATACCAACGTTTGAAAAGGGAACTTCCATCAACTAGGCCAACGAGAATATTTGGAATTAAACTGGAAGGAAAAATATGTATGTAAATAATAATTTTCCACATTAAACTACCTAGCAACATAATCTCTCATTTTTGTTTGTAAAAGTAAATCTTTGCCAGGAAGCAGATAATCAGTTATTGTATTCTGACTGCTTCTAACAGCCATACCATTCCCTTCACACAATGAAGAAAGTACATCAAGTACTTTAGGATCACGTCCAACTTTTTCCAAAAGAGAGATAACCTTTAAAATAAGTAGGTATTTGCTATTAATTAATGGAATGTGTTATTTAATCTTCAATTAAAAACTGACAGAACGAATATGCCCCTCATTTATCATGTTGAGTGCTTCAGGTGATTCAGTTAAAACACAATAGAGAACATCCAAAATTCCTTCTGCCGATTGAGGATTTGCTAATTTATAAATCACAATTATATTTAATATTATTATCATAGTATTTATAGTATTATATAATATTTATATAGTACACTAATAGTATTTTTTTGCCAAACCTTTTGCTAAACCAGTTATTGAATAATATTTTTCATGAAAATATTTTTATGTACCTACCCAATCTACCAAAAAGCCAATCAAGTCGAAGAAGTGCAGCAAATTGAGCGCAGTTTGAATGATTTCCTTTTATCATTGCAGCAACAAGAAGATACAAATAAGTTGAAATTTCTTCCCACATTAATTGGTTCCTGATACCAATAAGAGAGGCAAAATTGGGGAGTGCTTCCATTGCCGAAAATTTGTCTATTGTTTCTAGGATCATATTGAGGACACCCTCAGCCTTAAAAAATATGTAAATAAAAATTCTTTGTTACTCAATATTTAATAAATGCCTGAAATAAATCTTGTCTTGATCTGAGAGCCCGAAAACGATTTTGTCTCGATTCAAAATCTAGCTGCTCTTCAGGTTGTGCAAAATAGTCAATAAGGTCTCTCATGAGCATTAAAACTTCATTTAGATCAACACGGCGCCAATCACGCGATTCATTTCCATCTGTTTGAAGGCCTTCAATTCCTCTTAAATTATAAAAATGGGAAAAAACTTTTTAGTAATTTTCAATAATAATAAAGTGTGAAGGTCAAAACAACTATAAGTAACATTCTTGGGGCCAAAGTTTTAAAATAAATTTTTCTATTTACTTGAGAAAGCGATTCAGAACAGCAGAACATTTCCTAATCACCCGAGCAGACATACTTTCCTCACTCAATGCCATAAAAAATGTATAACAATCATCCATATGACCTATAAAAATATTCTTTAACTTATGAAGCTTTCTAAAAAATTCAACAAAAAATTTTCTCAAAAATACCTTCACTATGTGCAATAGCTTTTTTCTCCTCAACTTTTCCAATTCCTTTTCTTGTAACTTCAGATGTTTGGTAAGTAAGCCATACTTCTCTTTCAACATGTCTAATAAAAGCATTTGTTTCCCCATAACGTATTGTTGCTTGTCCCATTCCTTCCTCTTCCTTTTCATCAACCAACATTTGCTTTTTTGGATCTTTATTTGGACAGAGTACAAAAGCGCTGTTTTGATAGGTGGCACGGTCTCTATGCAAAAGCTGGACAAGCTTTTCATTCATTCCCTCTACAACCCCTAAATATCGGCCAGTTGTGATATGCCGAATTCGAAAAGGCTAAAAGAAATTTTTAGAAAATTTTAATGAAAAGTATTATCTAAAAAATAGGATTATACTTGTTCATAGCCAACAAGAGCTCCGTGCCATTTAGTTCTAATTAATTCTATTCTCCAAAGTGATCTTGCTTGAGTAACAGCAGGACCTCCTTCGTATATTATCTTTAATTTTTCTTTAAAAAATAATTTTCTTTTAAATATTTACTAAATTATGTAGAGGATATTCACTCCAATTCTCTGGAATAGTTAAACATTCATCATTTCCGTGAAAGAGGCGAAGGACGTCGTTGCCAAACAGATGGCCTTAATTTTTGAGAAATATGCTTTATAAATCATTTAAATTTTAAAAAAATATTTAAAAGTGTTATTTACCCATATTTCTTATACGAACACTTCCTGAGCTTAGAGAAGTAACATTCCAAAGTGTTTGATGAAAAGAAGCAATAACCATATATCCTAATCTCCCACCAATTAATGCATCTTCTGCTACATTAGTCATATGCTATTTATATTTTAGATTAAAAATATTTTTTAAATTTCCAACCAAATATCGTTCAGTTGCAACACTAACCAAAATAACGTCGTCACCAGCACGAACCTTTTCTCCCTCAGACCTTTGCTTGCTTGCTGGATGAATTGTCCACCTTTTTATAAATGTTTAATATTCATAGTATATCCTTCAAACCAGGAAGATTCCCCCTCTTCACTCCCTTCTTGAACACCAACATCAAAAGCCAATTTATCATTCGAAGAACAAGATGAAAGACATGCCAAATACATTAAACTCTGAACATGTTTAAGTTGAACAGCATGGCCATAAAGAAGTGTTTTGTGTCCTCCTCCTCCTTTTGAAGTTGTTGCATCATTTGAGGATGTGTTTGTTGCTGTTGTTGTACCTCCTCCGGCTATTAAATGAAGGATAATGTGGGATAAAACAAAAAATAACTCAGACCCAGAGCCCCCAGAAAAAACACACTTAAGACAAATTTTCTTCAAATAGGCAATAAAAACAAAAGACAAATAACTTGTAATAAATTACCCAAAAAATATTTTAATTAAAAGCCTACCATTCCCCCCAATATTCCCTCCATCGGCACTCATCATCTCTTGTAAAGCTCTAACAGAAAGTGCATTCTCAATATATAAAGAACAAGAAGAAATATCTGGCGGACAATCACGATCAGAAACATTTTCCAATGTACACATTCGATTGCCAAAACCTTCCGTAGCTAAACAAACACGCTCTGACTCTCCACCTGCGCCCTCTTTTTGGCTTGTTACAAGGCATGTTAAACATATTATATCTCCCTTAAATTATACTAAATTAATCTTATTCCAAAAACATTTCATATTTTAAGATTCTTGAAAGTTTTGTTTTTGTTGTTCAAATACCTAATAATTTTATAACAATTAAATTAAATTCATTCGCTAATTATATTTAAATAAATTTTAAACGTTATTTCATATATATTTTTAGAATATTACATCATTTTTCATTTTTTTCTAAATCCTACTTATCCCCAAACTATTAGTTAATATTTATATAAATATTATTTATTTTTTAATTCTACCAACAGTTCTTAAAAAAGAAACATCATCTTGTTCACCACCAGCACTTTCCTCTTTTTCAGACATTTTTTAATAAAAGATAAAATAATTATTAAGGCATGAAATTAAATAATTTTCTAAAATTAAACAAAAAATAAATAGTTAATTAAAAAATATTAATTGCATTATAATTATTTACTTTAATTAAAGGAAAATGAAAATAAAATTTTAAGCAATATAATTTAATTATTAAATTAATTAATTTTATTTTCAAAATAAAAAACTTTTAATGAATTTGCGTTTTTTGATAAATTTAATTTTTAAACAAACGATTTTTTTGGGAATTGTATTTATTTAAATTTTCAAAAAAAACAAAAATAATTTTTACATAATTATTCAAAATAATTATATATAAAAAATAAATAAAATAAACGTGTATTTATTTAAATAATAAATTGTTAATTTAGAAGCAAAAGCGCATTTTATTTTAATGTCAAAGCAGAGGTGTTGAGAATAAAAAAGGGATTGTATATAAATAAAGAAGGGTTATAAAAGAGGAAAAAAATTGGTTGGATATGGCAAAATGGAATGAATAAACTAATGAGTGAAATAAAAAAAAAGAAAAGGCCGAAAAGCATGCAAAAATATTCAAAAGAGAAAAAAAAAATATAAAAAAATAAATAGTCGAGAATGAGAAGGTGACGAAATTAAAAAAATAGAAATGCATGTATGTAGTAATTGAAAAAGGTGTATTTGTTTGTTTAAATTAAGGAGAGTAAATTATAAGTAATTTATTAATGGATTTTAATAGAAAAATTTAAAAAAAAAATTAAAAAAATTAGAGGGAGGGAGAAATAAGTTAAAATAAAAATTTTAACAAAGCTTTTAATTAAAATTATAGGGAGTCTCAAAATTAGTTCAATTTTAAAATGTTGACTTTAATTTTGATTTTATTTAAATTTTATAAACAGACAAAGAAAAATTAGAAAATAAAATTACCTATATATTTTTCAAGAAAAAAACAATACAAGAAGTATTTAAGCAAAAACGTGTTAGCAAATAATTGTAAGTATTCTCTAGCAAAAAAAATTCAGGAGAGGAAAAGTTGGTTAAGTACGTAATTTTATGATATTTTTTGCTAAATATTTAAAGAATTATTTTTCTGCAAAGAATTGTGAATATTTTTCATTAAATTAATGCAACAAATAAAGTATTTGAAATAATTATTGTTAACTATCTGGCATTGTTTTTTTCGAAGTAATGCTTACCAAAAAATTAATATATACTATGTATCAGGGATGGATCTGCTTCCGCCTTTTAAAATTGAAAATTCTCCATCACTGCTATGTACATATATTTTAATTTAATTTACTGGAGAAGATAATCTTTAATAATAAAATTTAAAATAATATTTTTGGATAATTTTATGGACACAAATAAATACATATTTTTATGTCCAGACAAACAAATATACTCTGGATATACCTATATCCCCTACATTTCTCTGATCGATCGGCTAAGACTAGCAGCAACAGTTGGAGGACATCAATAATATATATCTAGTTTGGCCTGGTTATTTTATGAAAAAAACAAAATTTGTAGACATATGGTACTTTAAAAATTAAAAAAATATTATTTTATTTAAAATATTTTTAATTAAAAGTTTTGAAATTTGCGGTTAAAAACTGGAAGCTAAATTTTATATATACATATTTTATTTGACTTTCACATCCATAAAATTAAAAATTAATTCCATAAATAAATTTAAAAACAAAGAATCTTATTCTATAAAGAGCGGATCCGGATATCCAGATCCGAAAAAAGTTCTGATATCCGAAGATTTCCAACTATCCGACAACCTTATTGCTTAAGGGCCAACAAAGCTAGTAAATATATATTTAAAGCAAAATATTTTTGAATATATTTTAATTAATGAATTTGTTGTTCATTCCTCTATATATTTTTAATTTTATAAAAATAATAAAAATTGTTTCTTAATTAATTAAGTTCATTTTGCTTTTTAATGCCAATCCAACAATAATTCACTTAATTCACACAGACTCCAATTCTGACTCCAATTCTCATTTTATATTCTCATAATTAAGGCTGTGAGGCAAATGCCTATTTTTTCTGCAAACTTGGGATGATGTAATACGTTCAAAAAACGTGTTTTTAGCTTTGTCCGAAGAGTCTAGCATGACTTTTAATTTGCCTATTTCTGCCTATTTTGGACTTTTTGTGCTTTCTTGCCTATTTTGAAATTTTTGGTACTATTTTTGCCTTTTTAAGCGATTTTTTCGAAATTTTGCCTAAAAATCAGTGCAAAATCTAAAAAAATCAGTCCGAAATTAGAAAAAATCAGTGCCAAGTCCCATTTTTGATTTTTAGATAGTTAAATTGTTTATTTTTACTCTGTTGGACATTTTGAACTGGGACGATTTGGTTTTGGGACGTCTTGGAGTGAGGCGTTTTGTGTGTTGGGCGAGATTCCCATTTTGTCAATTACCGACATTTTAAAAAAATTTACTCCATTTTTTCAAAAAATGATTGAAAATGACGAATAAATGGTAAAATCGTTTAATAAATAGTTTATAATTTATAAAATGACGATTAAATGGTTATTTTTTTGTTTTTACCTTAATTTTATAGGCCTGATAACCTTTTTACATGCCTATTTTTGTGCCTTTTTTGGCTTTTTGGTGCCTATTTTAGGCGCCTATTTCACTGATTTTACATGCCTAACTATCACAGCCTTACTCATAATAATGACTGAATTAGTAAAAGAAAGTTTTTTATGCTAAATTCATTATTTAAATTCATTATTTTAAAAGATTATTTAACTTGTTTATTTGGCAATTTTATTTAGTTGTGTTTTTTGTAACGATTTTGCCTTTTAAAAATAAAAAACGAGACAAAAATATATTTTAATATTAAAATATTTCCATTTTTAATTTTATAACACTTATTAATTTACCTAAATTGGGTAATTATTTTAATTATAATTAATTAATTGTCTATTACCACACCCAATTTTTGATTTTAATTAAGAAATAAATGTGTTAATAAAATAAAAATAGAGATTTAAAAAATTCTTTTGTTTAAAAAATATTTTAAATTAAAAAGGAAATTTTAAAAAATGATTGAATAAAAATTAAAAAAATATAAATATAAATTCACTAAAATAAAGGTAATTATTTTATTTTCTAAAAAATGATTAAATTTTCCCCAATTATTATTTTATATTTAATAATTATTTCTTTTTTCCTTTGTGAAATTAAATCAGCGAATATTGATAAATTTAACATACCTGAGGTAAAAAAAATTTTTTAAAGCCAATAAAGAATAAAAATAACACTTCGTTTTATTAATTTTATAAAAATACTTTATGTCAGAAAGGAATGTCTAATTAAAATAAAAAAAATAAATTTTAAATAAATATTTAAACAGATTCCCATTCAACACAGTGTTAGTAAGCAAAGAATAATGGAACCAGCAGCGTTACAAAAATATAAAGAATGTGTTGCTAAATGTGCCCACAAAGAATTTGTTTGTTTTAAATTTAATTATTTAAAGGGGTTTTTAATTGAAAAAATATTTCATCTAAAATATTTTTTTGAATAAATTTCAAAAATAGGCAGAAATGAAAACTTCAAAAATAATTTTTAAAAATTAATATTTATTTTCCCGAAACAGAATATATTTCCACATGGACAAAAGGCAGGAAAACACAATTTTGCCTCAATTCAAAAATGCTCTGATGGATGTAATAATGGAAAATAATAAAAATAAATTAAAGAATTTTATACATTTAAATATATGTATACATAATTAATAAAATAAATATTTAAAATAAATTTAATTATCTACACATTTATGTATTGCTAGGCGCTAAAAGCTGTTTTATATTGTTGGCTAACCTTAAATTAAAAAAAACTATTTTATTTTTAATTAATTAACCAATCAATTCCTCCAACCAATCCCTGCCCAGTTAACGCACATGTTGAGACTATATGCCAATTTCGATTTCTAAACGAGGAATTAATTAAAAAATATTAAGTAATTAAATTAAGATACTCCCCAAAATTTAGCAAAAAGAAGCTATTTTTTATGTAAATTGAATAGATAATTTATAGAAATTCCCTTCTCTGAATATTTGGCATTATTTTATATCATTTAGATTTTTGTCAACTCCCACTAAAATGATAAAATAAAATTTAATTAAATTCCTTAAACACTAAATTCCCTTCTCTGAATTATAAAATATTTAACCTTATAAGATCTAAACCCAAATTTAGATGGATTTCAGAAGCTGGAACGGCATCTCTAACATCTGATTTGTTTGCAAAAATTAAAAGAGGAGTCTAAAAAATTGTTTTAGACAATAAATGTATTTAATTTATTTAAAAATATGTATTTTAGAATTTTATGTAGGTTGTACTTTAAATGTTGGGAGGGGTTATATGTTTAGGCTCCGAGGTTCAGTCCCGTTTCTGAGCAAGAAAAACGTTCGGAAACTGGATCGGGGTTGTAGTTACTTTAAAGTTTTATTATATTTTACAAACTTTTTTATAAGTAAGATCTTTGTGGTCTAAAAGCATCCAAAGCTCATCTCTAGCAACAGCAATTCTTAATTTATCACTTGCATCAACAACAAAAATAATTCCATTAACATTTCTGAATTTTTTAGATTTCTGTTAATAAATTTAGTAAATTTCTGAATTTGAGTGAATCTTTCAATATTTAAATCTAATTTCCCATATTTGATAAGATGATGGGAAGGTTAGGGCATATAAACTTGTTTGAAATAAAAGAATTATTTAGAAAGTACTTGTATTGAGTTTCCCATAAATTTCTATAACGTGATTGTCCACTCATATCATAAGCACTAAAAGTCATTCCTGCGGCAGAAAATCTTCCAAAAAAGTAAATTTAAATTAATTTTTTTTATTTTTTCACTTTTCAACATTATAACCAACAGTTGGGGTAATACTGGTAGATTGTGTTTCTGCAGGTTTTAATTGGTTTAAAATTGTTGTTTTTCCACTATTGTCTAAACCAAGTACAAGAATGTCTACCTAACATATTTTTTAATTAATTAATATTTATTTAAAAAGAATTACAGGTTTGCCTGAATTATTAATTAAAGAACTTAAAGCCTTTAATAGGCCCATTTAGAAAATTAAAATTTAGAAAAATAAATAAAATTATTTAAATATTTTTATAGAGATGTAATAATTTTTTAAATAATTTTTAAAATAAATTTCATTATTTAAGTATAACCTAAATTTAAGTAAAAATGTTCTCGTTTATTCATATTTATGCTTCAACAATTATGTTGCTATGGTGATTAAGTTTTTATATAAAAAGTATTAAAGGAAGTAAAGAATAAATAGGAGATAAAACTCTCATCTATAATCAAAATTTGTAAAAAAAATTTTACATAAATATAATCCTAATAAAATTAATTTTTTGATTTGTATTTTGTAAAATAAAAATTTTGAACTGGGCAGGAAAGGAGATAAATATGTATGTAGTATTTTTAACATTACCATATCAAGATGTTTTTTAAAAATAATAAGAAAAAAGAAAATTAAAGTCAATATACTATGTTAGTAATATTTTGATTTTTATTTTTTTGATTTTTATTAAAATTAAAATATAAAAATTATAATTTATCACAAATTTTATAAGATTTTTAAAAAATTTATAAAAAAAATAAAAATAGTTTAATTTAAATGAAGATTCTTACTTATTAAATAACACACAGAATAATTCGAAAAAATAAAAAATTTGTAATTTTTTTTAGAATTTCTAAATATTATTTTTAAACAAAAGTCAAGTTGGAGGAAATGAAGAGGTTGAGCCATGTTTTGCAATATTCTGTGATTGTTTTAATAAATGGCAAGAAATAGTAGGTCTCGGTGATGTACACAGGGGAAAGGCTTTCTCCAGTTCTCTAAATACAGTACTTACTATTTGTCTAAAAAATTAAATAATTATTAATTTTATTAATTTAATACAGTTGAATCTCGTCATATTAAAATAGCTTGAAGGAAATATGAGGTAAACGTGTTGGGTTATATCTCAGCGGATTATAACGAGATACAAAAATAATGGGATAAAAAAATGTTTTAAATTTAAAAAATAAAAGGATTTCTCGTAAGAATCTTTAATTAGAAGATTACGAACGATTAACTGGCTATCTGGATTTTCAATTAATCCAGTTTTGAAAATATGGTTTTGTTTGAAAGGGAAATTTAAAATATTTATGTATCCAAAAATTATCGGTTTTAGAAAAATTTTGATTTTTAAATCGGTTGTGAATCATAGTAATATAAGTAATACAAATACTAATTTCCTTATAAAAAATCTACAAATAATAATTAATTTCACCTTTCTTCATTTGTAATTGTAGGTATTGAATTCACTTCCCTTCTTCTTAGCCTTTCAAGTGGGGGTGTGGTATCGGAAGAGGAATCAGAAGAGGAATCATCATTTCCAATATTCTTTTCTATTTTACACGAACAACTCTTTCGATTTTCATCTATACACTCCAAATGCATTGCGTGTCTACAAGAAAATAAATAAAAAGATAACTATGTATTTTCATTTTTTTAAAGTTTCAAATCTCAAAATAAGTATTAAATTCAAACAGAAATTAAAATTCAAATTAAAATAAACCTAATTACCTTTTTAAAGCTAGCTTAGACCATTTTTGCATTAATTCGTTCACAACACAATCTCTAGTTGCCCTTCTCATAAAAATACATAATTCCATTGAGAAAAGTACTTGACGTAAAAGATTTTTAATTGAAGAAAACTTGAAACAATTATTAATAATAATTAAAATAAACATACAGGCTCAAGTGGATTTGCCAAAATACATTCAAATAATTTAAAATATTCACAACGCACAGTAAAAATATAGGCACAAATATGTATACTAAAAATTTCTTAAAGTTAAAAAATATTTATTCCCTACTATGGTACAGGTTGAGCTATTTCCAATATTTTATCCAAGTCAATTTCTGGGACAAGTCTTAATAATTCTACAGCACTTTGTTCGGCAACTTTTTGAATACGAAGACTTGTAAATGCACGGCGTATAAAAACACGTTCAATTAACTGAAAATTAATATTTATTTGGTAATGAATTATCTAGGAAGAGGTGATCAACGATTCTTCTGAAGTGACAACAAAATTCGTAGTGAAATTCTTGATTTATCATCTTAATTGACAAGCAATACTTTCATGACTGACGAAGTATGACAACTAATTTTCAATCGAGACCTACCTTTGTAAACAAATAAACATCCTTTGGGATAGCACCCTTCTGTAATAATCCATTAATAAAAGTAATAAGTAGAGGACCAAGCTCATTTATTAAATCTATATCTTCATTCTCCTCATCGTCTTCTTCCACGCATTTAGAAATAAGCATATCAACCAAACGTTTAAGTCGTCCTGTTTTAATTTTAAATATTTTAACAAAATTAAAAAATATTTAGTGCGGAAGAACTCCGTTGATGGGAGATGAAATGGTGTACGGAATTTTGGATTGGTGACCGAACTTTACGTTTGGTGTCCAAAGTTCAGAAAAATCTTAGTGGACAAAATCCTGTACCCTATTGAAGAGGAACGATTATAATGAACAATCGATTATATATTATATACAACGCAGCATTCTTGAGGTTTGTAGTGGTCAAAAATATAACATTGAATACCTTCACATTTAGCAAATACAGGAGCATCAGCACAAGTACTAATAACATTAAAAAATTGTAAAGCATCGAATTTTAATAAAATATTTAAATGTGGAAAGCTTTGTAATTCATTAAATTTTGGAGAAATATTTTGTGGAGAAGACCGACTTGAGGTAGAAAAAGATGATCGAAGTTGTACAATAAACTGAAAAATGTTATAAAAATTTGAGAGAAAATCATCAAACTTTGTAAGTTTCTAAAGGCACTGTTAAAGCTAAATTTTCATCAGGTAGATCTCCATGAGGGTAAGCACGGCCAACTAAACAACAACTTAAATACAGCAAAAGTTTGTTGCCTTGAACAATCTCGTGGTCTGAAAGAACTTGTTTATGTACAAAACGACTAAGAAGTTCAAATTGTTCCTAAATAAATTTTAAAAAATTAGATTAAAAAGAATTATAGAAAAATATAAAAATTAAAATTTAAGTTAAGGAATGGAGGTAATTTTACCAGTGTGGGTTACGGAGAATAGCTAGTGATTGTAACAACTTCTGTAATTGTACCTTATAATAAAATTGACTGGTAAGACTAGAGAAATTTAGGTGGGTTGATATTCCTTATGGTAGATTTAATGAAATGAATTTAAAAAAATTAAACAAACGTTCAAAGTGGTAATATAATCCTTCATAGCATTGTTAAATACATAGCAAGTTGCATCGAATAGTTGATGCTCTTTACAAGCGGTCATTACCTAAAAAATATTATAAATCCCCAAAGAATACCCTACTTGATGTAAATCCATAGACTCAACAGGAAGTCGAATAACGCTTTGCTCAAATTGAGGTATTTGTCCTTCACAAAGTAAATAATTTAAATAATCATTAACTAAAGATGGAGGAGGTTGAAATAAAACATTTTCTAAAACAAATTCCTTTAAAAATGGAAATTAACAATTTTTTAAAATTAATTTTGAAAATACTTCAAGCATTTCAAGAAAAGTAGAACGGCATAAAGTATCTTTTTGTACACGAGAATAAATAGTTTCATATAGTAAATTGAAATGACTTGTTAAAACACATGCACGAATTAATACATGAAAGTTTTGCTAAATTGTATAGAAATTATTTGAATTACCGTAAGATATTCTATCAAATCCACAGGTGAATCTCCAACCCAAAGTTTAGATAAATACAAAATATATTTAAGAATTCTTATAATTCTATTCTAATTCAAATAACCAAATACCTTATAATAAACAATTAATTCATCAATATGTCCAGAATCAATTCCATCCATTGTTTGTTCAAGTAATTGAGAAACCAATTCTGGAATTCTACGGAATGCATTTGCACGAAAATTAGCAGCCGCAATTGTTGTAGTATTTCGATCAGCTAATTTGCCACAACAAATATCAACAACAAACATTAAAGCAGAACAAAAATCAGAACTGGAAAAAATGAGGGAAGAATAATCTCCTTATTTTTGATAATAAATAAAAATCCCACTATTTTTTGACACATTTTTGTGTCTATTTTAGTGTTTTGGAAAAGGTACCCATCCTATTCTCACAATCAGTTAAATTAACCAACCGCTCAATTAAGAAATCAAGCTGTTCATTCAGTTCAATTAATTGTACACGAAAAAGGGCATCAGCACCCAAAAGGTAAAGATGGTTATCCTCAGGATGTCTAATAAAAGTGTGATAACAAATAGAATCAGCCACAGCCAACATGGCCTGAAAAAAGTTAAAAATTAAAAAGAATTGCTTAAATAGGAAAAAAAATAAGTTAAAAAATTCTAACCTTGCTAACATTACACCCAGTTGCTAGTCCTTTGAAGTCAACACTATTGTAGACCAATTTGACACTTTCTGATATGACCAAAACGACAAAAGGGTTGACAGAGAAGGTTGGGATAGTTGCTGAAATTATTTTTTTAATAAATTAAAACGCAGAAAAGTCCATTTAAAATTTGTCTAAGCATAAAGTAAAAACTGTACAGGAATGTTAAAAGGACTGATGTGAGTGTAAAATTTATTTAAAAAATAATACATTTTTGATTTTGCAAGTTTTTCCTTTCACCAGCAGAAAATTGAGGTATATCTACAAGTTGAAGTTGTTCTATATTATTTTCTGTAGTACATATTGCAACTAAAGACCAATCATCAATCCTTTAAACAAATTTATAAAATTAAAATTACCGTAGATGCTCTAATTAAAGCCCTGGGCTACTATTTTTCAACATGCCTCTTTGACTGGGCTTATATTAGAGTAGGCTTCTATTTATCGATGGGCCTCCTTGGGTGGGCTTGTATTACTTATTGTTAGATATGAGCTTCTAATAAAGCCGGGCTTTAATTAGAGCATTTACGGTAATTTTGAAATTTAAAAATAAAAGAAGTAATTGTATTTAAAATTAATAATTAACCATTTTAAATTAATCAAAGGAGTAGAAAACTTTAAAATTTGCAAAATTGGGAAAAGCAAATCGCCTCCTACACGTTGACGGACTTGATAAAGTCTTGCCTCGTTATCACGAGCAATACAAAGTCGAAGAGAAAATGCCCGGGCGTGAGACAGTGCCTAAAAAGAAATTTTTTAATTAAAAAATTGTTTAGTAAAAACCTGTACTCGTTCACGCCAATCAATTAAAGGGGGTGACAAAGAAGAACCATGCAATTTCAATTGACCAACAGCAGCACTTCGTCTCTTAACAGAAAGAAGAAATACTTGATGAAATGTAGCCAAAACAAGAAGTTCAACAGAATTATCAGAGGAATGGACAAAGGAAATGCTAAATAAAATTATTTAACTGTTAAAAGGAAAATAGAATTAAAAATGTTTTAGAAGGATGGATCAGGTTTAATTACCCAAGTTTAAGTTTAAGATTTAAGTTACATTACTCTGGGTAATAACTTATGGAAATGTCGTCAATAAATAATCAATCAACATCCACAAAAAGAAATGCAAATACGCCATTAAATTTATCTGGCACATCAGTTAACGACAAACGCTCACGACTAATTGAGCAAATCAATAATTTAAATTTTCAAGAAATTTTACAACAAATGAATAACGACACCACAACACCTCCGTGGGTAAAAATTCTAATGACCCAAATGCAGCAGATATTAACATTGACTTCTGAATTGATAGTGGAACAACAACAACAAACTGGGAATCAACAATCTAACCAACTTCAATATGGTGAATTTAGGCAAGAAATGGAAGAGAAGGAAAGACGCCACTGTCTCGTGCTTAATGGATTACCAGAAAGTAAACAAGCCGAATCAATGGAGAAGGCTAAGGATGATCAACAACGAGTTTTACAGGTTTTAAATGAATGTAAGGTTTCAAGTGCTTTGCCAAGTGGGATTTTTCGTATGGGGAAAATTAATCAAAATAAACCTCGCCCAATTAAAATTAAATTTCCTTGTTCATATGCTGTTCGGGAGGCACTCTCAGGCAAAAAATTTCTAAAAAATCAATACAAACATTTACATTTGCGAGAGTCCCTTTCCAAAACAGAACTTGCCAATCGATCTATTCTTATTAAAGAGTGTCATGAAAAACGTAAGGCGCATCCCGGTGCCGACTTCATTATATATGCAGGTATGGTAATTTTGCGGGAGGAGATCCCAATTTTTCGCACAACCATAAATACAAATCCACACTCAAAAAACTTAATCTCCTCCCACTAACTTGTCAGCCAATTTATAAAACAGCCCAAAAAACTCCGAATTGCGTACAAATAATCAATAAGAACTGTAAAAATAAAAAGAAAAATTTTAAAAAATCCAAAAATATAAAATGCATTTGCTTTAACGCTCGTAGTTTATTAAATAAAATGAATGAATTTCGGTCATTGCTAAGCACCCATATATACCAAATCATAGTCGTTAGCGAATCCTGGCTTCATAAAGAAATTTGTGATAGTTTTATTCTACATACATTAGATTATGAGATTTTAAGATCAGACAGACCATCCAAAAAAGGTGGCGGCGTTTGCGTTCTAATTCATAAGGCATTACCGTTCAAACAGTCCAAAATTTTAAAAACAAATAGTTTCAACCTAATATCATTCGACTTGTTATTACCGCAACTCCAAACAATAAGAGTTATTGCTGTTTACAGGCCCCCTGGGTTTCAAAAATCACAAGATTTTTCTAATTTCTTGGAAAATATATTATACTGCTGCACCACTGAAAATGCGTGTATAATGTTGGGAGATTTTAATTTTCCTGGAATAGAATGGGAACAATTCTTACCCGTTTCACACACCACTCAGATTGAAAACGAATTTTGTGAGTTTACTAATAGCCAACAGTTAATACAACTTGTCTCTCAAGGTACTAGGGGAAAAAATATATTAGATCTTGTTTTTACTAACACACACAACTTAATACACAAGTTAGAAATAGCACCCCCTTTCTCAACATCGGATCATAACAGTATAATTTTTGAACTAGAACAAATAATAACTTATGAACCAACAAAATATATCAAGGATTTTAAAAAAGCGGACTATAAAACAATTAACCAATACCTAGCTTCAATTGATTGGATAACCATATTTGGGCACTCCAATGATATAAACATCAACTATAAAAATTTTTCTGACATAATTAACGAAACTATAAACTTTTTTATACCCTGTTTAACTATAGAAAATAAACTAAAAGGATTACCGACTCATATTACAAAATTATTAGACACTCAAGAGGGTTTATGGAAACGAAACATTCATAAAACGAATAGGCCAAACTATTTGAAGGTAACTCATCTAATAAGGAAACAGATGCTGAAATTTCGGAAAAATAAAGAAAAAAGAATAATACCCCACCCAAAAAAGAAATTCGCATATGTTGGCGCTTTTCTTAAATCAAAAAATTTGAAATACTCAACAATGGTAGACGATCACAATAACATAATATTCACAAATAAACAGAAAGTTAACATACTTGCATCTCATTTCAGTTCAGTCTTTAAAAACAGTGGGACTAACACACAAATTACAAACAAAACTTCCCCACTATTGAATACAATAGATTACATGGATTTTTCAGTTTACGATATATTTAATTATTTAACAAAATTAGATAATAAGAATAACACATCACCTGATAATATACCTAATATCTTTCTTAAAAACTGTGCACAAACATTGGCATATCCACTCTTAAGTTTATTCTCTCTATCATTAATGACAAAAAAGGTACCTGATCTCTGGAAAGAAAGTATAATCGTTCCAATTCAAAAGATTCCAAAAGCTAAAAAATCTAACGACTTTAGACCAATCTCTCTCCTCTGCTCAACTGCCAAAATTTTAGAAAAAATATTAGCCTCTAAATTAGTTGAACATGCCCGGAAAAACAGAATTTTTCCACAAGAGCAACATGGATACCATATGGGTAGATCCGTAACAACCCAACTTCTAGAAGTTATGGATGATCTTACAATGGCATTAGAAAATAAAAAATCCGTAGATATAATCTACTTCGATCTGTCAAAAGCATTTGACACCATATCCCACGAAAGATTATTAAGTAAATTAAAATCATTAAATATTCCAGATACTCTAACTAAATGGCTCAAAGATTATTTAAGCAATAGAACTTTCTCTGTAAAAATCCATGAATCCTTTTCTGAAAAAAGGCTCATAAAAAGCGGAGTACCGCAAGGCTCCCTACTTGGTCCCATATTGTTTTTATATTATATACACGATTTAACTGAATTCTGTTATACAGAAAATGTAACTGTTAAACTATATGTAGATGATATTAAGGCGTATTACATTTTCAAAGACAATCCAGTCAATTCAAACCCTTTGCAAGAATTTATTGAAAAATTTTCCGAATACACAGAAATAAACGGATTGGATATAGCTATAAAGAAATGTAATATATTACATCTAGGCACTAAAAATCCTCGCACCATTTATACAATAGAAGATACACACATAACAGAAATTGGTAGAAATCAAACTGTAAGGGATTTGGGTATTTTCTTTGACCATGAGTTAAAATTCCATAATCATATCGACATTATTTGTAATAAAGCTAGGAGAATTAGTTATACAATTCTTAGGTCCTTAAAATCTAATGATGAAAGATTCTTAATTAATATGTTCACCACATATGTAAGAAGTATATTGGAATTTAGTTCTCCTGTCTGGAATCCTTACTATAAAAAATACATTAACAAAATAGAAAAGATTCAAAAAGATTTCGTAAGGATGGTATATAACCGCAAGCATAATATAAAACTTAATGAACAAATCCCTAACTACTCTGAACTCCTCAGATTATATCATATAGATTCTTTAGAGAATAGAAGAATTATAACAGATCTTAAAATCTTTCACAAGCATTGCATAGGATTAAGCCCAATAAATATAAATAACCCCTATTTCATCATTCCATCTAAAACAAGGGGGGACGAAAACAAAATATCACATAAAGCATGCACCTCAATTACTAGACATAATTCATTTTTTGTAAGGACTATAAGGTATTATAATAAACTACCAGCATACTTTAGAAAATTAGATTACAAAAATTTCGCAAAAAACATAACACATATTAATTTTTCCCGCAATTCGGAGGCTGAATTAAGTTAAATTTAAATTTATACTTATAATTTTTTTTATATACTATTTATTTACATTCTTTTTGTTTTTTAATTTATTGACATGATTTTGTTTTTATATATATTTTTTTTACTTGATTTCGTTTTTTATTGTTTTTTGACTTGACTCGCGCCATCAAGGCGTAAATAAATAAATAAATAAATAAAAAACTTATTTTTGCGGGTAAAAAAAGGCAAAGAATTTCATAAAGGAACTTACTTAATTTTTAATAAATTTTAAATTAAATTCTTTTTAAAAAATCAAATAAAAAATACTTTAGCACTTCTCCTTTACATCCAGTAAAGATACACCGAACATTGCCATCCTTACGTCTATTTAATCGTCTCTTCTCATGAAATTCATATACATTACCTCCATTGTCGACAATTAAGAGTACATTACTAATAAAAAATAAAATAATTTCTCATCGAATTTATGTTTAAATTAAAGGTAACGAATCACAAAAAAAGAAAATCTTTCCAAAAAATAACCTTGTAATATATTTAAGATGTATTAATCCACGTCCAGGTTGAACAACATCATTTGATTTAAAAATAAATTTATTTGTATTTCTTTTCGTGTTTGTATCAAAAATAAATAGAGCCCCAGTGCTAAATCCAACAGCTAAACGAGTTTGGTCGACTGAGAAATCCATACAGGAAATTGAGCCAAACGCTATAAAAAATATATGAAAACGAGATAAATATGTAGCTAAATTTACAAGAATCTCCTGATTGAACAGAATGCAACAATTTTTGAGATCCCTCCTTTTCAAAAATTAAACAAAATCCTTGTGAGGTTCCAATAGACAATAAACGTTTACCGATACATAGAGAAGTTAGATGGCCATATTTAGACTGGGTTTTGGTGTTTATTTGTTGCGAAATTGTATCTAGAAAAGAAATTTCGAAAATTAAAATTAATTTTAAAAAATGAAAATCAAGTTTCGGAAAAATTAAAAATTCAAGTATTAATAAAGATAACCTTCTCTTTTCAAAACCAAAGGAGAATCAAGTTTATAACTTTTAGGTAATTCTGCAGGCACAGATCCATATCTCCCCATTGGAAGAATTTTTGGCATATTAACACCAGTTACTGAAGAGCAAGTAGTTTCAGCGCCATAAGCAGGAGGAAAAGGGCTAAGACCTCCAAATAATTCTTCAGATTCCTCGTCCAGTAAAAATTCATTTTTCTGAAAAATTAAAATTAATTTTTCAAAAAGAAATTTGGCAAAAGCTCGAAGGGAAAAATATTAAGATGTTAAATTTGACTCAAAGATTTTTAGAAATCTCCCTATTTTTAAGGTCCTATGAAAATTATTTGGTTCATATTGAATAGAATTACAATTATCTGTTAAAAATTTTACCTAGAACTCCGTTTCCAGATTTATGCAAGAATAAAATCAAAAAAATATTAAATAAAACACACCTCATTCATAATTTCTTCCAAAGTTTGTGTTTGTATCGAAATTCTGTCAATTAAATCAAAATCCAGCCATCTAATACTTCCATTATCATCATCATTTGTTGTACTACTTAAATCATCTGTACTTCCATTCGTTGTCAAAATTAATTTAATTGCTGAATTTTCTGGACAAATGGATGAAGAAGAGATTAAATGTTGTTGATCAGTTGATGAAAACATTTCTGAATTTAAATAAAATTAGAAAAATACTTAGTATCTTTGTTAAAAAAGAAATACACACCCCTCATGTCAGGCAATATCCCACTTGGCAAAATCTCAGAAATTTATTTTTAGAGTCAGTCCTAATTAGTACAATAAATATATTTTCTAAAATAAATGAAGATTCATATTTATTAATAACTCAGTAAAAAATTAGAAAAAATATAAACAATTTATATATTTTTTAGAATTTCTAAATATTATTTTTAAAAAGTCAAATAGACAAGTCTGAAGATAAAAAAGTCAAGTTGGAGCAAATGATGATGTTGAGCCATGTTTTTGAGGATTTTGTGATTGTTGTTTTAATAAATGGCAAGAAATAGTAGGTCGTGGACCGGGATTTATTTGAAAAGCAGTCTCGATTTCACGAAACACAGCACTGACTGATTGTCTAAAAATATTTAATTATTAATTTTATTAATCTAATACAGTTAAATCTCGTTATACTGAAAATCCAGAAGCAAATATTAATCGAATTGGGTCAAATCCTAACGAAGTATACAACTGTATTGTATTTTATAAAACTAAAGATACCTATTTTAAATTTTAGAAAATGAAAAATTTCCCGTTACGAATTCTTAATCAGAAGATTAGGAAAGTTGTTAATTGGCTATCCCAATTTTAGTTAATTAAATTTTGAAAATCCTGTTGCGTTTTAGTCGAATACTGGTTTTACTTAAAGGGAAATTTAAATTGGTTTTAGAAAAATTTTTCTATCTTAAAAACGGTTAGAAACACAGCAATAAAAGTACAACAAAATACTGAAGAGAGAAAAAATAATGAAAAATAATTAATTTCACCTTTCTTCATTTGTAATTGTAGGTATTGAAGATGCTAGAGCAGCTGCCTCTTTCACTTTCCTTCTTCTTAGCCTTTCAAGTGGGGGTGTGCTATCGGAAGAGGAATCAGAAGATTCGCCGTTTTCGTAATAATTTTTGTTAATATCTAAATAAATGAAATTTTTTTTATACTTTTTATTTAATTTTTTGATAATTTTTTCGAAATTCTTTTCATAAAGATTTAAAAAATAAAAATTAAAAAAATTTATTTCAAAGACCTTCTCTCTCATTATCAATATCTCTTTCTCTCCCACATAAACATTTTCTTTCAAATTCATCTATACACTCCAAATGCAATACATGTCCACAAGAAAATAAATAAAAAGATTTAATAATTCGTTGATCACAACAAAAACAACGTAATAATAAAGGATCCATTTGCGACTGAATATTGTTATTTTGATTGTTGGAAGAGGATGGAAATTCTGTTTGATCTGTTGTTAAAGTTTTATTTGGCAAAATTGTTTGAGCAAATGCACCTCTAAAAATTATTGAAATTTAAAAATAAAATTGAATAAATGGGTAGTTGGAAACCACAGAATTTCTTGACTCAAAAACAGCAACTCTTCCTAACTTTAAATTTCTTGACTCGAAATTTTTTGAAACTTAAATATAAATTGAATCATGGGAAAAGTTTTCCAATAATTTCCAAATTTCGTTTTAAATTTTCAAATTTGAGGTGTTAAAGGTTTAAACAGACGTTAAATTATTCTAAAGTCTCGCCTTTATTTATTAAAAAATAATCGTCCTCTTAATTACCTTTTTAAAGCCAATTTCTCCCATTTGTTTATTAATTCATTACCAACACAATCCTTAGTTGCTTTCTTCATAACAAGGCGAACTTCCATAACTAAAAGCATTTGTCGTAAAAGATTTTTAAATGATGAAGAAAATTTTAAATTTTGACAAGATTTATGAGAAAATAATTCTTCAATTAATGAAATTATTGGAATTTGTTGTTTTGAATTATAATTCATTCGGCCATCATCGAACTCTATTATTGCGTTAAAAACACGTTGTAATGGAGAATCTGATCCGAGCAAGTTGGAGAAAGGATCTATTAAATTTAAAAATTATTAATTTTTAAATATTATTTTGAGGTAAAACGAAAAAGTGTGTGGAAAATACCAGAACCCATAAAATTTGAAATTAGGGAAACGATAAACTTCTCATGTCAGAATTGAAAAACATCATTATTGAGTGTAGGATTTTTAAAAAAATATTTTAAAATTAAATAATAAAATTTCATTCAACTCATTTTAAAAATTAAATAAATTACCCTCTTCTTGTTTATCCTTAACGTTTTTTATATGTAGTGTGTTCAAAAGTTGCTTAAATAATTTGTTCAACCAATCACCATCTTGTGCTTCTGTCGGATATGTAGCTGTTAACTCCAAAAGGAAATTAACACAACTTTGTGAACATTTATTTAATATTCCTTCATTAAAAAGATGTTCAAATGCTCGAGAAATGTGCCCACGAGATAACAATAATAGAGCACTGCATTCGACAAGGAGACCTTAAAAAACAAAAAGTATTTTGTGGAAACTCAATTAAATTTAATTGTCATAACAATATATTAATAAATTTTTAAATTTAATTATCAGCTAATACAAAGGTTGAATATCTGATTTACAAAAAAATAAAAAAAATTTTTTCAATTTACCTTTAGGTTGTTTCATACAAATATTCAAACAAAAATCAGAAAAGGATCCAAGGGGAAGCCAATAACGCAATTCATCAACCAATTTAGCATCCAATAGATCCAATTCTGTTTTTTGCTGTTTAATTGTTTGTTCAAAATAGTAATCAAAGAATAATTCATCCAATTCTTCTTCTCCCCCAGTTAATGTTTTAAAATTTTGTTCTCGCCTTATTCGAAAACAATTACTTAGAAAAGATAAAGGAAGTTTTTTAGGTGTTGATCTACATTCAATTAAAAGTTCTGGAAAATTGGAGAGAACAAATTCCGCCGTTTTTAGAGAATCTAATAAACATAAACGTTCTAATTTTTGTCTGACAAATTGGCGTAAAGATTCTTGTTGTTCAGTTTCACGAAGTGAATTAAGTAAATCAACCATAGTTGGGAATACATTGAACTAGAAAAAAATGTAAATTAATTTAAAAAAAATAGTTTCGTGAGGCGATTTTTGAGGATAATTGACACAAAAACGGATTCTAGGTTATGGTTATATAGAGATAAAAAATATGCAGTTTTTGGAAATCAGTTAAAAACTTTATTAATAATAATTAAAATAAACATACAGGTTCAAGTGGATCTGCCAAAAAACATTCAAGTAATTTAAAATATTCACGACGCATAGTAAAAATATAAGCACAAATATGTATACTAAAAATTTCTTAAAGTTAAAAAATGTTAATTCCCTACTATGGTACAGGTTGAGCTATTTCCAAGACTTTATCCAAGTCAATTTCTGGGACAAGTCTTAATAATTCTACAGCACTTTGTTCGGCAACTTTTTGAACACGAAGACTTGGAAAAGCACGGCGTAGAAAAACACGTTCAATTAACTGAAAATTAATATTTAATTTATTTGGTAAATGAATTTTCTAGGGAGAGTTGATCAACAATTCTTCTAATACAACAACAAAAGCCCGCTAGCTCTCTTTTAAATCATAAAGAAAAAATTTTTAATCTATAATCTTAATCGACAAGCAATACTTTACTTATGAATGACAAAATATGACAACTATTTTTCAATCGAGACCTACCTTTGTAAACAAATAAATATCCTTTGGGATAGCACCCTTCTGTAATAATCCATTAATAAAAGTAATAAGTAAAGGACCAAGCTCATTTATTAAATCTATATCCTCATTCTCCTCATCGTCTTCTTCCACGCATTTAGAAATAAGCATATCAACCAGACGTTTAAGTCGACCTGTTTTAATTTTTAAATATTTTAACAAAATTAAAAAATATTTAGTGCGGAAGAATTCCTTACATTAGATGGAATGGTGTATGGAATTTTGGTCACCGGAATTTTGAGTTGGTCACCAAACGTTACGTTTGGGGATCAAAGTTCCGAAAAATCTTAGTGAACAAAATTCCGGTACCCTCTTGGAGAGGACCGATTATAATGAACAATCAATTGTATATTATAATACCTTCACATTTAGCAAATACAGGAGCATCAGCACAAGTACTAATAACATTAAAAAATTGTAAAGCATCGAATTTTAATAAAATATTTAAATGTGGAAAACTTTGAAATTCATTAAATTTTGGAGAAATATTTTGTGGAGAAGAAGAACGACTTGAAGTAGAAAAAGATGATCGAAGTTGTACAATAAACTAAAAATGTTATAAAAATTTAACAGAATATCTACAAACTTTATAAGTTTCTAAAGGCACTGTTAAAGCTAAATTTTCATCAGGTAAATCTCCATGAGGATAAGCACGGCCAACTAAACAACAACTTAAATACAACAAAAGTTTGTTGCCTTGAACAATCTCATGGTCCGAAAGAACTTGTTTATGTACAAAACGACTAAGAAGTTCAAATTGTTCCTAAATAAATTTTAAGAAATTTAAAAAGAATTTTAAAAAATTAGACAAACATTCAAAGGAGTAATATAATCCTTCATAGCATTGTTAAATACATAGCAAGTTGCATCGAATAGTTGATGCTCTTTGCAAGCAGTCATTACCTAAAAAAATATTCTAAATCCCCAAAAATACCTTACTTGATGTAAATCCATAGACTCAACAGGAAGTCGAATAACGCTTTGCTCAAATTGAGGTATTTGTCCTTCACAAAGTAAATAATTTAAATAATCATTAACTAAAGATGGAGGAGGTTGAAATAAAACATTCTCTAAAACAAATTCCTTTAAAAAGGGAAATTAACAATTTTTAAAAATTAATTTTAAAAATACTTCAAGCATTTCAAGAAAAGTAGAACGGCATAAAGTATCTTTTTGTACACGAGAATAAATAGTTTCATATAGTAAATTGAAATGACTTGTTGAAACACATGCACGAATTAATACATGAAAGTTTTGCTAAATTGTGTGAAAATTATTTAAATATCATAAAAGCTCAAAACGATTTTAAAATATATTCCATCAAATCCACAGGTCAATCCCCAACCCAATGTTTAGATAAATAAAAAAATATATTTAGGAATTCTGATATTTATCTATTCTAGTTCAAATAATCAAATACCTTATAATAAACAATCAATTCATCGATATGTCCAGAATCAATTCCATCCATTGTCTGTTCAAGTAATTGAGAAACCAATTCTGGAATTCTACGAAATGCATTTGCACGAAAATTAGCTGTCTTAATTGTTGTAGTATTTCGATCAGCCAATTTGCCACAACAAATATCAACAACAAACATTAGAGCAGAACAAAAATCAGAGCTGGAAATAATTAGGGAAGAAATAATAATCTCCATATTTTTGATAATAAATAAAAATCCCACTATTTTTTGACCTATTTTTGAGTCTATTTTAGTGTTTTGGAAAAGGTCACCCAATCTTATTCGAAGCAAATTAACCAACCGTTCAATTAAAGAATCAAGCTGTTCATTCAGTTCAATTAATTGTACACGAAAAAGGGCATCAGCACCCAAAAGGTAAAGATGATTATCCTCAGGATGTCTAATGAAAGTGTGATAACAAATAGAATCAGCTACAGCTAACATTGCCTGAAAAAATGTCAAAAATTAAAAAGAATTGTTTAGAATAGGAAAAAATTATTTAAAAAATTCTCACTTTGCTAACATTACACCCAGTTGCTAGTCCTTTGAAGTCAACACTATTGTAGACTAATTTGACACTTTCTGATATGTCCAAAGTAACAAACGGGTTGACAGAGAAGGTTGGGATAGTTGCTGAAATTAATTTTTTAATAAATTAAAAATCCAAAATAGTTCATTTAAAATTTGTCTAACAATAAAGCATAAACAAAGAACGGTGAGAAAACGATAAAAGAAGTGATTGTGAGCGAAAAATTTATTTTAAAATAAATATATACATTTTTGATTTTGCAAGTTTTTCCTTTCACCAGCAGAAAATTGAGGTATTTCTACAAGTTGAAGTTGTTCAATATTATTTTCTGTAGTACATATTGCAACTAAAGACCAATCATCAATCCTTTAAACAAATTTATAAAATTAATAATAATTGTATTAAAAATCATAATTAACCATTTTAAATTAATCAAAGGAGTAGAAAACTTTAAAATTTGCAAAATTGGAAAAAGCAAATCGCCTCCTACACGTTGACGGACTTGATAAAGTCTTGCCTCGTTATCACGAGCAATACAAAGTCGAAGAGAAAATGCCCGGGCGTGAGACAGTGCCTAAAAAGTAATTTTTTAATTAAAAAATTGTTTAGTGAAAACCTGTACTCGTTCCCGCCAATCAATTAAAGGTGGGGACAAAGAAGAACCATGCAATTTCAATTGACCCACAGCAGCACTTCGTCTCTTAACCGAAAGAAGAAATACTTGATGAAATGTAGCCAGAACAAGAAGTTCAACAGAATTATCAGAGGAATGGACAAAGGAAATGCTAAATATAAATAGAATATTTAACTGGTTTTTGAAAATTATCATAAGTTAAAAAAATAATTTCCATCTTTCTTAAAAGGAAAATAAAATTGAAAATGTTTTAGAGGAATAGATTAGAACACCTTCCAAAAACATTTTTGCGGGTAAAAAAGCAAAAGATTGGAGCAAGGAACTTACTTAATTTTTAATAAATTTTAAATTAAATTCTTTTAAAAATTAAATAAAAAATACTTTAGCACTTCTCCTTTACATCCAGTAAATATACACCGAACATTGCCATCCTTACGTCTGTTTAATCGTCTCTTCTCATGAAATTCATATACATTACCTCCATTGTCGACAATTAAGAGTACATTACTATTAAAAAATAAAATAATTTCCCACCAATTTATTTTTTAAATAAAGGAATACAAAAAAAGAAAAGCTTTCCAAAAATCCAAAAAATAACCTTGTAATATATTTAAGATGTATTAATCCACGTCCAGGTTGAACAACATCATTTGATTTAAAAATAAATTTATTTGTATTTCTTTTCGTGTTTGTATCAAAAATAAATAGAGCCCCAGTGCTAAATCCAACAGCTAAACGAGTTTGGTCGACTGAGAAATCCATACAGGAAATTGAGCCAAACGCTATAAAAAATATATGAAAACGAGATAAATATGTAGCTAAATTTACAAGAATCTCCTGATTGAACAGAATGCAACAATTTTTGAGATCCCTCCTTTTCAAAAATTAAACAAAATCCTTGTGATGTTCCAATAGACAATAAACGTCTACCGATACATAGAGAAGTTAGATGGCCATATTTAGGTTGGGTTTTGGTGTTTATTTGTTGCGAAATTGTATCTAGAAAAAAATTTTTAGAGGAAATTTCAGAAAAAAAATAATAAAATAATTTAAAACATCCAGAAATAATTTTAAAAACAAAAATCAAGTTTCGGAAACACTAAAAATTCAAGTATTAATAAAGAAAACCTTCTCTTTTCAAAACCAAAGGAGAATCAAGTTTATAACTTTTAGGTAATTCTGCAGGCACAGATCCATATCTCCCCATTGGAAGAATTTTTGGCATATTAACACCAGCTACTGAAGAGCTTTCAGCACCATAAGCTGGGGGAAAAGGGCTAAGACCTCCAAATAATTCTTCAGATTCTTCGTCCAGTAAAAATTCATTTTTCTGAAAAATAAAAAACTTTTCGATAAGAAATTTGGCAAAAGCTTGAGAGAAAAATATCACAGTGTTAAATTTGACTTGAAGATTCTAAGAAAACTCTATTTTTTGAGGTACAGAAATTCCTATAAAAAAATTATTGTAAATAATTTGGTTTTAAATAAAATTCAACTAATCTTAATTAAATGAAATTCGACTTTTCCAAAAAGCTCAGATTCGTAATCAGCATATTTTTTTACCCTAGAAAGACTCTTTTTCTTTAGATTTTTTATTTCGCAAAGACCTCAATTCTCCGGGATTGCCAAAAATTCTACCTAGAACTTCTTTTCCAGATTTATCCAAGAGTAAAATCAAAAAACACAAAAAACAAACCTCATTCATAATTTCTTCCAAAGTTTGTGTTTGTATAGAAATTCTATCAATTAAATCAAAATCCAACCATCTAATACTTCCATTATCATCATCATTTGTTGTACTACTTAAATCATCCGTACTTCCATTTGTTGTCAGAATTGATTTAATTGCTGAATCTTCTGGACAAATGGATGAAGAAGAGATTAAATGTTGTTGATCAGTTGATGAAAACATTTCTGAATTTTAATAAAATAATAAAAATATTTCTGTTAAAAAAGAAATGTAACGAAAAGTATCCAATATATAATTTAGAATTCCTGTGTGTTTGTTTGTTTGTCCGCAGCTTTAAATTTTGCTGTGTTTGGCGTTGTGTTTTATTTTTAATTAAAAATGACAAAATATCCCAAAATGAAAATAGTGTGTATTTAGAGAAGTCAAGAACGTGCCCGCTCAACTCATCGAATCCTTAACTCATCGAATCGACCAAAAACGCTCAACTCATCGAATCGGCTAAAATTCCTTAACTCATCGAATCGGCCAAAAACACTCAACTCATCGAATCCTTAACTCATCGAATCCTCAACTCATCGAATCGGCCAAAAACGATCAACTCATCGAATTTTTCCAAAAGGGGACGTTTGAGTCCCCTGTTTTTATTTTTCTCCCGAAAGGGCTAACTGAATCTTCGTTGAAAAAATTTTTTGCTGCTATGGAGGCTAGGAAAAAGGGCTTTTGGGCATAATCGGGGTCTACTGGACTAATTTGGTCCGGTTTTACCCGGTAAAATCTCCAGCATAATTTATTAGGAATGAGATAATGTTTTCAGGAATGAGATAATGTTCTGATAATGTTTTCACTGGCCGGATAAACTTGGATGAGTGCCCGATCAACTAATTAACAAAATTAGTTGAAACCCCAGAAGAAAACAAAAAAAAATAAACAAAACAATAAAAAATCTAAAAAATAAACATGGGGACTCAAACGTCCCCTTTTGGAAAAATTCGATGAGTTGATCGTTTTTGGCCGATTCGATGAGTTAAGGATTCGATGAGTTGAGTGTTTTTGGCCGATTCGATGAGTTGAGGTTTCGATGAGTTAAGGATTCGATGAGTTGTAGGGTAGCCGTCAAGAAAGACCCTCCAAAACTCGTCCCTCCTAAATTCGTCCCATTGAACAAAAACCACGATTCGTCCCAACTAAATTCCGTTTTTATTAAATTTAACTGAATATTCTGAAACGTCCAAATCTGAAATGCCGACTCTAAAACAACCATGATCAATTTTCCCGTTTTATTTTATTTTAAAAAAAATTAATTTTAAAGAATTATAAAATATTCCGGTATTTTATTTACAAATATAATATAGACAATTAACATATTAGATAACAAGAATATTTACGGAATTTTACATATTATTATATTTTCTTCATCTATTTTAGCTTCCTCCAGAATACAAAAAACAATTAACATCCATTCCATTAACCCAATTCCGCAAATGGTAAGTTTATCAGTCCTGGCCTTAAAATAAAATTTAATTAGAGGCTTTAATTAGAGGCCTATTACTTTTCTTTTTCTTCTTCTTTCCATCGACTTTCTTGAATACATCCAACTTTTCAACAAAATCCAATGTGTCATAGTCCGGATTATCATCAACATCGTCTCTACTCGATTTGAGACTACTGTCTTCCCATGAAAAATTATTTTTAAAGAAGTTTTTGAGTTTTCCTTAACGTTTTTGAGATTCTTCTGCAGCAAGAACAGCTGAAACCTTTTTCCCTTTATTTAACGCCAACATTTCCTCGCTGCTACTTTGCGGTCCAACAATTCCCGATGCTTTTGTTTTGGTCTTATTTTTTGAAGGAGATGAAGAAGTTTTTTTCTTTTCGGTTGATGATGGTTTTTCTGAAAACAGAAAAATATTTTTTTGAAATTTAATCAAAAATTTTACCCCGTTTTTTAGCCTTCTTTTTCTCTTCCTTGTTTACTTTAATAGCCGTAGATACTTTTGCCGCTTTTGGGTTGTCTTTTGGTTTCGCTTTTGGTTTGACAACAGGCTCTGGTTGTTTCTGCGGTTCTTCTTCTAACAGTTGTTGCTGTTGTTCCACCATCTCCGCGCTTCTCGTTACTATTGCAACTTTTTTTTTCTTCTAGAAAATTTAGAAAAATTAAAAAAAAAACACTTTTTTAAACACTCTCTCACCTTTCTACAACAACAACATTGAGCAACAAGAAGCCAAATACTTATGATGGACCAAAAGAACATAGCAGCTATTGTCGTTAGTACCCAAGGCATTGATAAACGAGAGGTTGAACAGTGGACAATGGCGAATTCCTTGTATGTTGCTTTTGTTTGTAGATTCCTTTTTGATCGGCTTAAATATGGACTTTACATCTAAACATTGTATAAAAGCATGTTTTTCCGGAATTAATAAAGTCATTAAACATATTTCTAACAACATCTACCGCTCGGTATAAACAATGACAATTTTTGGAAGGCCGGAGGCGCCAAAATTTCGATTATTTAAGCTGCAGGCAAAAATTTTGAGAATTTTAGGTCAAGAAGCCAGATTTCATCCATTTTTACGCCTTTTGAAAAAGTTTCGAAAAATTTTAATAATATTTCCTAAATTCCCCGACTTTCGGGGACTGGGTAAAATCCTAGTAATAAATAACAGAAATTAAACAAATTTATTTTTTAAACAATTAAAAAATACAAAGTATTTAACAGCTTAAAATTCTTTAGGCATATGTTAATAAATATTTTCGTCAATATCAATCTGAAATTTAAAATTTTTTTAATAAATTTATCCTAATTATTAAATACATTTAAAAAACTAAATTATTTTAGTCGAAATATGTATTCTTCAGAATTTTATTTTTTAATTAAATATCTTAATAATTAATAAATACTAACTCCATCTGTTTTATTTTTGTGTAAAGGCACCCAATTTGGCATAAAATAATTTTGAACAAATTGTTTATTACATTTACAATAACCATTACAATTATTATAAAAAATATTTCCATTTTCCTTTTCTGGCATTAAATAACCCATCCACCAAGCAAAGCTAGAACATGGGGCTGTAATAATTAAAGAATCACAATATTTAATTCCAAAATAAAGATATACAGAATTATTGTTTTGTCGCATTTTCGAAATGCGATTTCATTTTTCCCAAGCTTACAAAAACTTGTTTATTATTAAAATTCTTTCGTTGTAAACTTTCCCAACATATTTCCTATAAAATCTATCAGCGGATAGTTAAAAAGAGTTCATTCATTATTCATTGTTCTTTCCCAGTTTTAAAGCTTTACACAATTTCATTCTAATAAAATTCTGCTAAATAAAATCTACTTCGCAATAAAATATATTTTATACGCTTTCCTGTGAAATAAAATTATTTGTGATTGTTTAAAATTGATTGAAGAAAATTGAGAGTAATTAATAGGAAATTAAGTGTTAGAAAATAACTTTGAGTTAAAAATTTACCTTAAACTGTTTATTTCGGAAAAGCTCAGCCGGTGAAAATGTCGGCACCCTTTCGTAACCAAATCCGGCTTCTCGTTCAAGAAGCGGAGGAATTATTGGAAGACCCCAAGTCCTTTGTTCTCCCAGTGCAGACTGGAAGTATATCCCAATTTCACGCACAAATACGCTCCCTTATTACTTCCCTTGACTCAGAATCCCAAATCGTGACTGAATTATTTGACAACATTACTAATGAAAATGATAGATGGATGGCCACTAGAACGTCTATGACTGGAGCTGAAAGACTGGCGGACAACCCAATTTATGATGAATTTGTCACAGACGTGCCTTATCCCACCACATTACGTAAATTAATGAAATATAACAGAAAACTCCACTCTGAGAGAGGGACATTGTCCGCAAGTTTACCTGACCCCTCCCAGACCACCGACACCCTTTTCCACCTCCCAAAACTGTCCCTTCCAAAATTTAGCGGTAAATGCGTGGAGTTCACCTCTTTTTGGAATGCCTTCCGCGTCGGAGTCCACGACCTCACCAACATTTCAGACTCCGTAAAATTTAATTATTTGAAGGAATGCTTGGAAGGGCCCCCTCTTCTACTAGTAAAGTCACTCCCCCTCACAGAAGCTTCTTACCATGAAGCAATTCGCCTAATACATGAAAACTTTGGCAATGTAGACGAAATTAACCGTACTCTCCACCACGCAATCCGAAAATTACCCGTCGTTCACTCTGTGAACGGTCCCGAAATTTTATGTACTGAATTACGATCTTTCGTCGACCAATTCGAATCGCTTTATTTGCAAATGCTTGAACAACACTTTGATGTAAATACTCTGCCCGTTCAAATGGAACTCGAATCGAAATTACCCCCTCAAATACTTGAAGAAGTGTTCAGAGAAAAGGAAATTCATGGGCAAGACTGGAACACAGACCAACTCCGTAATACACTGAAGTCAATATTGAAAAGAAAGGAAGGAGTAAAAGCCCTTAGAGACCAGAAGAAGGAACTCAATACACCGGAAAGGCCAGCCAATACTCCAAAACAATTCAGGCAAGTTGGAAATTTTCGTTCTCCAAATATGCCCCAATCCTCTCTAACCTTTTCCACATCTAGGCCAAACAATAGACCAGGGATGTACAAATTCCCCTGTATTTTCTGTAACCACCCCAACCACCTCTCCCACCTCTGTTCGAATTATAGCACCCTTCAAACACGAAAATCCCGACTGCGAGAAAAGAAACTATGCTTTAACTGCTATAAGCCTGACCATCTCGCTAGATCCTGTCAAAACCCAATCACGTGTACTAATTGTCGAAATTTACACCCCCGTGCCCTTTGTCCAAATCCATTCAATTCCCTACAAGAACCTCCCCCGCAGCATGTAACTAATTTCTGTTCTCAGATGATATCTGATGCAACTCCCTCTATAAGGCCTATCCCTTTATCCCTGATAAAATTTCCAGAAGATTTCAACATTCCCCCCTCCCACAATAATTCAATGGAAACCAAGACCGAACTAGTTACTTTAAATGAGATTAACCCAGGAATAAAGTCCCTTCCAATACCAGACAAGCCATTATTAATCCATAATTCAATCAAAAATTGTACACAGATAGATAACAATCAAACCCAATTACCCTCTCCCGATTCCAGAACAAATTCCTGTAACTTACCGACTACCGCCAATACAAAATTAAGAAATAATAATAAAATTAATTCCATACACACGCCAACAAATGCAATGAAGGCTATGAAAATTAATAGGTTAAAACCAGAAATTTTAGTTCCCACAGATAATACGCCAACTCGGACGGTACTGAATGAATCTTCAGGCCCCCCAGGTGATGTACCATCAGTCAAGTCCCCTTCTCCCACTGCAACAAAAATTGACTGCCCTGATCCACTTGCTCAATCACCTACTGTCAACCAACAACAACAACCACCCGAAATGGACGTGAAGGATATCCCACTTACTACCTCACTACCAAAAGAATCTGGTCCGCCGAAAGAACAAGCTCAAACAATCCAAAACCATCAGGCCAGAAAGCATCGAATAACAGTGAAAAAGAAATGTGGAAAGAAATGGGATGAGTCGACCAAATTTCCCAGAAATTTAATGAATGAAAAAACCAAAATTGTGATAAAACCGATACCGTTAAACGACATAAAATTCTATTATATCCCGCTTATACGTTCACATTCTACCTATTCTCAATCTTGTACTGGAGTTATCCCTCAGTTGCCTTCTATCTCTTTGATTCCTGTTATTAATCCAAATTTCTTTTCTGTTGTTTTTCTACCTCATCATCAAATTAATGGACTTATATTTCCTTCACTTTAACCTTGTGGCCGGAGTGTCGCATTTTCGAAATGCGATTTCATTTTTCCCAAGCTTACAAAAACTTGTTTATTATTAAAATTCTTTCGTTGTAAACTTTCCCAACATATTTCCTATAAAATCTATCAGCGGATAGTTAAAAAGAGTTCATTCATTATTCATTGTTCTTTCCCAGTTTTAAAGCTTTACACAATTTCATTCTAATAAAATTCTGCTAAATAAAATCTACTTCGCAATAAAATATATTTTATACGCTTTCCTGTGAAATAAAATTATTTGTGATTGTTTAAAATTGATTGAAGAAAATTGAGAGTAATTAATAGGAAATTAAGTGTTAGAAAATAACTTTGAGTTAAAAATTTACCTTAAACTGTTTATTTCGGAAAAGTTTATTGAAGGAATATAAATATTATGCCCCTAAATTTTAAAAATATAATAATAAAAAATAATATTTAATAATAATTATCAAAAATATTTAAATTAAACTACTTCTTCCGGCTCAATTTCATAAAGAAAATTTTTATCACTACCAAAAAATATAATGGCAATATTCTTTAAATTAATTGACTGAAAATAATAAATAAAATAAAAATATATTTTAAAAATTACTTGAAGTCTTTGAATAACAAATTTAATAGATCCTTCAATAAATTCTAAAGTACTAGCCTGCCCTGCTTCAATATTTTCGTGTCTCTGCGCATGTAAACAAAGACGATGTTCGGAAGTGTAATTTCTTAATTTTAATTATACTCAAAAATTTAAACAAAATTTTAACCTAAAAATTCCTTCTGCAGCTTCATCAGCTGCTAATTTAATATTTTCATTAAATTCAAATATTTTGTGAATTTCTTCTCTAGAATCTTCAAAATATTTAAATGATTTAAATTCACTTCCGGTAACTTGAATTATTTGGGCATTTTCTCCTTCAAGTCTTTAAATTGTAACTAAAAATTTAAAATTAATTATATTAAATACCTGTATGGGGAATCAAAGTCACAACAGTCAATTCCGAATGATATCTTTTTTATATATTTTTGTTTTGGACTCTGAAAAATTAAAAGAATATATCGAAAAGTTAAATTTTTAATTATTAAATTTTAATTGTCAGATTAGTATTTAAATATTTTATAATCTCCTTTAAAAAATAGCCAACCATTAATTTAATAAGTTGGCCTCCATTTTTGAATGTAAATTCAAATTCCTGTTTGTATTCAGCAAAGCATTTATAAATACTTTCATAATAAACAGTTCTGTTTAATAATTTTCCAATCATATACATTGAGGCAGTTCTCCACATCTATAAAAATTAATTTTTAAAAAATAAATAATATTTTTAGTTGGTTAAGCCAATCTGGAGAACCGATAAGTTTTTGATTAGGCTTCATGAATATTAATATAAAGTGCTATTACTTAAGCCAAAAATAAAAATATTTTCTATTTTCTAAATCCAGAATTTTAATCTTTTTTAATCAAAAACAAAAGAATCTTCCATTATTTATTTAAAAATAAGCAAATATTTCTACCATATCCCCAATACTTCCACAATTTCCGTTAGAATTATTTAAATTCATCGATATAAATTGTTCATTTCCATAAATTCTTTTAATTTCTTCTTTATAAATTTCATATAAATTATTTAAATTATCTAAATTTGTTAAAACTTATTTCTAATAAAATTAAAAACCTAATTGAGGTGTTTTAAAATATAAATAAATAATTAAAAATATATTAGCAATAATAAAAGAATAAACAAAAATAAAATTAGGTTGTCGGTCTACAAACATTTTTTGCTAAATTAATTTTAATTAAAAAATTTATTCATAATTTTGTTTAATTACATATTTCTTTCCTCTGAAACTAAATTTCAATTTAACATTTTTATATTAAATTTGAAACGTTTATTTTTAATTTAACAAAAAATGTAACTTTATGAATATATTTAGTAAAAACAAAATTAATTCAATTGTAAAAATAAAAAAAAATATTTAGAAAACAATTATTTAAAATAAAAAATCCTTTATTAGATTAAATCAGTAAATAACGATTTTTTATTAAATAAAAATATTTAGTAATTTTGTTTCACAGACATGTTCTTCGAATTTCCATCTTCTATCCACTTAATTTAGTTTCGATATTGAGAACTTGATAGATTACGAATTGATTGGAAGTAATTTGATATGGTATTAAGATATTTTAAATCAAAATTGCTTCCAAATAGAGAAAATAAAAATAAAAATTTCTTGTAGCATATGTAGGTTTTAAGTTTAAAAAGAATTTATTTGTTTTTGTTTTCATTGAAGATAAAATTATAAAAAATATTTAGATAAAAATATTATTATTTTTTGCAATTAATTATTAAAAAGAAAAGAGTTACTTATTTAGAAATAGATATTCCTTTTTTGATCAAATATATTTGGATGTTGAGATAAAAAAATTATGCTTTTTAATTTTTCATTTTTTGCACTCATACGCTTTTTAGCTAAAAATATTAAACACATATTATTTATTCAAGTTTATTTTAATGAAAAATTTTATTTTCTATTGAACTTTAAATATTTAAAACTATTGAAAATAGTCAGTTTGTCATTGATATAATTTTTTGCCTTAAAAAATTAAGGCTAAAATTTAGGTTAAGTTCCTGAAAGGCTCCTCCTCATTTGATAGTATAAAATTGTGAAAAGAGTTTTAATCAAAATTTCTGGTTAATAAGAAATAAATTAAATATATTTTTTATAAAAATGTTTTAAAAATGAACAATTAAATTATAATTTATTTTCTTAGTTAAAATTCATATAAAATGTGTCTTCGTCCACGTTTTTGTAGGTTTGGAATATTGTTTGTTTGGTTGGTGATAGGAAATCTTTTTATTATATTTATTTATATGAATATACCAAACAGTTAATTAATTATTTACTTTTTATTAAATTTATTTTAAAAATTCTTTAGATTATTACAATAGACCAAGCAACATTAATCCTAGAAAAAAATATATTACAGTTACTATAGAGAAAAAAGAAAAATGTGGAAATTTTGAGACTATGGTTGTAATTATTAAATAAATATAAACAATTATTTTTAATTTATTGATATTTTATCTCATTCGGCTCAGCTTAACGAGCTCTTTTGAATGAGCTATCATTTGTAGGATTCAATTTTTGGACATCTAAAATTAGCTTGTCTTGCCTCCCCATTCATTGTTTCTTGATTTTCAGTTGTATGGAAATCGGGAAACAATGCCGATAGTTTTGAGCACTTTTATTGTGATTTCTAAATTAAACCTTTCTTGTTACACTAGAAGTAACACTTCCCTTGTTGTGTTGATGGGTGAAAAACTCTAATAAAATTAAATTTATTTTATGAATTTTAACAAAAAACTTTGACAAACAAAAAATAATTTTCATTAATTATTACAGTAAAAAATTAATTATTAAAAATATTTTTTAGATGTGGAGAATTGCTTCTCTAAATGAATTAAGTATTTATTTAAATAGAATAATGTACGTTGATCGTAAAGATAAATGTTTATTGCAACAAAGAGAAGAGTTTAAAGAAATATTTAAAAACACGCAAAATTATTTTAAAATAAAAGTTCTTAATTATATTTAATTTTGTATATTAAAAATATTTAGAATCCAAGTCGTGATAGTACTGCTATTGTTGCTTTTGCTGAACATTGCTGTAGATTTGATAACCCTGATAGGTAATCCGATAATTGTTTTTAGAATGAGTAGTTTTTGTGAATTTTTTTTGGGAATTGAAAGATCTGGATATTTATAAAAAGAAAATATACAGATTAAAATATGTAAGATAAATAAGCTTTACTTCTGGGATCTCGTTAGTTAGATTTTTAAAACACAATTTTTTAGTTAAATATCACTTCTGTTTTGTGGGCATTTTTTTAAAAATCACTAATTTTCTATCGGTTTTCAGTTATTTTTAAATTTTCATGAAACCGATTAATTTTTGAAAAGATATCAGAATTTTATAAAATAATAATTAATACTCGAATATTTATATAGATTAATGAGTACACATGCCACTTTACTGAAAATTACTGGAAAACTCCTTCAATCACACAAATATTTATCATTAAATAAAGCAAAGGATAGAGTGCGAAAATTATTTGAATTTAATGAATCCGTAATTGAACGAACAAAGAATTATACAGAAAAACTATTTAGGTAAATTAAATAAATTAATTTAAAATAAATTATAATAATTATTTTAAGATAAATTAATTCATTCAATATAAATAAAATAAAAATAAATTTTTAGTAATTTTAATTAGAATTAATTTAATTAGAAATAATTAGAATTAATTGCCTAGGCTTTAAGCTTCTATCTTTTTTAAACAAACCTAATTCCTAAAATTATGAAGAATTCTTGAAAAATTCTTATTAACCTCTACATTTGGACATTCGACACAATCCCCTTATCCAAGTTTATCTCATGACTTTAATTTTTCGGGAAACCACGGATAAATGTCAAACAAGATAAGAATTAAGTTTTCTAACAATATATATTGTTGGAGTTCTTACTTAAAAAGGCCCAGGATTAAAACTTATGCGATACTTTAATAAAATATTTAAAGAAATGATTCTTCACATAAATTGTGTGTTCATATGGAACGAGAAAATCTTTTAGAAATGGGCCAATCTACTGGTTTATATCTTACAGAACAATTAATTGCTTTTATTTATAAAACATTGAAGGTGTGTATTTAGGTAAATACTAAAATAATTTTTGAATACAGATAATTTTTAATAATTAATTACATAAAATTTTTTGTAGAAACGAACAAAAAATATTTCTATTGTGTTAATTGGACGAGACACAAACTTTCTAAATATGGTGAGAGGAGTAGAAGGGGTAAATATTCAATTTATTTGTTTTACAAAATTGCAGTTAAACAGAGAAATTGTCAGATATTTATAGAGGAGATAGGAGATATATGGAGGGAAATGAATAGCTGAAATTAAATTTTTCTCATAGATATTTGTTTTGGTCGAACAAACCAAACTTTTAATTTATTACCAAAATTAACATAAATAATATTTATTTAACTATAGTTGCCAATATATATTTCTGCAATACGTAACAGAGGTGTAGAACTTAATTTTGCTATATCCAATTGTAATTCTCTTTTAATTACTGCTTCAACGTCAAAAGAAGCATGGTGGATTGGATATTTAATGCCCGAAGGAAGCCCAATTTATTACAATAATTGTTTGGGTATTGACTGTAAAAGTATATTTAAGAAAGATTATTTCCCTCCTGAATGGTTACCTTTAACTACAGATTATCAAGGAAATATTATTTTAGATGATAATCCTTTTGAATAATTATAAATTTAATTTTAAATTTAAACAATTTTAGTAGATAAATTTAATAAAATCGTTCATAATAAATCCATTTCGAAAAATTCTTTTTTCTTAATATTTTCCTTCTCTTCAAAATTTTTTCAACGATATCCCAACGCTTTAAACTGTTCCCTCTCCTGGCAATGGAGGACTTGTTAATGCAAATACGCTCAGTTCCCTTAGAGGAATTCGTGGTTGTGCAGTCGTTGGTCGAGTATTTGTGACTGTTCTCTAAAATCTAAACAATTATTTTTGAAATAAAATTTAGTTTTTGTTTGGAGAGTATTATGGTAAAACCTTTATTATTGAAAGCTTCTCAACACAAAAATAATATAAAAAAAGTTATATTTCACTTAAAACACTGGGAATACTCGAATTGAAAAATGGTAAAATGTATGCTAAATATTCTCTCCTGTTAATTAAATATATGTTAATAAATTGCTAACCCCTTGTATTTCATGTTCATTCACGCATTCAATACGGCATTCATTCTCCATTCTTTCTGAAATTACCCATTCAACTGTTTGTCTAAAAACATTTAATATTTCATCGCGGGAATCAACATAACGCACACGACGACGCCATTCCTTTAAAAAAATTTTTAAAACAAAAATTTAAAAGTTAATTTGCCTCTAATAAACGTCGCCATTCTCCTGGGCGAATTTTAGCAGCCAAATGTTCAACTTCTGTGCTCTCCTTAAAATAAAAAAGATTTTAAATTTATCAAATTAATAAGTTACTCTATATCCAAGTGGGCGTTTTGCACGTAATCGCCAGTCAATTAGCCAAGTATAGTCAGGCATTTTGGTCAAACGAAGCTCTTCCTGGCGACGTTGTTCCTTTAAAGGGTAATATAAATTTTAGATTTAACAAATTTATTTGAAAATTTTATTTCCATTTGATCAAGTAAAATTCTTCAAAAAATATTTTCGTAATTAATTTAAAGGCTGGCCGAAACTTGCGGACCGACTTTTGCGGACAAAAACTTGCGGACCCGACGAATTTCTCGAAACATAGCTCATTCGAAAGAGCTCGACGAGCTGAGTCGAATGAATCAAAATCATCGTGATTGTACAAGCTTGGACAAAGTTACGATAGAAAAACAAAAACATAAACCCCTGGTCCGCAAAAGTCGGTCCGCAAGTTTCGCACTACCAATTTAAACACTACTTGTTTCCTCTATTTTATTATCTTCTCTACATATAACTAACCGCTTCCTTCTGTACTCGATCTATTTGAGTTTGTATTTCATCTAACATTAAATCACACATCATTTGAAGCATTGCATTATCATCTTCACTACTAGTAGGATGAACGGCCATAGGCACAAATGGACGTGCAGAACGAAGAAAACGTGGTTCTCGATCCATTTCTCTTCCAAAATTTTTGTAGCCTAAAAAAGAAAATCTTATAAATATTTCTAAAATTTAAATTCAAAAATGTCTAAGCTATTTTAACACAGAAATATTAAAATATAAAGTTTAAAATAATTTTAATTCACATCAATATAAAATGAAAAATAAATCTCTTTTTAATAAATTTCATCATTAAAAGCACCCACTAATATTTTACAATTAATCTTCTTCCATTTATGAAATGTTAAAAGCAATGTCTCCATAACAACAAGGATTATTAAATAGTTATGAAGATGGATAAAAATTCTGAAAAAGTTATAAAATATTACTTTTTATGTAATATAAAAGTTTATATTGAAAAGTTAAAGTAATAGAAATATCGAAATAACATTATAAAATAGTTATTATATTATTGAATAAATTAACAATTAAATTAAAAATGTAATAAAGGTAAGGTAATACCTTTTAGGTAATATTTATAAACCTACATTAGATGCATGTTTTTAATTTAACAAAAGAAAAATCTGTCTGAAATTAGATGAGAATACGAAGGGGACACAAATAGACATTATTGTTAGTTCAGCCGGAAATATGTATCTTTTAGAGTGGTTAAACGGGCGATGACTATTTCCTTTGACGGCTAGCTATTATGACAGATACTTTCCTTAGCTTATTCCTTTGATTATGATGGTTATGGAAAGGCGGTGTCGATGGGAAGTTGCAATACATAGTACCCCTCAATTCGAAAAAATAAAGTAGAACTTTGGTATATGTACATATCAGCGATCGACACATCATTTAAAGAATGCAACGAGGACAAAATTTAGAAAGCAAATTAACTGTCAAATTTTACAGTAAAATAAATTAAAATAAAATTTTTTAAAATAATTTTTGTAAAAGTTTTTATAAAAGGAACTTTTGATTTATTAAAAACTTAAATTTTCTTTAACATTTGTGACGCAATGATCAACGGTTTTATTTTAAATTTTATCATAAAAAGAAGAAAGACATATTCTTTTTTGAGTACTTTGTGTTGACTGATTAATTAATTTTTAAATTTAAATAAACTTTTTGTCAAAGTTTATTTTTGGGAGGGGAGGGGTTTTGAATTTAAAATAAATATTTTATTGTTTTAGTAATAAATAAATATAAATATAAATTTAGTATTGTGTCTCAAGTAAAATTTTAATTATTTTATTTGTTTCACTTACTAATTAAAAAATAATGAGGAAATTAAATAATTTAATATTTTTTTATTTTTAATTTATTTGATTGGTTTATTTGACACGCTAGAGTAAAATTAAAGAGATTATTTTATTAATTAAACATTGAGGAAGATTCGAATAGTTTTAGGCAAATTTTGATAAAAAAAATCACAAAAATTCTTTGATTATTTATTATAATTAAATTTATTTTTCACCATTTATTCAGAAATCGAAAAATTATTTAAATTTAAACTCGAAATTAATGTTTTACTGTTTTAAAAAATTCTTTTGAAGTAATTTTTATACATATTAAAAAAATTCTTCTTTAATTAATTAGTTTAAACAATTTTATATTAATTAATTATTTTTATATTTTTTTCCTTGATTTATGCACCTAATATTTTAATATAAATATTTTCTGCAAAAGATTGTTAAAAATTTTCTGTTAGAAAAAAATATTTTACTCTGCTTAAATTTAAAAAAATATTTAAATTAATTTTTTTAAAGCGTAATATTTTGCATAACATATGTATATTTTTATATTTTTGTAAATAAATAAAAATACTAATTCCTCTTTCAGCTGTTATTTTATTTGGTACATGACTTATAATAATATGTATTTGTATAGGTAGCTAGTAAATAAATATAAAGAAATAATATTTTATTAAATTCAAAACAAAATTCCTTTAAAAACATTCCTTTTTAGTTATCTTTCTTTCTCGATAGGAATATTTTTAAAAATCTTTGCTGAAAGTTTATTTAAAAATAATTAGCATAAATTTCTTTGACAAATTAAATTTTCTAACTAAATATTTAATTTAAATAATCGTTTCTTGTTTCTTTAAATTTTTATTTATTTTTATTTAAAATTTTTATCAATAAAAAGACTTCCTTAATTTAACATTATTTTTAAATATTTTACTAATTTTCATTTCAAAATTAACATTTTTTGCATAATCAAATACATCTAAATTTTTGTGTGTAAATCTTTTGTTAAATTGATGTTTGTATACGGAGAGAGGGGAAGGAAATGTCCCAATTTTTTTGTTCAACTAAATTTTATTTTATTTTATAAAAAAATGTTCACATTTTACCTCTTAACTTTGAATATTTTTTTAATTTAAAAATTTTCATTTTTAATTATTTATTTAAACAAACAATTCAATTTTAGTATTTTTCTTATTTTTTTAAAGTTCAAAATATTTTTTTAAACTAGAAAAAAATTAAATGGAAGATATTGTATTAGATGATAAAGAAAATAAAAATAAACAGAAATTTGTTAATACTATTAAAAATGAAAGAAAAATTCAGGTAAAAATGTTTATTTATTTAATTTTAATTTACGCCTCAAAATAGGAGTCAAAAATAAAAGTCTAATTATCACGATTTCACTTTCTCTTTTACAAATTATTTTAAACTAGATGGGGAATTTTTGAAAATTAAAAGAGCCCAAAAACAATTAAATTTAAAATCACATCTTTTATTAAATAATTTTTTAAAATTTTTATTTTAAAAAATATTTGTATAATAAAACATTAGTGATTAATGATCAAGGAAAATTTAAAAAGAAAAAGGATTCATTTCACCAAATTTATCAAAAAGGGATTGCCTTTTTAATAAAATGAAAGATAGAAAATTTTATTACTTTCAAAAATTTGAATAACATACCTATGTATAAGCAAAAAAATATTTAAAGTTAAAATAAATATTTTTATTTTATTTAAGTTAAGGTTGGAGGTTTTTTATCCAATAAATAAATTCCTTCAATTATGTACATTAATTGCTAAGAAATTTTATTTTTCTCCAAATTAGTACTTCTGGCATTTCGTGATAAAAACAAATGTCTAAATATACAAAATTTATTATTAAAAGTTTTAAGGATTTTATTAATGAATCTTTAATTATTTTTTAAATTAATTAAATTAAATTATTTTTATTTAAAATAATTTAAAAAAGTTAAAAAAAACTTTATTTCATAATAAACACAAACTTATTCCATAATCTTCACATAACCACATCATAAATATTTCCGACAAGTTTATAAACATGTTTATTTGCTTTTTAATGCTTTAAATTTTATTTATTTATTTTTATTGATTAAAATTATTTTTTGAAAATTTTTTTTAATTTTTAAAATTTTTAGCCAAAATCTTCCTTTTCTTGTCCTCTCTCAATGATTGAATTTTTGTTATATACTCGAGATTTTACATTAGCTGCAGCCTGCGGAGTAATTTCTGCTAATTTCAATTTGTATATTGGAAAGTCTGATTTTTTTAAATTTTTAAATTTAATTTTAAATTTATTTTTAAACAAGAATTATTCAAAAAATTAATTTTTTAAAAATTTAATATTTTTTTCAGTTATTTAACTTTTGTTGTCACAAGCAAAATCTCACCTAATCCAAAAACTACATTATTTTCTTGTGTTCTAGATTTACTTATTCTTGGTTGTTTACTTCCTCAACTTTCTTTTTTACTTTTTATTTCTTTAAGTAATTCAACAAAAAATTCAAATAATTTTGAATTTAGAAAGTAAAATTAATTAATTAATTAAAAATATTTAAAAATATTTTTTAGAGCTTTGGCAATTTTAATTAAAGATATAATATTCTTTTTGTCAAGTATTGCTATTGGGTTTTATCGTTCTACAATACTTACTGCCCCTATATTAATTACTCCAATTTTGGTTTTTATATGGACTTTTATAAGCATTAAAGTAAAATTATTTATTTAAAAATAAAGTAAATACAGTCGTTATAAGTTTAAGATAAATCATAACTCCCTCCCTTTTTAAATAAATTTATGAAAATTAAAATTGGTTGGGGTGTCGGGGGGAACTTTTCTGAAGAACGGGAATGTCAAGGAATGGACTGTAAAGTGCCGTATTTCCTCTAATTGAGTGGCGTCTCTATTTGAACGGCAGTCTCTAATAGAGCGGCCCTCTTGGAGGGAATTGATAAATAGAGCGGCAGCCGCTCAATTAAAAGAAATACGGTATTTCGGTCTAAAAATTCAAATGAACTTAATAAAATTATTAAAATTTAAATTTCATATTTCTTGTTTAGGTTCAAAGTCTCGAAAAAATCATGTCCAAATCATCATCTCTCCGATACTTCAGACTTTCTGGCCATTTATTGCTTTTCTTTATGAATATAAGCCTTGGAGGGCTTTTTGGCACAAAATTAGTAGATTTACATTTATTAAAATATCCGGGTGATATTTTTACAATTGTTATTGGAATTGGTACAAGTTCTATACAATTAGCCAATGCCTACATTAATTTTATCCCATTTTTTAACAAAAAATTTATAAAAACTGAAAGTACACAAAAAATTTTAAAAAATGGTAAAAATTAATTTAAAATAAATTAATTGAAAAATATTTATATTCAGATTTGGTGGAAAATAATTTAAATAAAAAATGTGTAGTTTTTACGGTTAATGAAAATTTAGAAGACAGCAATAATATTGAAGAAAAGCCTAAATTTTTAAATGTAAATAGAAATTTTAATTTTTTTAACAAAAAAACAGAAATGTTTAGTTAAAAAACTTATAAAGGTCTACAAAATATTTTTTTGATTACCTTAGAATGGAAAAATTTATATTACATATGTATGTACCAGGGATCGCGCCGACTGAAAATTTAAAATTCCCAAATTTCGGGAATCGTGAATCGGGTCGGCGCGATCCCTGATATGTACATATAACCGAACTTAAATAAATTTTAAACAAAAACACTATATTTATTTTTATATTTTTTAGAATATAATTATTTGGCTACGTTCACAATTATTATTAATAAATAACTGGCCTATTTGTTTTATTTTTGGATTGATTGCTTGTTTAATACATGCATTCGGATATCCCGTTTTTACTCGCGACACAGGGCTTTTCTTTAGCGTTTTTGAGGATTTTATGGGTAAAATATTAATTTTAAATTAATTAGAATATATTTAAATTTAGATATTTCAACAAATTTATTTAAAAAAGTAAAATGGATTTGTTTTGTATATGGAACTATGGGAATAATTGTTTTTGTATCCACAACAATTTGGGTAAGAGATTTTATTGAGAAAATTATTGAAAGACTTGTACTCGTTAATGAATATTGAAGAAATAAAATTATTTGAAAACCTCCCCCTCCCCCATCCTAACAAATCAAAAAATTGAAAACGATCAGTCGGGGATGAGATGGTCGATCAGTTAACGGAGAGCACTGTCAGGGTCAATTCCCATCTGATATTTTGTTATTTTCTGGGATGGGCTGAAAAAACTTTAATTTTCAGTTTAAAAGAACGTTGTTTTAAACTGAAGGTTATTTTATTCCTCCTCAATTAAAAAATTTTTTTTTGTTTCCTCGGTCACTCTCTTTCAATTCTTTCTTTATTTATTTAATTTTATCAATTTTAAATTAAAATAATTTCTAGAATTGTATTTTTGCAAATATGGGAAATAAATTATGTCAATTAATTGAAAATAAAAATGAAATTAAAAGAATTAATTTAAATAATTTAAAAATGGTATAGTATTTATTTAAAATAATTTCTTTTAAAAAAATAAAATACTAAAAAGGTCCCAATATTATCAGCAGAATTATATTATGGAATTTTTTGTATATTAATTTCTATATGCTCAGCTTTACAAGGAAATAGATTTATGGGGTTATTAGCTGTAATTGTTTTTACTTTTCAAGTATTTTTACAACATTTTATTTTTCACAAATCAATTAATGGAAAACAATGGAAATTGGTTGGGAGGAAATAATTTTTAAATAAAATTTAAATAATTCTTTAAAGGGATTAGCTTTTGCCTCAACAAATGGGTTGCAACAAGCAAGTCAAGCAATTGCTTATACTGGTGGATATTTACTTGTACAAAATGGATTGGTACAAGCTTTGAATGTTTTTAAGTAAAAAATTTTTTTAAATAAATTTGGGGATTTTAATTAAAATATTTTAATGTAAAAAATAAACTTTCTAAATAATTAATTATTAAAATCAAGAAAAATTATTTTTAGAATAATTCAAACAATGTATTTGGGTAGCTCTGGATTAACTTCACTTTTGCTTCTTTCAGAGGATTTTACTAAAACTACAAAAGAGTTGAGATTAATGAAATTAAAAAATACTAAAATTGCTCCAAACGATAATAATATTGATGAATTAGCATAATTTTTATAATATATTCTTAATAAATTTTTGTTTTGTTATTTATTTTATAATTTATATTAGGGATTGTTATCGCCCTGTTATAACTGGCACCTTCGGGTTTTCGGTTATGGCCGGTTCCTAATAATTACATAACACTGAAATTTAAAGTTTGTTTGTTATAAATTCGTTAACATCAAAAGCTGCGAAAAACTTTTTCCAGACTTTAATAATTTTTATTTAGACGTAAAATCAATTTCCACGCATCCATTTCTCTATTGGATATATTGATTTTAAAATTCTATCAATTACATGCGCGCCCAGCCTCGCATGCCATTCATTCGTCTTATTAATTTTATTTTTTATTGAGTGAATTTTTAAAATTTTTTAATGCATTTAATTTTTAATTTAAATTTTATAATTTAAATTAAAATAGACAGAAATTAAAATTATTTAAACAATATATATGTAGTATTTTTTCGATTAAGTACCTCCTTCCTAATAATTTCTACACTTTTTCGAGGAAATTTATTACTAAATTATAATCGTTAAAATTTAAATTGTAAAGTTTTATTTAGTTTGTTAATGACGTTAAAATTGTTTTTGTGGATTGTAACAATTTTTTCTTTCATAAATTATGGAATAACAGATTTAGAGGATTCCAAAATTCCTGGCAAAACTCTTGCCCAACTTTTACATGAAAAAGAAAGTAATGAGGGATCTGATCATTCCGAACAGAAAACTAAAACTATAGCTACATTATTCAAAGAGGAAGAAAATGAAAAATTTCTAAAGGAAGAAGTTTCCACTAAAAAAGATTATGGGAATCAGGGGAATTTGAAATCAAGTTTGAAAAAAGAAAATGGTGGTAAGGGGTTTTAATAAGAAAATAATTTTTGAGAAAATTTGAAAAATAAAATTTATTTTATGATTTTTTACATAAATTATTATTTAGGTCGAGAGAAGAAAATAAAGAAAGTTAACTTTCAACATAATATTGCTACATATCATGAAGCAATTGATCCCAAAGATGGTAAAAATATAATTTTGTTATTTAATATTCTCAATTATTTTATTAAACTCTTTTGGAAATAGGTATATGATGGAGGGAATTTTATCTATAAATTAATAGAAATCTTTACGCAATCCCGCATTCAGGTTCCAGATTGGCACTGGTTTTTGTTTCAAAACTGAATCTAAATTTTGGAAATGAGGGGATCCGAGTTTGAAATTGTCAAATACACACACCTTATAAAATAATATTAAATATTTATAATTTAAAGATAATATGCCCGAAGTTTATTATAAAGATCCGCCGTTCCTCTATGAAAATGATGAAAAAGATGAGGAAAAGGAAGAAGATCATGAAAAAAATATTAAAAAAAGAGAAAATTATCTAAAACTTTCAGTTGATGAAAGATTGAAAAAATATTCGAAAAATATAGCACCCTTGGAATATGCCGTTAATTTATTAAAAAATAAAGAGAAACAAGAAAAACTTGCTGCTTTAATTGGCAATAAAAAATTTAATCAAATTCTCAAAAAATTTCAGAACAAAAAAGAATTTTTAGCATTAAAGTCTAGTATAGAAGAAAAATTGGAAACGGCTTCAACAAACAAGGTTCTTTAATTACCCCATAATTAGTTTGTTTGGGTATATGTATTTTCTTAGCTTCATTATCCACCGAAAAAAAACCTGTGAAAACGAGCATTTACAAAACTTTCCATTTGTAACAATTTATTTGGGTACCATTATAATTAAAGAGATATTGATGTATATTATACAAAATATTATTTATTAATTCTATATTTACGTAGGTGCCATTTTTCGACCCGTTAAAGAAATCAAAAAGCCAGAAAAAATATTTAGATGATCTTGTCGAGGCGGGCTATCTGCGTTTACTCTTTGCCGTTGAATTGTGTTCAAAAATTGAAGATATTTATAAAAACAACACTGAAGATAAGGATTATATGAAAAAGTATTGTGCTGATCAAATGAATAAAAATTTTATACAAAAGTTTTATGAAAAAAATATTTAAATTATTTAAAACCCAATTTTTAAAAATATTCGTAAACGAGAAAGTCTAAAACACCGTGAGAATTGTGTATATATTTATTGCTCCGTTACACCCCGAGAATTGTCATTGAAGAAAGTACCCATTTTATAATTACCATATATCCTCTATTATAACAAACAAATTAATAGAATAACAACTTTTTAATGGTTTCCAAACTTTTTTGAGCTTGTAAAAAGATTAAGAGAATATATGGTAACTAACTGGCATTTTAAAGTATTTTTCTTTTTATTGTCAACTAATCATTCCTGTCTTTGTTTGGTTTCTTTTCATATTATTACATTTTTATCAAACATTGTTTTTAAAAACGTGTATAAAACGATTACTTGTCCAATTAGTAAATATGTATTTATTCGCAAAATCCTTCGGTTAACCGTTAGGAGTTTTGTTCCGGTTTGAAGCAGACAACCCTAACTATATAGTTTTTCTGTGTAAATGAGGGAAAAGGCTATTGTTGTTGAATTCCGTTTTATTAAACTATTAGAAGTAAAATAAAATTTAAATAAATTTATCACAAAAAAAATAACAGAGATCATTGAGATTTAAATATTTAAAATACAATTTTTACAATAAAATTATTTTTTTCAGAGAGGACTAGGATATCTTTTAATTAAAGGATGTAATTGTTGCTGTAAATTTATTTTATTTTCTGTTGAATATCCATTATCTAAACGTTGATATATCATTCCATTTTTTCTATTTTCATTTAACTTTAAAAATAAATATTTAATTAATTAAAAATAATTATTTTTAATTTACTTTATAATGTTTTGATTGAGAAATTAAATTGTTGTTAATATTTTGATTTTCAAAAATAAATAAATTAATATTTTTCTGATTTGCTAAACAATCAGCAGAATGTAAATCTCTAGAATTAACTGAGGTAGATTTTCTGGCTCTAAAATTTGAGAAGAAATATTTTTAATTTTTTATAAAAATTATTAACCCAATCGAGGTAGTTGTGCTTCGAATAGAATGAAAGGAAGAATTTGGTTCATATATTCTTGCACTTCCATTACTTCCACTTCTATAAATTGTTGATGAAGGTAAAGCAATTGCTGGAATTATTGCCCCAGATTCTCCAAAACAAGTCCCATTTCCAGGTGTTAAAAGAAATCCAGCCATTTTTCGTTTTTCGGTTTTGATTCCATTGTTGCCTCCACTGCTTCGGAAAATGCCGAAACGATAGAGGAAAGGATTGATACATGTACTGGAAATTTAAATAAAAAATATATAAATTATTGAAAGTGTAAAGTTTTGGGGGTAAACTGTAATATACCAAGAGATGTCCTTTCTTTTAACCAAAAAATATTAGGTATTTCAGATACAATCCCCTCTAATCATGTCAAGAAAAATAAGCCTTTATTTAGCTTTTTATCACCTTGCAAGCAAAATTGATTGTAGCCAATTAAAATTAGAGGCCATTTTTTCACATTTAGAATCCGCTTCACAAACAACACGTAAAAGGGCCATTACTTGATAGGGTAACCAACTTAATACAAAAGCACAAACAATTGCTGCTGAAGCTTTTAAAAATCTTAATTTTGTATTTTGTTGCATTCTTCTATGTTGGTCTGTATTTGCGAGAGAAATTCCTTGACGGAGAAGACTTGCACCTTGACTACGGAGAGATAAACCGATTGAAACATAACAAAAAAGAATTACACCCAAAGGCAAATAAAAAGTTGTTATCACGTGGAAAAAGTGAAAACTAAAAATAAAAATAATTTTTTAAAATAAATATTTTTAAAGAAAATTATTTAAATAAATTACTAATTAATTTTAATAATTTATTTTTATTTTAAATTTCCTACCCCATAATTTGTTCGTTAGTAAAACCATGTAGATGATAACATTGCATAAGAACAGGTTTAGTGCGTGGAATGGTACGAGTGCCACGGAATATTGTCATTGGGGCAGCACAAGCAATTGCGAGAATCCTTTAAAATATTTATAATTATTTTTAACTTCAATTATTTATTTAATTACCAAGCTATCGCTATTAGCCAAGTAACTCTTTTATTTCCATTTGTCACACTTCCAAGAGGCATTCTAATACAAAATAACATATCTATAGCAATTGCGGCAACCATATTTGACCATAAATGGAAGGGAAGTGTTGAAAGAAAAGAATAGGCTTTACACATTGTATTGCCTAATGTCCAATGGATATTCCAAATCCAATAAGTTCTCCATAAACAATAAATACAAAGAACCTAGAGAAATTTTTAATTTTATAAAAAAATTTTTTTATTAAATATCTAACCATTAAATGAGCAATCAACAATTGCCTGGAAAGACGAATTAGTCTCATTTCACCAGAATGTGCTTTTGTTCGTCTAAAAATATTTTAAATTTAAAAAAATGAAGAGTAATTCAAAAATGAATTTTCAAAATTTAAATTAGGCAAAAACTCTCTTTATAAGAGACCCTAATATGGGGATACCCAAAGTAAGATTGGAGCGGCTATAATAAAAAAAAAGCTTCATAAAAATCAAGATTAAATTATGTTTTAGACGTGTAGAAGAACTTCTATGCGAGAATCTTTTATTTATTTTGTTAAATTTGGTTGTGAATAAATAATTAAAGCTTGTTAACAAATTCTTAAATCGAAGGTTTCCTATAATTATTCACACAAAATATTTCTGCCTTTTTGTCCCCAGAATTTTATAAATTCTTAACTTAAAATAAAATTTACTTTTTATAAAAATTCTTTAAAGAAATAGCATTCAAAGGCGCTCCAACAGCAAAGAAACACATTTGATAAAGCATTTCTACCAATTCGGACATTGAATGGACTGACCAAAGTTCTGATTCGTCAATAGAATCAGCTGGGGGCATAACCATTATTTGATGGTTTTGTTGAATTTGTTGTTGTTGATTTATTAAGGACATACTTGAAATATTTGTTGAGGAAAAGGGCAAAGAAATAAGCAGCTGGGAAATTAAAAGTTTTTGTTGCGATCCGTCCATTTTTTTGTTTTAAACAAAAAGGCAAAAAAATTATTTCAAAGAGAAAATAAAATTTTTGTTTGTTTATAATAATTGAGCAGGTGGAAAATTAATATTTATTTAAATTTAACCTTTAAAAATTATATAAAAATTAATTAATTATTTTTGTGAATAAAATATGAGAAAAATTTAAAGAGAAAAATACAAAATGTACTAATTATAAATAATATAGAATTTATATAAAAATGAGAAAGGTAAACTTAAGAACATAAAATTCTACAAGCCAATTTTAAATTATGGGACATTTACTGTTATTGAGACAATTTGAGACATTTAATATTACTGTTCTACATTTATTAGAGATCGGACTGGGTTGCAAAAGAATCGTTATGGATATCTCGAAAAATACCGATCTCGATAGCTGAGATTTTTGTTCGAAATCTCGCCTCGATCCGAACCTTAATATTAATAATTTATTAATTTTAGAGTTAAAAAATACATAAAAATGTTTGCTAGAATAAAATGTTTATAGATAAATTAAGCTTAGAATTTATGTGATAATTTTTTGATTTGAAAATTAAAATTTGGCTATATAAAATTTAGAAAATATTATTGAGTGGATTTTAACCATTGAAAAAAATATTTTTTTTCAAATTTAAAATAAAAAACCCAATTTATTTTTAAAAATTAATTATATTTAATGACGTTGATATTTAAAACGTCAGAGGAAGTTGATTAAGGAAATAAATGAATAATTAAAAAGATTTTTTTGTTGTTAAGGGGGGTAAGAACAATGAGCAAGTAAAAAAGCATTCGATACTTTTTATTTTGTGAGAAAATTTTTTAAATGTATTTATATTGAGAAATAATTAAAATAAAGTAAATTTGTGTGGGTAAAAAAGGGGGGAAATAAATAAAGTTAAAGTTAAATTTAACTTTATTTATTATATTAAAATTAATATTTAATTATAACTATTTATTTATAATAAATAAAATTACGACAAAAAGTCAAAGAATATCTAATTTAAATTAAAAAAGATTTTTCTTTGTAATATTTACTTAAATGTTGGGTAGACTTTAAAAAATACTTAAAGCTAAAAAAGGAAGTTAAAAATTTTTTTAATTTGTTTAAATTCTGAGATATCGTTCGGTTTAATACTTTATTATTTGCATAAAATTTAAATTTTAAAATATTTGTATAAACAGCAATATATCTGCAGACATAAAGTTGAACAGTTTTATAACAATAAACCATAACCAAGCTAAATTGAGCCAAACGGATCAAGTGAATTTTTGAAATTTCGAAATAGGGAAATATTGTTATTTAGACTACCGTATTTGCTAAAATAATTACCCAGGGTAATTATTGTTTCAATCTTTTGCTGTAGGGGTAATCAAAAGGGAGGGGGTCATTGTTTGTTCTTTTTTTAAAAAGGCGAATTATAACTATTTTCAGGAGGAGTAATTATTTTTTCGATCTCTCGCTGAATGAGGTAATTAACAGGTATGGGGTAACTATTTGAGAGAGGGACATTATTTCAGCATTTACGATAATTACAATTTTAATATTAAAAATATTTTCAAGGATTTAAGTAAAATAATGGAAAGATAATTCAAAGTGGAGGTTTGGAGATTTGTAAAGTAAGGAGTATTCGGAACTAAATATTCTTGATTAAAAATAAATGGAGGTTAAATATATTTTTGCAAGTTTTTCATGAAATTTATATATTTAATCGTTTAATGTATTGGAAGAGTTAGAAATAAAAAATAATTTTTTAGAAATATTTTAAGAAGCTTTTAAATAAAAGTATGTATGTACTTAATAAAATGAATGGATTTAATAAAAAAATGTAAACTTTTGATTCAAATGTTAAAAAGAGATTATTGCATATTTTAAAATATATTTTATTTAAATTGATGAAAATTAAAATAATAAAGAAGAGAAAATATTTTAAAAAATAAAATTTAGGAAGGAAATTAAAAAAATAAAAGTCTAAAAAAATGGGGCGCTTTTCATTTCATCATAACTTTTTTTCTCATTTAAATTTTATAATATTTTTTAATTTATATGTTAAATTTTTTTAAAGGTTTGGATTTTTATGTCGAATAAATATATCTATATTTATGTATTTATTTGGGTGTGCATAAAAATTTTGAACGAAAATTAATTTAATATTTTTATTAGAGGATAGAATCATAATAATCATAATACCTTAACTCTCTGTATTGTTTAAAAATCGTATGAAATTATAATTTTTAATAAAAATGGCAATAAAATTTTGAACTAATTTTAACTCGTTTATAAAAATTTAATTCAGAATTTTATTAAGAGATATTTTATATATTTTATATTTTTTAATTTAGCAGAAAATATCTAGATTTTATAAGTATAGATAAAAAATTACAATCTTTATATACATATATTTAAAAGTTAAATATTTCTTTTCAATTTTATTTTAATCATATAGTCTACATATTATACATTAAATAAATTTTAATCATCTTGCAAATATGTACTTTTTTTAAAAACATTTTAAAAGAAGGAAGTTATTTCAATTTTAGAAAAAAAACTTTTGATATTTAAAATTTACGTTTATATGTCAAAATTCTTTTTAATTTAAGATGGAGGGGGAAGTAGAAGTAGAAAAAAAACGTTTAAAAGTTTACAGTAAAAAAATGAAATCCGATTATTTTTAATTTTATATATAAATTAAAGAAAATAAATTTTAGAAAAATGCCGGAAGTTAAATGAGTGTAGGCGAAAATTTTTGTAAAAATTTAGGAATAAAAATTTTAAAGGGTTGCAAACTGAAGACGCTAAACTTTAAAAAATCGAAAAGAAATGAGTGAAAAAGTAATATAAAAAATTACAAAAAAATTTTATTAGAAATTAGAATTATTTAAAAAATTAACAAATAAAAATAAAGTAATAAAGATAATAAATTTTAAAAATTTGACTGAATCAACGAAAATGTGTGTTAATTAAATAAATTATTTCTTAAAAATTATATTTAAAGATAATAATCAAAAATAGTTTTTAATTAATTTTCAGTTGAATTTCAGAATTTTAAATTCTTAAAAACATTTCTGAAAATTTTAAAATAATTAATCTATAAATTTTGCGAATTTTAATTAAATGAAGACATATCAATTTGTATTTATTTTTTCTCATCATTAATTTTATTTTTTAAATTTAATTCAAAGAAAATTTTAAAAATTGGAAGAATAAAAGTCAAAAAAAGTAGCTTTAAAATTTTAATATCTATTTTTAGGAATTGTTCGAAAATTTTCTTCAAATTTGTATATTTAATATACAAATATATCATATTTCAATAAAAAAAGGGAAAAAATATATCATTTTTCGGCATATTTGGAAATGAAGAATAAATGAGGAAATAAAATTTTTAGACAATTTTTTTTTATTTTTTAAATTAATTATTGCAAAAATGTGTATTATTTTAATGTAAATTTTTTCTATATGGTCAAACTTAAATCGAAAAACGAAATAATTGAAAGACTCAAGACCAAAAGTTTTTTAAAACTGTAGAGATATGTACAAGTATTTTAAAAATTATTATTGAATCTAGACAAAGCCGGTTTAGGTTAGATAAACGAAAACAGGGAGTTTGCCAAAAACTTAAGCTAAAAAGGATTTACCGGTTAATAATTAAAGAAACCAGTCAATAAACTCCGTAAATTTCATATTATTTTTTTGGAAGATTTAATTTCAGTAATAATTAATGCTTTTGATGGGAAAGAATATTGAAATGAAGAATAAAAAAATAATTAAAATGAGAATAGATTATTTAAAAAAATATTGGCATATATAAAATAAAATAATATTTATTTGAAAGCAGTCATTCAAATAATTCCCTTAAGGGGGTAATAATGAAAGCAGGTGAAGGGAGGAGAGAATATTTAATGAGTAATTATTTTTTAATATATTATTTTTTAAATAAATAAAATTTAAATATTTAAATAATTTTATTTAAAAATTTTAATAAAATTTTAATAGAAAAGTTAAACTTTTAGTTAGAAAATAAGAGGAGATAAATTCTTATCTAAATAAAGGTCTAATTTTTCAACTATTTAATTTTATTAAAATTTTTTATTAAAATTACTTCCTTAAATTAAAAGATAAAAACAAATTTAACAGATTAAACATTAAAATAAAAACTTTACGTTTTTTGAAATTTTATGACTATATTAAATGAAAAAAAGGTTTTTTAATTTAATAAATATGTACATATATCTACATAATTAATATGTAAATAACATGTAATTATTTTTAATTAACTTATTAATTTTTAAATTTAAATTATTTAATATACCTAATTTAAATATTTTAATCAAAAATTCAACTCATAAATATTTTGAAAATATTAAAACACAAAAATTATTATTTAAATAAAATTATTTAAATAAATTTAAAAAATATAAAAAATTATGTAAATTTGGGACAAATTTAGAAATTTTACAAAAGATTTAAATAATTTTTTTTGGATTCTTTCAAGGTTCTTTCTTTTGAATAAAATGTTACATAAATGCTTATTGTGAATAAAATAAATTTGATTATTGTCTTATAAAGGAATAAAAATTTATTGAAAGATTTGGGAATTATAGAAGAAAGGACAAAAAGAATAAAAGAACCTATGAACTATGGCCAATTTGTCTTTGCTATTATGATAATATTTAAGTATATACTGCCTAAATCTTTGCTAAGAATCTAAAAATTCCCGATCCAGAACTTCAATTAATTTTAACAAAATAATAATGAGATTATGAAATCTGCTTATTATAAATATCATCTTTTGTGCCATCAAAATAAATAGAAATGAAAGTTTTTGATTAAATGGCCTCGTTTAGACCTAACCTCACGTGTGTATTACTTCAAATTACGTCAAAGTCGGATGCATAATTGAGGTCCGATTTTACATTTTACATGATTTATCCTTTTTTCATTTATTAATTTAATATATTTACTAAACCTCTAAACAATGGGGAAACAATAAAATATATTAAATTATTTAGTTATTTTTAGTATGAGAATATGAAATATGTAAATAATTATAAAGATAAAATTTTTTTCGATTCTAAGAATTATAAAAAATTTAATAGTAAATAAACTGTTGCAGTTACAATATTCTAATTAAAATTTTTATTTGATATGAAAGTGTTTATTACACTTTTTAATTTAAAATACATGTACTTTAAAGAATTGAAAATAAAGCTTTAAAATATAAAATTAAAAGCGGTTATAGAGAATATTTAAATATTTGTGTAATTTAAATTAAATTTTATTAAAGGAAAATTAAAAATAAATAATTTTAATTAATAAATATTTCTGTAGGTGTCAGCAAAAAATATAAAAAATTATTCCATTTGGGACCTAATATAACTCAGAATTCAGATTCTATTTTAGAAAGCTTAATATAATAAAAACTTGTTTATTTGAACTCCCGCTTCTTAAGTTTAAAATAATTTTTAAACACCTCCCAAAAACGATAAAAAGGAGGCCCTATTTTATTTCTAACTTTATTGTAATTTTGTCCTCGTGTTACGTAGTTCAGTACAAATTATTATTAAAATATTTAAAAATATTTTTAATAATTTTTAGTAATATGTACTTTTGTAAAATAAATGGCAATTAAAAAGATTATTTATTAGACTCTTAATAAAATGTATTATTTATTTATCCTCATTATTTATTTAAATATTAATATTATTTTTTCTTTATAAAAGAATAATTAGAATGAGGGTGGAAATTATTACCCCAATACTGATAATAGAGAAAGAAAATTTATTTGTTTGTAGCTAAGCAGATGATTATTTTTACTTAGAATTGGCAGATTTATTTTAATTGGTTTGGCAAATTTTAATAATATTTTATAAAAATTTAAATAAAAGTAAAAATATTTTAATAATCAAAGAGTATGAAAATAAAAAAATTTAAATTTAAGAGGAGCATTAAAAAATTAAAGAATTTTTTTAAATAATAATTCAGGCATTTTCGGAACATTTTATTTAACTTTCATTGAATAAAGCAATTTTTAAAATATATTTCTAAATTCATTTAATTAAAGGTTATTTTATTTTAAATAATTTTTGGGTAAATCAAAAATAGATAAATAAATGGATACTTTCTTTTTGGAATGATTAAATTAACCAAAAATGGCTCTAAATATATTTAATTTTAAAATATTCAAATAAATTTTAAATTCTAACAAATTTTTTAAAGATATAAATTAAATATTTTTTAGCTTCCTTTTTCTTTTTTTTAAACCCGAGTAATGTCCAATTAGTTAATTGTTAATGCTAAAAACTTTTTTTCATTCTTAATACTTCTCTTCTCTTTATCTTTACAAAGTACAATAAATAAATAATAGACTAGTAAATATGTAAAAGGTGCTCATTAAATAAATATTTAAGTAGATATACGTAATCTTCAATTAAAAGAAAATAGATTTTTGTATTTTAAAAGACGCGAAGATATGGCTAATAAATTATTTAGATAATCAAAAGTGAGCCAAAAATATTTAATATCAAGGGAAAAATCAGTGGATATGTTAGGTAGTCAAAAAATAATTTCTTTTGATGAGATTTTATTACAAATTTTAAATTATTATTATCTAGGCATATTAAACAAACTTAGATCAAAGACTTAAAAGCATGATCGTTTAAATATATCTGTAGATCCAATTAAGGTTTAATATGTAAAGCTTGTATACTTTAGCGAGGAATTTTAAATAGTAACTGGATGGAAATATTGGTTAATAATATATTTTATAATTTATTAATTTAGAATTAACGTCACATAATTATTTTTAATATAAATTAACAAAAAAAATAAAAAACCATAAAAATATTTATTAAATAAATTTTGTTTATTAAAATGGAAATGAAAAATAAAATAAATTAAATATACGTAAAGTGTAAAAATATTTTTAATAAATATATTTAATCCTGTTCTTTTGCCTTTCACTATTTATAAAAAATTAAATTAATAATTAATTTTTGTTTATATTTTTAAAAATAATTTTTTAAATTTAATCTGTCCAATTATTTAAATATTTACTCTTTTTTTAAATATTTTTGATGAATAATGTTAATTATATACATAATTAATTTATAATTAAAAATACTTAAAATAATAAGATTGGAGCAAGGAAAAAATTAAAGACATTTATTGTTAATTAATTAATCTCTGTACATAGAATTTTAAAATGAAAATATTTATTTATTGTTCTTAATTAATTTAAAATTTCTTTTTGGCCTTTAATTAAATAAATATAAAATTATTTAGAATCTATCAAAGCCAAATTCAACAACAATTTATTTAAATAATGCAATAATAGGTATTTTATCTTAAAAAGTATTTTCATTTTCTGATTTTTTGTGCTCATTTCCAGTAAATTTTTTCCACAACATTTTTAAATTGTCAAAAAATTTTTTATGCTTCTAGAAAAAGTAAATATTTAAATAAATATTAATTTAGATTTATTTTTAAAAAACAATGTTAATTATTTTTATTTTTCTTAAATTTTTATCTTTTTATTTATTACAGTTAATTGATAATAAAAATTGATTTATTTTAATTAATATCGTTTGTATATATTTTGCTGTGCATTATTTAATTTCAGTTCTTTTCAATATATAATTCTTACAAATTAGTAAAATACTAACTTTTATTTTTCCTTTACTCAAAGTTGAGAGTATGTTTAGTTTTTAAATATTTTTAATTTATTCCATCAATTTAAATTAAATATTTTTTAAAACTTTAAATTAATAAAACCGATAATATCATAATAACAGAAATCAGGAGCTAAAATGTTAACAGCTACTTTTCTTTGAAAAATAAAAAATAGTAAATGCCGGGGATGAGCTCTCTTCCGTTTATAATGTGACGCGTTCCATCTTTAATATACCGTATTTGCACTAGTAATCCCCCAGGGGGATTATTGTTTCAACCCATCTCCAGGGTGGGGGATTAATAGAGCCTGGGGGATTAATAAAGGACTGGGGGATTAATAGAGCAAATACGGTATGTAAAATAAATAGATTATTTTAATAAAAAAACTTAAAATTATGGGAAATGATAATTTATTTCAAACATCAAATGGCCGTTTTGCTCTAATAGTTTTAAGCTCTGCAACATTAATTACCTTTACCACTATTGTTTGGTTTACTACAAAGAATCTGCTTTATAAACGAAAGAGAACTAGGCATTCTAGAATGAATAAATAAATTTTTAAAAATTTTCATTTAGAGAATTTGTAGAAGCTGGAAGAGTTGATGAATTATATTTATATCCAATAAAGTCATGCAAACCTAATAAGGTGGGATATTCTAACTAATATTTATTTAAGGATTAAGTTGACAATTTCTTATTTATTAAAGGTTGATTGGATTGATTGTAATAAACGGGGAGGCTCTAATGGAGAGGAATTTGACAGACATTTTCTTGTATTTATTTTTAAAATACTTATTAGTTAATGAAATTTTTAGTTAGTCGATTCTATGCAAGACAATTTATTTTTGACAGCTCGGATTTATTCAAAAATGGTATTGGTGGAAGCACATGTAATTAAAGGAAAATTAATTGTTAGATTTCCACCAGGCAAAAATTTGAAAAAAAAAATTTAAAATTAATCAAAAATATATAAAATTAAGATGATAAAATTGTTGAAGTAGACCTTGAACAAGTCAGAGCAAAAGGAGAAATAAGGAGGGCACGGTAAGTAGTGAAAATTAGTGAAAATTTTTAATTAATTAACTCTTTAAAAATAATAATTTAAAGTGGGTAGTCAACACTTTAACAAATTTTACTTTAATTTAAATGCAATTATTCAATTATTTGTTCCTATGTTTGGAATATTAATTGATACCAGATTTTAGGAATAGTTAAGTATAACACTTTATATGTTAAAAGAAAAGCAGTTTTGACTTCGGACACCAAAAATTTTATTTCATTCAAATGCATTTTTGAAAGGGGCGATTTTTACAACATTAAGACTTAGTTTTCCTCTAAAAATAAATGCAGGTCTTGGCCTGCGTCCCAGTGGCGTCAAATGCCTTTTTTATCCTCTAAAGAATCATCTAAAGAAATTCTTTCTCCACCACCCTCTAGTTTATTCTCTAATGCACGTACTGAAGGATTTGACTGTGGCGATGAGATTGGTAAAGCATTTGATGAATTTCTTGAAGTTGGAGATAAAAGAGCCTTACGTTTAATTTGGTAAATATTTTTAAAATAAAAAAAATTATGAATTAAAGGTATGGAGAACCGGAAAAATTATATACTGAAAGAGATGAAAAAACTAAAAGTGAATTTTGGTTGAATAATGATGTGCCAATGCTTCAAGAAAATGTAAAAATATTTTTTAATTAAATTTTATATTTGATTTTTTGGACTGGGTTGAGATTAGAGGATTGACACAGCACTTACACAATCAAATATATTATACATCTAGTGATATCTGCTTTACCTCCATTTGATTAATTTAGTTTCAGACTAGGACTGAAGGATTTGATTATTGAAATTGATAAAACAGATAATTCCAATATCAAATTTTAATTACAATCACTTTGATTTTCGGACTGAGTTGGGATGAGTGGAAGGATAGTATTAATACCCATAGATTTTCTCAGATTGCTTATCATGATTTAGCTTCATTTATGGCATTTGCTTCAGAATCTGTTAATGATTTAAATAAACATCTAAAAAAGGAAGGTGAATGTATAAATTCTCGAAATTTTCGTCCAACTTTAGTAATATCTGGTTTGCCTCCATATGATGAGGATAGTTGGTTACGTGTTAAGGCTGGAGATGCAGAATTTATTTGTTATAAACCTTGTACTCGGTTAGTGGATTTTTTAACTAAAAGCTTTTTTAATATAATGTTAAGTTGTGTTTTGACAACTGTAAATCCAGATTCAGGAGAAAAATCTCCAAAAATGGAGCCAATAAAAATGTTGAGAAATTAAGTTTCAAATTCTTTTTCATTTAATTAATTTTTAATATTTTTAGATATAGACTTGCCCCTGGAAAATTATACGAGATATATAAGGTAGAAATTATTAAAAAATTAAAAGAAAATGTTTTTAAAGGAAAGTCCAATATTTGGTGTTAATATGACTATTGTTAAACCTGGACGTGTTCGTATTGGAGATCCTGTATTTATTCAATATAAGCCTACACCTTTTTAAATTGTAGAAGAAGGAAATATTTAAAAAATAAATATTTAAATAAAATTTAATAAAAATATTTGTCATTTAAAATAAATAAATTATTTTATTTGGAATATATCTCGGTATTGTGAGGTTAAAGATTTGTTAAAAATAATTAGAAATCTTTATTTTCTTAATTAAATTTAAATATTTATGCTATGATTTTTACAGATACAATTTTTAAAGCTAAAATTTTTTAATAATTTTTTCTAAAAAATTTTAAAATTATATGTACCCAAAAATTAAAAAAAAAGAATGGAAAAATCTGGAAAAATTACGCCAACGCTTTCTCTTCCTAGTTAGTTTTTGCTATTATCTTAAACTTTCTTTAAATCCATTATGTTCATATAAATTGTTGCCAGCTGTCACAATTATATTTGAGGAATGAAAATTTTCTAAATTATTCGCCTACGTACATAGATTATTTTATATATTTTAAACTTTCACTTTTAAAATTTAGAGTTTATACTTTAAATTATTCGAAAAAAATAATAAGCATGCTTTAATCAAGTCTTTAAGATCTAGTCTGAATAAGGCATCTATTTATTTTGTAAATTATAAACCCCATATTTTATTGTTTACTTTTCTTTATTTTTAAAGACACTAAAATAAAATTAAATACAAATTATAGTTAAAAATGAATTTTGGTTGTGCCGGTGATCCTGATATTAAAAATTGTGCCTTTTGTGGCGAGAAAGTTCAAATAGCTGATAAATTGATGGTTGACCGAGAAATTAGTAAATTTATATTTTTTAAAAATAATTCAAAAAAAATTTTATTTTAGTTCATAAAGGCTGTTTTAATTGCTGCTATTGCGGTGCTAAACTACAAGCAGGGAATGCAGCTATGGAACAATCATTCTTCAATCGCTATGGTCCTCGTTGGTATTGTGCCGGTGCTTTAGGTAATTGTGCTTTAGTGCCTGTTGCACAGAAGGATGCGAAACTTAAAGAGCGTGGATTGAATGTTAAGAAAACTGGAAAGGCCAAAAAATAATGATTTAAAAAATAAAATTTATCAAAATGATTGACAAGAGATGTGATTTTTAAATTTTCTTGAAATAAAGAAAATAATCAGGAATGATAATTTAACCCTATCGATAAAAGAGAAAGCTAAAAATACTAAGAAAAAATCCTAAAAATCCGACAACGCTTGAATCTGTGACTATCGAATTCACTTAACTAATTAAAGTATATTCTTTTTCTGAAAGTGAAAAAGCATTTTGAGAAATTTCTCAAAAGTAATTTGAATTGATGCACATTTGATTTAAGGTCAATTTTTAAATTTTTTAAATAAAAATATTTTTATATTTATTGTTTAAAAATGACAATTATTTAACACATTATATTTAACTAATTTTTTCATATTTTTCTTTTGTTTTTCCCAAATCATTTCCCTCCATAATTATCACTTCCGGTATTGTAGTAATAATAATATGGCCAATAATTTTTGTAATTATAATTATAAGGGTAAGAATATGAAGAAGAGTCTTGAGAGGATTTTGAATTGTCTGTTAGGACATAGCCATATCCAGGTATATAATAATAACCTGAATTTGCCTGAAAATAAAGTATTTTTAATTTCATTTTTTGATAAATATCCGTTCAAAAATTTATTTTAAAATATTGTAGACTTTTTTTAACGATTTCTAAAATTTATTTTCATTATTCCATATAGATATTATTGTTAATAACAAATATCAAAATTTACTGTTTTTAGTTTATAAGTCCCACTGGAAGGATCATATTGATAATAGCTTGTTCCTGAATCTGAAGATGATTGCTTAGTTTCACTTGGGCGATAATAATTATAATTGTAGGGGTTGTAATAGTAATAATTGTAAGGATAATTGCTCTTTAATAAAAAATTAATGATTAATTAATTTAAAAAATTTTAAATTAAATATTACCCAATTATATTGACCATAAGACAAATCAACAAGCAGAATTAACGACAGAATTGATAACAAACTTATAAAAATTAAATATTTATATTAATTAATTTGAAAATTATAAAAAAAAATTCCAAGAAAAAATTTTTAAAAAAATTAATTTTTATAAGAAAACATACATTACTGTGGAAATTTTCATTGATAAGTTGATAGGCATAATTCAAATAAATTTAAAGAAAATATTTAAATTAACTTAAATTTTAAGTAAACTTTTAGTTAACCAAAATTTATCAAAATAAACATAAAAATTTTGTTATAACTTAAATTTTTTTTAAATTATCTTTGGAATATTTATTGGGGCTACTCATTGAATGTTTAATTAATTATAAAATAACTCCCTATTTTTGTAAATACCATAATACCGTCTATTTTTTGATGGGCCTCCTTGGGTGGGCTTGTATTAGATACCTAATAGAGCCGGACTTTAATTAGAGCATTTACGGTAATTTATTAAAAAAATTTTAGAAAAAACCCACAAAAAAACTTCAAATTTTTTATATGTTTGTGTATATTTAGTTTTTTCCAACAATTTATAAACAAATTTTTCTCAATCAAAATTTTGCAGTTAAAAGCTTTGAAAAGTTATTTCATAATAAAAGTTCAGAAAATATTTACAAATTTATAAAAAAAACCTCAAAAATAGAATTGTTAATCTTTCTTTTGTTAAAAAAATAAATATTTATTTTGCCTTCTTTTTCAATTGAATTGACGGAATTTCTATTTAATTCATCAAAAATTCTCGAAAGCTTTAGAAGAATATACTAACCCTTTATTTATTTTAAATATTTTATTTAAAAATATAAAAACATGGTTAATAAAAGAAAAGAATTTTTTGTTGACGCACGAATGCGCAAGCAGTGAAAATTGTGAAAAAATTGAAATTTTGAAGGATTTAATATTTTTAAATTTTTGCAAAAAAATAGACAAAATATTTAAAAAATAATAATTTTGCAAAAAAAAAGGAAAATAATTAAATTATAACTTTTTATTTAATAAATTGATGTTAAATAATTTAATTAATTGAAGATATTTACATAGAAAATAAATAATGAAGAAATAATGAAAAAATTTTTTAATATTTTTTTTATAAAAATAGGAGTCTTTTACAATACTTTCATATTCGAAATTAATATTTTGCCATCACCGCTATTAGAATTCGTTAATAGTTTTTATTGTCCTAGAATTTTCATCCATTATTTTTTTCATTATTTTATCAAACAACATTAAATAACATATTACTCAATTCTGCCCAATTATTCGCCTTGTACTTAATAAAAAATAAATATTATTTTCTTAGAATTTTTATTTTTAAAATTTTATTTTTTATTTTTATTTTAAACACTCAATGGTTTAAGTATTGATTCGTATATCCCAAACTAAAGAGAAAATATCTGGCCAATTTATAAGATTTATCCTTATTTTAGGACTTAAAGTCAATACTTTTTCTACCTAAATATATTTCTTAATTTTAAAAATTTTTTTGTTTTTATTAAAATCTTTTGTATAATTTCCATAAAATATATCTTCAAAAAATGAAAGGTTCTAAAGTATTTGCAAAGTCTGGAGACTCCTCTGATGAAGAAAAAAGAGAAAATCGATGGAAAAAAGATTTGCCTCAATCTAAATTTCGTCGAAGCGATAATGGTTTTTTAATTAAAAAGTAAAAATTTAAAAAATTAATTTTCAAAGAAAGATGGTCTAGAGATGCAGCTAAACGAATTTTTAATGTTGTAAAAAGCCAACCAAACGAAAAAAGTGCGAGGGAATTATTGAAATCTTTGAAAAGTTCTTCTGCAGATGATGAACAAAAAAGTTGGGAATTTTTTTGGAAAAAAGTTTTTTATTTAAATTAAAGGTGCAATTGATAATTTTTTACATAATGTTGACATAAATGAATATTTTATTGATAGAAATGAGAAAAAGGAGGAAGAAATTTTAGAAAAATTAATTATAGCTATTGAAAAAAAAGCTGAAAAGAAAAATGATTCAAAAAAGGTTTTTAAAAATTAAAATTATATTAATATAATAACTGAATAATTATTTAAATTAGAAAAATGTATTTAAAAATTAAGTTAACTCTAATTAAGTTATAAGTTTGTTAAAACCACAACAATTTAATAGAAATTTTATAAATTTTTATATTTTAATTTAATTTTAACTTAATTAAAAGTAAAGAGTAATTACAACTAAATAGGGGAAATTAAAGACTTGATCAATTTTTAAAAATACCTTTGGATTTAATACAGGGTTCGGATCGAAAAAATGTCAAGTGTAAGTACAAAAAGTTCAAATTGGAAGTACACAGGGGGAAAAATTTTCAAAATGTAAGTACGCTACGAAAAAAATTTTCAAAAACTTTTTTTAGTGCCGAAGCTGCTAAAAAGTCTTCCACTTTTTGCGCCGCAGGCGAAAATTTTGAGAATTTCGGGGGTCCTTAAGCCAGTTTCTTCCATTTTTTGCGCCGCAGGCGAAAATTTTGGAATTTTTAATGTTAAATTTAATTTTTTAACCAAAAAGTCTATTTGTAAGTACGTACTTACAAATAAGTACATTTTTAATTTTGGAAGTACGAAGGTCGATTTGTAAGTACTGTACTTCCAAAATAAGTACGAATCCGAACCCTGATTTAATATGTATTTGACGTTAAAAAAGGAAGCTGAGAAGAAAATAATAATTAAATAAATAAATAAATTTTGTTTGTTTAATTTTAGGGACTTGGAATGTTGGATTCAATTCTGGATTATTTACTTGAAAAATTGCAGCAACAATGGCACACGCTTTTTTATGCTCTTGTTCCCTTACATCAAGTACAAACTCTTGTATTAATTTGTTTTGTTCAACTTATTGGGTTGGATTTATTAGAAAAACTTTAAATTTAATTAAAAATTAATAAAACTTTAAAAATGGTAGTTATAGGGAATTAGACAAAAATATTGGTTATCTCCAAATATTGTGAAAAGATTAAATTAAATCTAAATTAATATAAGAAGAGTTGAGATTCCATACCTGATATACATAGTACATCAAGTACAAACTATTTTTGCCTCCCACCTATCGGTCTTGGGCGGAGGTGAAATCCAAAGTGATTAAATATGAGGAAATAAACAAAAATTTTCTAAATTAATTATAATAAAAATTAAATTTTATTTTCCATTATTTTTATAGACTAAACACAATTTTCAATGCATCACCAATTATTTTAGCTCATTTTTCATTTGCCTCAATGATTTATTTTACGTTGAAAATATTTAGAAAACAAACATCTTTAAATGATAAACGAGCTTTTTGGGAACGATTTGTACAAATTTTTCAAAATAAATCCAAAAATTTATCAGAAGATAAAGGAAAGAATTTTAAAGAAAATATAGAAAAAGAATTACTACCTGAGAGTGAAGGTAATTTTTAAATATTTACTTTAAGGAAATTAAAAAAAATAATTAAAAAAAATATTTTTTTGAATAATAATTGTTTTGGAAGTCTTTATTTAATCAAAAAAAATTTTTTTTCTATCAAGTAAAAAATAAAACTTCATTTCCCCTTTTTAGAAAAAATTACTGCGATCAACGAAGAAGAAAGTCTTTTAATTGGCAGCCTCTCCCCTTATTTAAATTTTTTTCTTTCACTTTTCCTCTTTCTTTTTTGTATTGGAATATCTGACAAATCTGTGCCTAATTCTCTAATATTTTGTGGAATTGCTTTATTTTTTACTGGAATTAGTTTTGTTGAATTAATGTCTGATGGAACTTTTAATTTTTGGGGGTTAGCAACTATTTTATTTGCAAATTTTATTTCTTTGTAAGTTTTAAAATTGTTTAATAAATTAATAAAAAAATATTTTTTAAATCTAAAGCAGGGTAGCTCCCCGAGCCTTCGAGGTCGGGATCGTCAGGGATCGTTGTTTGTCGGGGTAGAGACTTCGAGGTTCTGGTCGGGGTTTTTGCCAAAAAAATTGTCGGGGACGGAGAGCTGCCTTAAACTAAAGTAATAATTATTTCGGCTCTATTACACAATATACGTCCAATCAACTATTATGCGTCCAATCAACTTTTATACGTCCAATCAAAGTTTATACGTCTAATGAAAAGTTTATGAGTCCAATGAAAATTTATGCGTCCAATGAAAAGCTTATGCGTCCAATCAAATTTTACACGTCCAAACATATTTATAATTTAAAATAAATATAATTTAAAAATAATATATAAATAAAAAAATCTTATTTCAACCCAGGCTTGTTCATGGATAAGGATAATATAATACCAGCGGATATATCCGGATACGGACGGGTATGGATAGTGGTTTTTTAAAAATCGGACGGATACGGACTGGCAAGGCTATGCTGCTACAAATCCGCGGATATCCATCCCTAATTTCTGCGATTTAACAGCACTAATTAATAACAACCCTAAAATCTGCGGTGCGTAAAAAGTGAATTTTTTGGCCTATGGCCTTCCAAATTTCTCAAAATTTTCGATTGCAGCCAGGACGGTATATATTTTTAAATGGATACCTGATAGTCATTGAGTAAGGCGTTATAAAAAATAAAAATTATTTTGTTTTTTCTTAATTCAATTTTTACTGGACGTATAAAAATTTATTTGGACGCATAAACTTTGTTTGGACGTTAAAAATTTGATTGGACGCATAATAGTTGATTGGACGTATATTGTGTAATAGAGCCATTATTTCTTTATTTTTATAGTTTGCCTGTTCTTAGTTCAAAAATTAAATTTTCAATCGGCAAAAGATTTATTTGGCGTCCGTTTTTCTCTTGGAAGTTCGGTATAAATTTATTTATTTTAATTATAATTAAAAAATTTTTAAAGGAGCTTTTCGTCTCAATTTTGGTTTAGCCTCTCTGTCACTTTTTGTTATTCCCATAATTTTATTTTTAATTGCTTTACGGAAATCCCGTCATTATCCTTCTTCAAATAGATTTTTTGTTCCTTTTTTAAAATCCCTTTTGCCATATATTATTTGCCTTATTTGGTCAAATATTGCTCTCACAATGGTTCTGATTGGATTTAAACAATTCTCAATAACAAATCTTTTACTGGCTATAGCTCTTCTTTCTTTTATTGTTTTGCCTAATTATATTGGTGCTACTTTGGCTTGTGGAATTTTATTTTCTCAAGTAAAGAGGACAGTTGATTTTGTGGGTTTTGTTTAATTTTTTAGAAACGGAGATTAACTCTAATTATCAACAAAATTTAATAAAAAAAATTCCTCGTTTTTGAATCATTTTTCTCTCTGATCTTCTCTTCTCCCAAAAAAGTTGGGTCAATCTAAATTAATATAACTTCAATTTTATATTTTTCAGATCAGTTTACTTAAAATTATTTTTACAATAATTGTATTTTTACTTCCTTTGATTATCAGAAAATGTTATAAAATAATTTTACAAAAATATAAAATTAAATGTTTGGTTGTTTTATTTTTTAGTTTAATATTTAATTTTTCAGTATTTAATTTCTTCAACACAAAAAATGTTTTAATTTTATTTTTTGTTTATTTGCTTGGCTCTTTAACTGTAATTTCTTTTCTTTATCAAAGCCCTTCCTCTTTTGATGCTTCTTCTGAATTAACTAATCTTACTTGGCCTCAATTTGAGAATCATTGTGCAATGAATGGAGCTAATCAAATACATTCACAAATGCATTGTTCTCAAATGAAAGGTTTTTTCATTGAACCTCTCGATTTTTAAATTTTAATATGATCCCTTTTATACTCAACTTCAACCTAAAATAATTTAATTTTGTCTCCAAAAATTAAGGAATGGCTATAAATTGGAAAGGAACTGTCCAATCTGTTCGAATTGCCGATATCGATAATTCTTTTGAGACTTTGCTAGATTATTTGCCTGATTCTGTGGCACAAGCTATTCGCTGTTTTTATGATACTGATAGCACTGACGAGGATGCTATACCGAGAGATTTGCATTCGAATGAGTGTAGTCTTGCTCAACACAATCATTATACTTATGAATTGGAAGTGAGCCATATTATTACTAATTTATCTTTACAAGATTAAATTTTCTAATCTACCTTAAAATCTACAAAGGGTAAAAAATCGAGACCAAGACTTGACCTTAAGATCGAAAACCTCTAAGAAAAGTCTTGAGTCAAAGACCAAGAATCTCTATTCTCTTCATCGCTTTGTGTTTCTTCTGAACGATTTATAAATTCGAATTTTTTTCATAGGTCAGTGGCCCTTATGGTGAAAAATTTCAAATCAGCGGCAATAAAGGACAATTACTTTTAACAGCTCAACACACTTTTGGTGAAATATTACGACTTTTGGATGAAGGGGACATTATTAGATTTATTGCATTCTTTGACAGTTATCCAGTCTTTAGATATCCGCCACGTCTTAGACTGCTTCAACTTGAATGCTTAATTTGTAAAAAGGTAAATGATCCTCTTCAAACTTTCATTAAAGCTTTTAATCAAAATCTTTCTAGCTGAGTTCTGACAAATACAAACATCTTCGATTGACAAGCGTTAAATCAGAAAGACGTAAAATATGGGCTCGTTTAAACAACGCATTTGAATTACTTTTTAATTTTGTATTTGCACCGTTTATTTTACTTTCTTAGACATAGTAGTTTTAGTATATTTTATTATAATCTAGTCATTTTCATATTACTCTTAAGTTTTGAAATTTATAGAGAAAGTTTTTTAGTACTATTAAATGCTAGGCATAGAAACACAATGATAATCCCAGAATTTTTAATCTGTTATTTTATTATTTAGATTTTATTACATATGTATGTAGGCATAAAATAATTTGTTACGCTTTTTTGTTAACTTTCTTTAATTTTTTTCTTTCTATCTAGAAAGCTTCTCCCTTATTTAAAAAAACATTTTATTTATTTAAATATTTAATCGCGCATTGTATGTAAAAAGAAAATATTATTTAATTTTATTTGAATATTATTCATTAAATCATTAATTCTTTTTTTCTTCTCAAAATTCAATGACGCTTTTTGGCAGTTACACGCAACACGCCATTTTGCATCAAATGAGACTAAAAATTAATTTTCAAAATTAATTTTGGATATTATTTTTTACTTTAATTGTGTTACGGTCCAAATCGTCAGGAAGTCGATAGCTTCGATTAACTTCGCGACTCACTGTTCCTCCGTGAACATCGCTACGCTTTTCATGTTGGCAATGGAAGTTGAGACAATCCCCAATTACTTTTACCTTTAAAATATTTCTATCAATTTTTAAAATTTCAAACTCACTTCAATCTCTTTTGGCTCAAAGAATGACATATCTAGATCAACCTCCCAATTGTCAGAATTTTCCTGGACTTTTACAACACCATCATTATGTTGTAGAGGCCAGTCCCATTGTTTGGGACTTGCTTCGTCGTGGCTTACAGGAATACGATGAGCGGTTAACATTTTTGGAAGTTAAAAATTTTAAGATTTTCTTTTATTTTCTAAAAATTAGATTTAATGTTTAAAATTTGTAATAATTCAAATTCGAAATCTTTATTGAGGAAAATATTTAGGTTCTCAAAAATTGTTTAGAATTAAAGGATTTTTGATTGTTTATTAGAGATTCTTTGTTAATGCCTAGATTGAATCCATCCCTTTTATATAGCCCAAACTTGTCGTATTTTGTAGTATTCTTCGGATTATTTATCCTTCTATCTACTATTAATAAATGCAAACTTTGAAGGCCTCGAGGCAAACAAAATGGTGATTGAATAAACAAAAAATCTTACTTTTAGTTAAAAAGAGAGAGGAGATCAACAAAAGTAAGCACGAGGAAATTGAGATCCTTCTAAAAATATTTTTCTTTCTTGATAACAAAAAACAACAACACGTGTTATTTTAAATATAGAAGAAGGGGATTTATTATACTAAAATTGGATGGATTGCAAATAATTGTGAAAAAAAATAATGTTAAAAAAAGATTTAGGAAAGAAAAGAAAAAGCCTGATCACCTGTCATTTTACTTTTTAAAAAAAAATAAATAGCAGCAGATTTTATTATTGTTTAATAGCAAAAACAAAAAAAATTATTGTGCAAAATTAAAGAACGAATTGAGAATGTTTAGATGGAATTTTGTTTACTATTAAATTAATATTTGTGTGCCAAAAATTTTGAAAAACAAAATTGTTTTGTTAAATGTTTTTAAAAACAAAATAATAAATAAAAAATGTTTTTTAATGCTTGTACTTTTTAGATCTCAACAAAATATATTACATAAAATACTACATACTTGCAATTTATTAAGCAATTTTTTCTAGTGATAGTATTCCCCCCTTTCAACTCCTGATCGGACCACCTCGACCACCTCGAACTTTTGAAGTGCAATTATAATTCAAAAATATTACTTTTGCATCAGTGTCCTTCCGACTTCATTAACGATTCACGTAAATCGTGAATGGGCGATGGCGATGAATATTTTCTAAAATGGATTTACATATACTACATATGTATATATGTAAAATGAATCATTTTTTATTTATTATTTTCATTCAAAACTATTTTCATTAAAATTTATTAAAAAGTAAAAATGTTTTTAAAAAATATTTTATTTAAAATAAATTTAATTATTTTTTTATTTTTAAATAAAATTTTAACAAAAAATATTACTTTAGAAGAAGCTAAAAAGAAATCTCCAATTCCATTTATTGAAAGCTTTTGGTTTTTTTAAATTGTTTCAATAAATTAATTTAGTATAATCTTATTTTTAAGTGATTATGAATTTTATAATGGCGGGGGCGACTGTGAAGAACCTGATAAAGGTTATGATTGTGGTGAAGGATTGGAAATTGATAATTCTGGAATAAAAGTATTTATTATTAAAAAATAAAGTTGACTGTTCTGTTATGGATATAATGAAGATTTTCCCATAAATATCGTTGCAAATTTAAAAAATAGATTATTTAATAACCCCCATAATATAATACGATGCCTACAAAAAGGTTAAAATATGATAATTAGGGATCGGATTTGTATTGAAATATATTTTTTTTTCCTGAATATATTATGTCGAGAAAAGCCCAAATATGCTATTAGTTTTTGAATATTATGATTTTGAACAAAGATACATTTCAATATATTTCAATATTTTGCTAATTTTTCAGTTATCTCAATATTTGGCACTTTTTTCAACTTATTTCAATATTTTCGCATAATTTTACTAAAATTTTGGGATTTTTCATAAATTTTAGGAAAAAAGTTAAGAAATCTAGTCATTTGTCAACCAAAATTCTCAAAATTTTCGCCTGCGGCGCTGAAAAGGACATATTATGGCCTATTATTTTCTACAGTGCTGTTGCCTTTCATTAATTATTCCCTAAATGGCGCTCAGTCCTTATGAAAAGGCGCCTCCACAATTCCTCAATTAACAAAAACCTCAAAATTTGTAAATGAACAAAAGTCCCCATAAAGGCCCATTCCAGAATGTTCCGCCCTCAAAATGTCCCACTGGGCAAAACACAAAATGGCACATCGAGCAAAATCCACAAAATGTCCCATCCACATTTTGTCAAGTACAAAATGTTCAAGAAAGTAAAAATACTCGATTCGTCGAGCTATAAAGTCAATTTTAAAAACGTGATTATTTTTTTTTGTTAAATTTCATCTTTTTTTAGGGTTTTGCTAGTGAATATACAATAATTTATTTCAATATTTAGCTAATTTTTCCCATTTTTTGTCAATATTTTGTCACTTTATTTCAATATTTTATGGCCATATTTTGCGATTTTATTTCAATATAAATCCGATCCCTAATGATAATGTAAACAGATAGCTATTTAATTCCTAAAGCTATGTAGGAGACTGAAGGAGGAGCCCAGTAGTGATGTTCGGGAGAAGAAAAAACTCTGGAAACCGGAGTCGGGTCGGGAAATGACATCGGGAGTTGGGATCGGGAGTCGGATTTTATAATAAAAAAAACCTTTAAAAAATAAAATTTTACGAAAAAAGCCATTCTTAGGGGTGTAAAGATTTCCCGACTTAGTCGGGAATTGATATCGCAAGTGGGGATCGGGAGACCAAAAACTAAGGAAATTTTCCATAGATGGGGGTCGGAATCGGGATACCCGAACCAATAGTGCCCAGTTCAGCTTTACTACATACATATACATATTTATTTTAATTAAAAGTGGTACTATGATCATGAATTAGATTTGTGTTTAACTTTTGTTTATAAAGGATGTGGTGGAAATAAAAACGGCTTTAAGTCAAGAGCTGAATGCCGTCGGTGTCGTCTAAGTAAGAAATTATTTAATGATTTTTTGAAAATTGTTTCTATAGAAATTTAAGCCTTAACATATTTAAATATTTAACATATTTAAGCCTTAACATATTTAAATATTTAACTTATTTAAACCTTGCATACTTAAAAATATGTTTATCACACCCCTAAGCTAAATGAACAAACTTATTCGAACGATAATATGTATGTATAATTCGAATTATTCAAAGCAGAAAATAAATAATGAAAGGCGATTCGTTTTAACCACAAAATTCTAATAAATATCAATTCATAAGAATTATGAAAAAAACACCTAAAAATATCTTTTTCTCTTCACCAAGAAATATACTTTTATTTATTATAAAATGAATTTTAAACTAAAAACGACCCATTATATCTTTAAATAGGTATAAGTATTTAATAATGATAGGTATTTAATAAAATTTTATAGCGGACGATGGAAAAATCAGTCTTAGGTGTTCAATTGGAAAAGGAGAAAAATTAATTCCATGCGGAAATAGACATAAAATCGAAACAGTTTATCATGGAAGTATAAATAAATGTCCACCAGGCTATACTTGTAGCCCTTTTTATAAAATGGATTATTGTTGTAACGGGGGTATATAAGTAAATCTTATTAAATAAAAATAATTTAATAATTAAAGATTTATATTACAAAAATGTTTTCCCAACTTGTAAAAATGGCAAAGAAGCTTTGGAATATCTTGGAAAGTTATGTGAAGAGGAATTTTGTCCTTTAGATACAAATTGTATCCAATTGGAATTACTTGCACATTGTTGTCCAAAATAAATTTTATTATAAATTTATTTTTTATTTTAATTATTTTCTAGTAAATTAAATTATTGAAAAGTTTCCAAAAATTTATCTAACGAATAAAATTAAAATTTTAAGTATGGGATTTATAGGCAAATGCCTAGATTCTTTGCAAGCCTAGAATAACGTTAATTGCTTAAAAACTGCTTTCGAATAGAAAGTACGAAGTTCTAATCGTACTTTTTATTTGCACATTCTTGCATTTTTATGGTTTTTTGTTACTATTTTTATTTTTTGGATTTCAAAAATTTGAGAGAGTTGTAGCAAAAATCTCTGAGTGTTCACACTTGTCACAGTTTTTAATAAATTTTAAAGGACTTAATATACAAAGGTTAAAGTTTATTTGGGAATATTATTGCCTATTTTTGCATTTAGTTGGTTTATTTCAGAATTAAATTGAAAAAATGTTAAGTAAATATTTTTATTCCATCACTAAATTTGAAATTCTGACTAGAATTAGAACTGATTTTTTGAAATGTGTATTATACATTTTTACAGAATTAAATATTTATCTCCTTGATAAAAAATTGTGTTTAATAAGAAGAGCAGAGTTTAATCTACTATTATAATAATAAAAACAAAAAATATGTTAAAATTAAGAATCTAAAGATTTGTGCTGTATTAGCAAGTGTATTCTAGTGTATATTTTATTTATAATTAAAGTAAAAATGAATCATTTCTATCTAAATATTTTATGGGGAATTGTTTTTAATAAATATCTACATAATTATTTTGATAATTTTTTTATTTTTAATTGAATAAATGAATTTAATTGCTAAATTTAATTTTCCTTTTCAAAATTTTTTAATTAAAATCATTTTAATTTCTTTATTATCAATTAATATTATTTCAATAAATATTACTTTCGAAGAAGCTAAAAAGAAATCTCCAATTCCGTTTATTGAAAGCTTTTGGTTTTTTGTAATTCTTTTCAAAAATTAATAAATTTTATTTTTAAGTGATTCTAAAAGGTCTGTATCTCGGTCCAATCAAGTCGGATTTTATCGATTTTGGTGTCATTCGACTCAGCTTGATGGGTTCTACAATTGTTGTTCAGACTGACCATTCTTACATATTTTCCAAAAAATTGACTAGGGGAGGGAAACTAAATAAGTACCCCCTAAACCTGGCTAGGGCCTGTGACTCAGTGCCGTTATAATCTTTAAAAGCTTGTTTATTTGGTAAAATGTGGAAACAAGATTGCTATATTTAATAAAAAATATAAACTATTTAAATTGTGTTTGTAATTTATTATTAGACAAATGTGATGAATGTTATTTTTTAATTGAAAATTTTATTAAATTTTACATATGTATGTATGTATGTATTTGTCGTTTTAGTTATTTTAATTTAATAA